TAATGTTGCAGGAAAAGTCTTCAAGTATTTGATAAAATTCTATTTCAAAATGTTTTGTTGGTTTCTGTGAAAAATGTACGATATTTCTTTGTGGGTTTGGTGGATGAAAGAAAAGGGTGAAAAAAGCTGAACGTTGCACAGGTGAATTGCTACAAAGACCACGGATCTTGGGAAGAAGGAAATAGAAAAAGAAATACAACAAAATACCACTGAATGCTACTTCTGATTGCCAACCAGTCACTTGACTTCTAAACATGATATTTCTCACTTTATTGCAGAAATTGTGTACATTAAAAGCGTTCGTATGCATTTAAATTTTTACTTTTTTTTCATGGAATTATTGACATTACTTTAAAATGCATTTTAAGAAAAAATAAAAATTTTTTTTTATGTTTAATGAATATTCTATGATGTCTGCATATTTTATAAAATATTATCAAACAGCTTAGTGAGATTAAAGTAATTTTTATTCAAATTTTATGATATTTTGGTGCAAAAGGTGCTAAAAATATTTAAATATTCACCACAAGACAAAAAAAATTGCATTAAAAATACAAATAAAGTTTTATTACAATTGAAATACATTTCAAAAAATTGTAATTATTAAATTAGATAATGAAATATATTAATTTTTCAAGTATATGAATTAACTTGAAATATTTATCACTATAAATAACGAATAAACCAAAAAATTAGATAGACTTCTGCTCATAGAAAGATAAAGTATTAGCTTTGTAATGATTAGAACAAAATTTTATTGAACTAATATTTTATTCTCAAAAATAAATATCATTATAATATCAACTAATTTTTCGATCATATCAATTTATACATGAATGTAACGAATTAATTTTCATCAGAAAACCTCTTTCTTCTTTTCGTGTACACTCGAATTTTCAGCGAACATCACATTACCAAAAAAAATAATACAATTCCACTGGAAAGTAGTACCCTTAGCACGGTTCGTCAATCATACTTGCTCAGCATAGATAAAAACACTCGAAAAAACTTTTAGAGGCCATATCAAGGCCAAGCCATATATGAGGAAATTGAATTTCGAGCTAGATAAAAGCTTATAGTAGCTGAGTACATCTGTGTTGGTCATTGATTGTATAATTCCTACACGACATACCTGGGCTATACTTAAAAACTTTATTTCTGCTTGATAATTTAAACAGAGGAATTTTTATAGATAAGATAATAGTAATAAGTGTAGAACATAAATTCTCCTGGCTGGCCCTCGAGTCCATTTGTATTCGAATGTCTTTATCACTTCATGAGACCCATAAAACGTTGGCTACTACTCCTGTCCCTGTGATATCTAAACTACTAACGCACGGTGGTGGCTTGGGAGAGTATACGCAAGCAGTTGGGCCATTGTTTATGCTCCTCATTAGGTATACGGCTGTCGTGGATGCCGATGGCGCGCGCTTCGTTGAGTGTCTACTAGCCAACAAACTCTCTACAAAGATTTATGACAAAAGTGCCGTGCAAGCGATACAACGGTATATTAGTAATACGATGTAGCTGCTGTATACGAACTTTGTGGTGCCAAAATGTTGTTTAAAAAATGAATATTACTTTTTATTTGGCACCGTTATTATATGCAACGCAAATAAAAAACTTGGAGCAGCCAAATGAAGATGGTCTTTTTGCTGAATAAGAGTTTTTAAATTCTCTGACATAAGATGACTTGGTAAATATTTACTAAGTGATGGTAATTATGAGAAATTAGATTTCAAAAATTCCGTACTCAATTGCCATGAAATTCAACTTAATTTTAATAATAACTGATCATGAACTTTTAAAAGTCATACAAAAAATTCATGAATTAAAATAAACAAAATTATTTGCTTATTAAATTCTTTGTAGGTTGATTCGGTTTTGAAAATCATTTGATTTAATTTTAAAATGAAATAAAATTTTTCTCAAATTTATTAGAAAATTTGATTCTTTAGATTGTCCAAGAATGAATTAATCAAAGTTTATTAGTTAATTTTTTTAACCAGTTGTAAAAATTGAAATAATCAATTAATCTTAATTTTCGTGGTTCAAGTGATGGAGAATTTAGTGTTGAAAGAAATGAACCCTAATTTATAAAATTTAGTTAATTCGTTCTTGGGTAATCGTGTGGATAAGTTTATATTGAAGATTAGTTAATGATCATTGTAACTACCTACAGTTTTGAAGGCTTTGTACCATAGAAGAATCAATATTTGCTCTTTATTTTAATGATGAAATACTTGGGCTACTGTAGATTTATTTAAAGCTATGGCTCCAAATTATGTTCTAAAAATATTATTATTATTATCAAATAAAATTAGAAGAATATAATTAAAAAAAATATTTGCACTTTAGATAAAAAAAACAATGACAGAATTTAGCAAATATTTAATTTAATTTTCTATTATTTATACAGAATAAACCATTGTTGTTTAAATGTTGTTTATTGAAAACTATTTTATCATATGCGTGTTAAAATTCAGAAGCTATTCTAGTCATAAAAAGTTTACGCATTACCATAATTCTAGTAATAACAGCTATCAGAATATCAATCACATGCGTTAGAGTATTTGAAATTTATGTATATGGCAATGCTGTTAAATATGTAACTGAAGCACGCCAAACACTAAATAGTATTCGAAACAAATTAACATAGATGTGTTAAAGACCGAAAGTATGTAGTACATCCTGAGGTAAACCGGAAGGTGAATCCGTTTAACTGAGGAAATAATCGATTTTTAGAATCTGAATACCAAACTATTATTTGATTCTATTTCTAACGGAGAAGGGAATTTTATTCTACGCCAAAACAACTTTCATCTTTAAATTGTAATTTTGTAGAACTATGCAAAAATATTCTACTATTACATCCTACTATTTGAATGAATTATACAAATAAGTTTATTGTCTTTATTATCACCAAGTTTCAACAAGATTACTAAAAGCTGTGAAATGCTTCCGTTTAGAACAAATATTTTCACTGGGTTCAAGTTGAGTAGCAAGCATTAGACAGTTAAGTGTTAATTTCGAGATAAAAAAAGAGATAATTAAAGATAAACATTGAACAAGATGTATTCTTACTATATTTCGAAATATTAATATATTTAAACACACGCAAATAAAAGAAATATTGTTATTAATCAAATGCAATCGGACTTTCTAATTAATCCATCAAGTCAAAATTTCTGAGAAAGATAATCCCAAGTCTCCAAAGCAATAAATCTATCAGAATATTAAGAATTTGATTTTATTCCGTTACATATGTGTCATTTGGCTCCGCCTACGTGGCCCTAATGAGACTCCAACACTTCATTTATTTCTTTTGTTTACAAGGACTTTGAAGGTGAAGAAATTTATCTTCATAATTCAAGAAAAATCAAAAATTCATTCCGTTATTCAATGTAATTTATTATCATTTAATTATTGCCAAATTTTGTTTGTTAGAATCTTACATCACTAAAAAGTTAAAAAGAATCAAGTGAAAATTACAGAAAATCCTTGTAAATAAAATTACGTAAGAAAATTAACATCGTACTGCTTTTAAAGTAAATAAACATTAGATAGTGCATAACATTCGAGTGAAATGTTATGTGTTTCGAGAACATCTTGTTTTCAGTGATGAAAGTGTTAAAATGTTGTAATTTAATATAATGTGTTATTCCAAATAATCATTATCAATAATTTAAAACATACAAGCTACCTAATTTATTCTTTTATGTACTGTAAATTAAATCAATCCTGCTCCTGACGGTAGACTTGATAAAACAACTTACTCGAGGTTTACTGATATTACGAAATCAGAATAACATTACATGAGAATTCGATTGCCAAATTTGGCAACCGAAAAACAGGCCTTTAACAAAAATACCATTAACATTCATTGTTATTATCCTTGTCAGAATAAAACTCACAACCTTGTCAGTTTACTAGATTATTGCAGCAATAAAACTAAATAAAAAAGAAATTTCATTCTCCTTCACCCTAATAATTCCATAACTCATTTTGCTAGGTTGCCTGGTATATTTTGATATACTTAATTGCTCCGTCCGTATAATTAATTTAGTTGCATCCGAAATTTTTTTGTAAGCAACAGTGAACACAAAAAAAGACGTGTCAAAGTGGCCATTAGTGGTCACAATCAAATGGCGCATAGCTCTTAAAACCCTTTTGTTTTATTACTGCTTTTTATAAGAACAACTTGCGTCATGCATTTTTCTCCCTCTACCTAGCACGTGTCAAATATCTCATTGACTTGAATACGGAGGATCGATCAAAGGAGTACAGAGAAACGAGTACATGTTTGAGGTCTTACAATTACGATCAAAAAACCTGATTAAAAAATTTAAGGACCTTCTCAAATTTCCGTGTACTCAACTTACGGTCATTAACTTCATATTATACGAAAAATCATAAGAATAATAATAAATTATAATTGTATTGAATTTTTATTATTCGAAGAAAATTAAACTCACCAAAACACACGACAATCGCTAAAAATTCCGCGAAAAATTAGCCACGCGCCAACACGCGTGACCTTCTCTCAAACAAGTCACAGCATCGTTGATATGAAAATTTATTTAAGCACAAGCTCATTCACTGATATGTTTATTTTTTTATTAAATCATAGTCGTGAATATTTATGGATGTATATTTCAATCAACTTGATAAAAATTAATTAATAAAATAGACATTATTATAAATAAAACATATCTTTACACTACGATCCATCCTTCTAGGTCGCGCGCGCAATCTAAACTGAGACGCCAATTCAAAACGACGGAATTTCTATAAAATTCCTATCGGTGGCGCTACTCAACTAATCACAAAAGAGCGCGTGGTTTCAAAGGGTTAAAAATGAAAAAAAAAAGATGAATTTTATGAAGTGAATAAAGTACAAAGTTGTTTGTTGTGATGGATAAATTGTATTTATTTTTATCTACATTATTAAATTAATAATTTATTTAATATATAATACCGACAATTGACGACAGACAATGTTAATAATTTCGTCTAGTGACTTGAACATAATTTTGAGTTTACAAAATAACAAACGAAACGAAAATAATTAAAAATGAATAAAACATGTCTTGAGTTCGTGTATCATGTAGATTTAGAATAAAATTCTCTATAAATTTACTAAAGTACGTGATAAATACATATTTAGTTATTATATTCAATATTTGGCGAAAATCACTTGTATTTAAATCTACAAAACTATCACGACATTATGCATATTAAAACTTGTATAATTTTATAGATTTATTAATAAAACATACACCATTTCGATTAATTATGTGATAATATATGAAATACATGATTATTTAAAATTTTCGATTCGTCAGTCACACGTGATCCTATAATCTAATTGATACTGAGAAATTTATTATCCGCACATTTTATTTGTAAATCAGTCAACTACTCACTATATATTTACAATATTAATTAATGATAAAAATAATTTGCATTAAAATAACAATGATGCGGCAGGAAGTTTTGTTTTATTGTGCTTCGTTAATCCGCAAGGACAACGGAGAGCAATGACATTATTTCTACAAAAATAAATATACACAATATCTCTACATCTTTATCAGTTTTTGGTTGAATCCCTGTTTATGTATCTCCTTTAAATCGTGCCCTTCCATCACAGTGTCAATAATCAGTTCTCATTGCTCGTATAACATTTTACAAAAATATTTTCATCATTATGATTTACGCTTGAGCATTACCTGATTGCAAACTTGATTACTTGTGTTTGAGCATATTCCATTTACTCTATTAATCCATATCAATTACTCTCCGTTACAAGTCAGAAGGATTTTTTGAAATATTACTCCATTATTATTTCTTATTCATAATGATCCGATAATTTATTAAATCTACGCTAGACCGATAAGCCTTACACAGTAATTAATAATATATAATCGAATTAAAAATGCATTTGGCATACGATTTCAGCTCACTTAAGAACAGTGTAACTGCAGTACAAATATACAATGCCTGTAATTTGAGATCGTACGATTTTGACAAATAATAACAATTACAATAAATAAATAAATCAAATAAATACAACACAGTGTGTCAATTCCATCTAGTACGTACAAATTTTATAAACATTAAATTAATTTTAACTCAAATAAATGCCGATTTTAGGTATACTCTTTGCTCAAATTGTGTACTTGTGACTATTATAAGAATATTAATAATAAAGTTACATTTGATCTTTACGATAAAAAGACCAGACTGTCACTTTAAATATTATTGTAACTCATTTTGCTTATTTAGTTTTTCCTTCAGGCATACTTTTAACGCTAGATCGTGTGCTAATTGACTGTTTGCTCGTTTTATTACGTTTAGTGACGGTTACATTATCCACAACTGATCTTCGGTTTCGCTTTACTTCAGCAATATCACCTGTTACCTTTTCTACTTCTGAGAATTTTTCATTGGTCGGTCTATTTCCTTCATATGAATGATTCATATTTTTCATGGACTTTCTAGCTTCACCATCCGACTCATATGTTTTTCTACTTAATTGCGGAGTATAATACAAACTGAATCTGTTAGCTTTTGTACTTGGTTTTTGCTGCTCATCCCTTAATTCATCAGTAGAACTGAATTTACGACCATTATTTACTATTTTATTACTTACTCTATTAGACTCAATAGATTCGTGAACCTTTCTTGTAGAATCCTGAGCAAAATAACTATATCTTTTATGCTTCTCTTGTTTTGTTTGACTTGAAGGATTCATTAGACTTTTCTTCTCACGCAATTTCACTGACTCACTTTGTGGTAACTTTGTAGGTTCCAATTTATGAGATAATTTTGGTGAATTTTGCTGATCATTAATTTGTACTGGAATTTGTGAAGCTCGTGGTAATCTTGAGACCATAGAATGACGATTTGGTGTTACATTTACGGACGTTTTTTTAACAACTTGCCGTCGATTAACTTGATGTGGATGATTATTTTTTACGTCATTAACATTTTTGGTCCCATCATGAAAGCATATATTTTCAAAACTCTCAGAAGACTCTGTACTCTGATTGGAACTAGAACCAGGATTATCTTTGGCTATTTTTGCAAATTGAATATTTACAAAACTATCAGATGTCTCTATGTTGTTATCAGAACTACTGCTAAGAACATCCATCGAATGAGACAGATATTCAGTACGTACATTTTTGGATAGAGTATTATTCAATAAATTTTTATTACTGCTTTTATTAGCTGTCGTAGTACTAACTGCATTAACACTGTGAATACTTGCCCTTTTGGGCCGTAATTTGCAACAATTACTCTGTTTATTTAATTGAGAAGTATAAAATTCTTCAATTGATAATGCAGCGGTATTGGAATGAATGTCAGAGATAGAATTGTCATTTCTTTTACTTGTGGAATGTACTTTTGACGAAACTGGACTTTGACAATATCCATTATTATTTTTCGTCATTGAATACATGTTTTCTTCAATACTGTTGAAAGATGATGTAAGATCATCACTCTTATTTGCTTGTTCGCTTGTGTCCTCTTCAATATTATTCATTAAATCATGCATGGATGAGGTAAGTGCACGTATATCATGTAAACATTCAGCACTCAAGGAAACTGGATCATCATTAATGCCGTTTCCATTATAGCGATCAATCTGGTCTTGACTGTGCACCATAATATTGTTGTCTGAACCTTTGTTATAAAAATCATTCGACCGTTCGAATGGCTTGAAATGGGCTTCTAATGTCACAGCTTTTAGCGGCTGACACTGCTGATCCCGGTGTTGCTGCGGCGATTGGGTGGCTGCAACGGCTCCTGTTGTGGTTTGATCGCCTCCTAGAAAGCTCTGCACATGTACAGAGGCAAAAAAAAAAAAGAAAAAGCTTTGCTACAGATATGGCAGACAACTACAAAAGCATCGCTAAATATCAACTGTTCTCATTTTCTTTTTTTAACAAAAAGTTTTTACTTTAGATAATGTTCTATTTATTTGAAAGCTTGTGAAGCGTGCTATTACTGTGAGCGTCAATGACTTGTGCAGTGATTTGTTGGTGTATTACTCTATAAATACATATGTTTGAAACTATTAAAAGATAAAAAGATCATTCCGTTTACTATAAAAATTAATAAATAGTTTCAATATTCATTAATCATTATCTGTAACATAAGATATATTTAATGAAATAGTAAAATTATTTTTTTTCAAATATCTAAAAATATTCCATTCCATTACATTTAGTTAATCTGTTAACAGTTCTACTACTAATACTAATTTAGAAATCATTTTTAAAAATAGAATGATCTACTTTTGTCTTCGTAGTCTACTTGAAATTAATTATCATTTCTAAATGAGAACATAAAAATGACTCTGACAGATAAAGAACTACTTAAAGAAAATCTATAGATTTTCCTCTCGTACTTTTATCTCGTCTATAAAAATAAGCCATGCATTGCGATATTAATATATTTTATACAATCTCTCATATAGATAAACAATGATTAAAAGAGAGTGTAGTCATAATTACCACAAGCCAAGGATGATCTAAAACATCCTCTGCACTGAACCGTAATTCAGGTTGAGCTTGTAACATATTTGAGATAAGCTCCTTTGCAGAATCTGATATTGGATCCCAATAAGGCGATGTGAACTCATACTGTCCACTAAGAATCAGTTCGAATAATTCTTCTTGATCATTTATAGGAGATACAAACGGTGGAAAACCGCAAAGCAAAATGTATAAAATTACACCAGCTGCCCATACATCAATCTACATAAAAGATAAAAGTATGTTACATAATTTTATCAATGTCATTTAATTACCACTCCGATTAAACTCAATTATTAATAAATCAATGCCTTTTTTTAGATTTATACCTTGAGGCCGTATCCTACTTCTTCTAAAATTTCTGGTGCTACGTATGTTGGTGTTCCACAAACAGTGTAAAGTGGCTCTTTAACAAGCTGAGCAAGGCCAAAATCTCCTAACTTTAAACATCTTACTCGACTACCCTCCATTTCTACTAAGAGATTTTCCGGTTTAACATCACGATGGACAATCGAGTGTGCATGTAAATATGCTAATGCAGAGGTTAAATGTCCTATCATAACACTTGCTTCTGCTTCTGAAAATTTAGATACTTCAGCTATTGCGTCAAATAGATCTCCTCCCTAGAATATAAAATTTAATTGAAGATAATGGAATATTAAATGAATTAATAATGCATATAATGACTTATTACCTTTACTAACTCCATCACTAAGAACAATTGATCGGCAGTTTCTTGTTCGTCAATTAAACTAATTATGTTAGGATGACAAACTTGACGGAGAATAGATACTTCACTCATAAGCATAGTTTCTTTTCCTTGACATTTATTTTTGTCCACGATTTTTATTGCATATTCTGCTCCGCTTTGTCTGTAAAAAGTATAATTATGATTAAAATTTTTGATGTATTTGAATAAAAAAAATTTTTTAAACTAATAAATATTCACTTTTGAACACAATGTCGGACAACAGCGAAATTTCCGTCGCCAATGACATGACCCACTGTGTAATGCATTCTTAATGGCTGTGGTAGTATTAATGATGAAGGACTAGGAGTTCTAACTTGCGGTGCAGTAAGAGTACGTTTTCCTGTTTTATGAGGCATCACTGGCATTGGACCACTTTGTCTTTTTGATATCCATGGACCACGTCTGAAGCTTTGAACACATTTTGATTCTTCAACATCAAGTTCAAAATCTTCTTGAACTGATCTTTCATTTCCATATGCCAAAAACACTTCTTCATTCTCAAAAAACTGCTCCAAAGATATCACCAGTTTACCAGATAAAGTATAAACTCTTCTGACAGCACCACAATCAAGTTTTACTACTTCAGTTATTGCTTCAAACACATGTTCAAGGCTTGCTGAATTTCTCTTATTGAGTAGCAGACGTAAAACTTTTCGCGGCTTCGATCCATGTCTGATTAATGTGATTATTCTAGCTTTTACACAAACAGGAATAGAACTGACCTGTTTACCAGTACCAGCTGGAGATTGTGGCAGTCCAGAAAGAGAACTACCTCTTCTAACTTTCGTAGAAGAATATTCCACTTTCTTAAACAACTCTCCTTGGCCAGAAACAACATAACATTTACCATCCTCCAAGTCACTTACACTTTGAATTTTTTTCCCATCCATAGAATAAATTGCACGTACCCCATTAGGCAATGTAACACTTGATATCAAAGCTCTAGTTAAATCAGATGTTAAGCTGTCAAAACTTCTGTACCGTTCTGGAGTAACAGCCATCACGATACCAGTATAAAACTTATCACCATTTCGAAAAAATCTAACTCGTTTTGCTTTTTTAGTAGGCGGTGTTCTTGTGGTATTCTTTATCATTATGTCACTCATAATTAAACGGTCACTTGTTGGTGTTACAATTCTTCCAGTCAAATCTTCACCTCCAGAGAGATTACTATCGCCAGATGGAGATATAGCCCTATCCATTAGTTCTTCCATCGTCCTAAAACAAAATCCAAAAAATAAGTCGAGCATTCTATAATTTATTACCAGCCATATGCGAATATCGATTTTAAGTAAATAATACAATTCATTGAATGTCAAAATCCGGCTCGACTGGTGAAGATACCTAACCTTTTTAATGATTTTTTATGCATTAATATTTAATACAGTATGCATTAAATGTCTTTAAATGGAACTGATGAATTAATTATACTACACAAATAGGAGAATAACAGTTTAACATACCTGCTCGTTGAAAACAACAGAGCTTAGACGTGAACAGAGGAAGCGTTATGTGTATAATTGATTGGAATGATTCACCAGCATGTAATCCGGTATACAGTATCGTGAAATTGAGGCTGGAGATGGTGCGTCGAACTGTCGAGCACCTCTCTCGCCCCACTTGCTAAGTAACAAGTTTTCCGTGACCAGACTGATGAACTCGTTTTATTTCTATAAACTTTTTATATCTTTAGCTACGAATCCGTTAAAAGTTTAACCCGTACGTTTTTTTTTAATGAGTTAAAAATATGACTCCACGTACGTCAATTAAAGAACACCGGAAACGGAAATATGTCTTTAAAGGCGCCAAACCTTTAGATTAATATAATTATTACAAAGTAAATAATGACATTTTGAATTCATTAACTCAGTCTAAGAATAGTTGCTTATTGATTTGCGAAAAATAGTTACTTTCAAAACAGGCTCATTCGTTATAACCTTCAAACTCCCTGATCTATCATGAATTATTAAAATGGAACTTCGATTTGATTTTTCCAAAAAATCAATTATAATAATTATTCATATATTTTAAAATATTTATTACGCACAGTACAAGTACTAGTATGTTTAATAAGTTAATTTTTACGTTTATTTCAACCATTCAAAATCTTTTGTCATTTATCGAAAATGATTATCAAACACAGATGGCGCTTTGATGTGGTTTTAAGAATGCAGAATAATCTTTTAACGTCATCTATACTTTTTCGATTGAATATAAATACTCAAATGTATTTTGTCTTATCAAAAAGAAAATATAAATTTTTGTTTAATTAAATATTTACACAGACAGATGCTAATTTATATTTAATAATTTGATCAATTTTGTCAAAAAGAAGAGTTTAAGTAAAAAAATAGACTAAAATAAGCACCGAATCAGGATCTAGAAATGTATTTTGGCTTAATAGGTCTAACTTTTGCATCCAACTTCCAGTCCTCTAATAGCCGTGATCGTCTAGTGGTTAGGACCCTACGTTGTGGCCGTAGTAACCCAGGTTCGAATCCTGGTCACGGCAATGTCCCTTAAGGCATTGTCACGGTAGAGGAATTTTTTTTTTTTTAAAAACAATTAATATTACTAATATCAATATCAATTTTTGATTAATTTATTATCTATTATTATCAAGATAAATACAACATTTTTGAATTTATCAATCTAGGTACAAACTATAAATCATCAGAAAAAATAAAACGATAGATTAAAAACGCCCACTGCTGTAATTAAAGTTCTGTATTTCCCATGTGTAAATTCTTATTTTATCAGTTTCCAGTATATTTTGAATATTACCAAAGAATGCAAAGAGAATTTTAAAATAAACAAAATGATGTAATTAACCTTGATTGAAATGAAACCGTTTGTACGCATGGAGAAATGAAAAAAAAAAAATTCGTTATTAGTGAGAGGAAAAATTTTGAAAATGTATTTGGTAAAATGTAGTTTTTCTAAATAAACATAAAATATGTACATAATCGTTGAAATGGTAGTAAGGTGCTCACAAACAAGATACGTACCTGGTAGAAGTCGCAGCTAATCGTCATTGACCTGGTGGTAGTGGTGGAGTTGTTAGACCACCAATTGGAGGGAGACTCAAGACTTCTCAAAGCATTCGAGTAAAAGGTGGGGAACTTTGTACCCTTGCGTTCTGCAAGAGGCAGTTTGTTGTGTACGTGCAAGCGGCGCGGGTGTATATGCTAGCGTCGGTATGATCCAAACAAAATAAAGGTAAAAAAAAAGTGGGAAGACTTATGTACCAAATCGAATAAAAATATATTAATAACGTGTTTTATTCGCAATAAACTTGGATAATGATCCAATAATAAACGGAAATAGTATCTAGAATAGTTAAATGATGTGCAAGTGAAGTTTGTTGACGTGAGTTAAAATGCCAAGGATTTACGCGCGAACCGGCAAAAAAATGTTCTGCGTTGTCGCAGGTGAGTTCTTTACTATAGTTTCTGTTGTACACTATCATTGCATTATGTTTGTCAAACCTTTTGGTCTACGTTGCATTATAAATCGAATTACATTCATTGAGAACATCGATGAAATAAAGCATCTGAAAAACAGGTGGAGGTTATTGTATATGACTAAGGTGACTAAATTTGTTGGTGTCCATAAGCGTGACAGGTGAGAGAGAAAAATACTGGGGTGTCCGGGGTTCCAGTCAACCGCACCTGATCGTCTACCTGCATCCGTCAGGCGGTTGTAGATGAGAAAAGACGTTAAGAATACATTTAATAAAGGAGGGTTCCAAGGTATTTCTTCTTTTTAAAGAAGAAATTCGACCGTAACTGAAGAATTTTTTTAAAACTATGCATCTTACAGATTCTCAGTACCTGTACCTAAATAAAAGTGTATTTAGTATTATGTAGCCTTCAACTTTTACTAAATTCCAACGGTGAGAAATTTATTAGCGTTCAATTTTTATTTATGTCAATCGTCAATACCATCCACTCAATTTCCTAGCAATCGAATACATTTTTTTCTTTTACCAATGAATTGAGTTCTTCGAAGCTCTTCCGATGGATCTCTAAATTGATTGTATTATTGATCAGAAATGACCAAGTTTTTTTTAACCAACTTATACAAATATCGACCCATTTACGTTATATCTCACATCATAGTATCGCGTTTTATAAAGTGAATAACCTTCTGTACTCATGTATGCATACACATAAAGTTTACTTTACAGACATTACGCATACATGTGTCTATCTACTCTAATTTCGATTTGACTGAAGAGCAAAACTATCACATCTCTGAAAGCTTCTACTTTGACTGCATTTTTTTGTAATATATCATGCAGTTGTTTGAGTCAGCTGAGAAGAATTAAACTATTTAAAAAAATTCGAAATAAAAAATAAGAGCAACAAAAAAAAAATACAAAATACTGAAAGTTATAGCATCAGGTGAATATACTATACCAACACTTTGCATTAATGAATAATCTTCTCTACACTCTTCCTTGACTGGTCTTCATGCTCAAGTGCGTACATGTTTTAAATGTTATAAATATATCTAACACGTAATGTTTAAAAAATATTAAATATTCATCAACGTCTTAGAAATTGTTCACACGTTGTTGTTGGTATATTGTAAAATTTCCTCTCATTAGCTAGGCAAAATCATTTTATACTTGATACTTAGATTTCATCAATTAAAAAGTGAAAAGTGGAATTCCTGAAAGTCATGGAAGCCCGTAATAAATAATGATCAACTAACTTTTATTTTCTACTGTGAGTAAATGATAATGATTATTATTATATATGTATATATCTATATTTATAAATTTATTGTGGAAACAAGTTAATGTAGATATAGAGAAATAGCATATATATATATATATATATGTTTAAATTCATTGGTAATGCGTCATCAAAGTGAAATATCTAGACTCACAACTGGAATCTGAGAAAATATATGAGAATTCATGCACATTGAGATAAGTGATATTTTACTAAACTCCAGTGTTTCTAGATATCATGTGTGACAGCTTTGAGAATGTGTTTTCAATTTCTGATTAAATGTTATTTTAATTAATGACATTTTTTTCTTTATGGAGTAAGATAATAAGTTTTGTTTTTAAAGATAATATTTTTGACTTACGTTTATATAATGTTTTAATTTTAATTGTTTTTCTTTTTTTTTATTACTCTAAAAAAACAATCATTCTTCCTGTGTTATAACTTAATTTTTAATATAATTATTTGTGAAAATCTGATCAGTTATATTTTTCTACCAAAATTCATTTCTCTTATTTTTGAATCACGAATTTGAAAGATAAAAAATAATTGAGTTTGTAGAACTTGTGTTATTATTATTTATTATGATTATTTAGTAAAATATTAGTATGCTAAAATGAGATTGAAGTTTTCAGTGTTGTGATATGCAGTCTATAGAACTAAACCAAAAACTATACGAGATCTTTTCCAGTAGCTTAACAAGAAAACAATGAGACGATTGTTTAAGAAATATCCGTCATTCTTTTCAGAATCGCATTTCTCTTGGTCTGGAAGGAAGATCTGCTGAGTAATTGAAAAGAATTCTATACTAGGAAAAAAGTTAATACTATTTTTAAGTGTGCATTTTAATATATTTTTCACTAAAGGTTTATATTATGGGATGTTAAACATAGTTTCTGTTGTTAAACGTGTTGATTTACATAATATAGCAAGCCATGCTTTAAAGGAGAAACTGTTGAGCTTACGAATTCGTGCATTTTAAAGTACTGAGAGTTACTATGGAATATTCAAAAATGCAATATGTGTATTTCTGGAGTAAAGAGATTTTTATTCAAAGGATAAAGTGTCAAATTTTAATGAGATTTTGATTAAAACAAACAGGGTAAGGTTTATTTTATGTTGAAGTGGAAATATTGTGATAAAAATTGAATGAAAAATTCAAAATGCCTTTTACAATAGTGCTAAAAATATTTTTTGTCATTATATTTATTTAAACATATCACTTGTGCAACGAAAATAAACAGGAAAGAGTAATCTAAAAATCTTTCTATAAAAAACCACAAATAATTCAATTAGTTTTAATTATTTATGTTCAAGAGAAAATACATTTTATTTATATATTAATGATTCATAAGTTTAAAAATAAAAAATTATTTCATGAAATTCTATGATATTCATTATTGATGATTTATAATTTTCATTGAAACATATTGTGTAGTTTCAACATGATGACCATATGACTTTCTAACAAAAGAAATAGCTTATTCATAACAAAAAATGTGATAGCTTGCTAATAATGTTGCTAAGTAATATGTGAAACACTAAAAACAAAATATTCTATATCCGGTAGAAAAATCGATGATGTCATGAATCACCTTATGGAGTACCAACACCCTTAGTACCCTATAAACGTTATTTTTTTGGAGTTCTACACTCCAAACAAAAAAATTATCTAATTTTTTCCTTGCAAAATTACAATTATTATTCTTCTTTTCCTTAACAATAAACATAATGAAAAATGACTTTTAATCCTTCTTTTAAAGAATAAAAATATTTAACGAATGTAATAAATTTAAACGTCGTCATATCAGTATGTCTGAGCAAGTATTCATATTTATATATTTATTAGATTCAGCAAAAATTCTGTCGTTGTAATTTTATACAATGATTAATGTAATAATAATTTATAAATCAGAAACAACACTTATATTTTCAGACAAATTTAATTATTTACATTAACCATCAATCATTTCTTTTCCTTCATTTGATTTTAATTTTAATTTTTTTTCTACTGATAACGCTATGTGACATAAAATACCTATTTCTCTATTGATTTGATTAGTAACGAATATTCATCTACAATTTCTATCGAAAAAAATGGAATATTTTAATTAAATGAGTAATTGAAAAAGTAAAAAGTGATTTTATCAGTTATATAGAGTTATTTTATCTTTTTTAAACTCAATACTTTCTCATCGTTAATATTTATTTAAATTTTTAACATACTTGTAAGCATGTACGTGATTATTATTCGCCATGTAAAAGCACATTAAGCGTAATTTTAATTAACGAGATAAATTAAAAAGATTTACATTTTTTACTTCATTAGTTTTATTCGATATTATCTATTTTAATCACTCATGTACGAAAATGAACAATAAAAAGCATCATCGCTAATTGAAATGAAGCTTTCTTTTTGTAGAAATAAATCAATTATATTCTACACGTTTCAATAATTTTATGATGAAAAAAATTCATCGGCGAATATATGGTAATCATGTGCACTAAAAAAAAACTTTCATCGGTTTAAAAAAGTAAAACAATATCTATTATAGTGACGGAAAAGGTAGAATTATATAGCTAACCTCACGCTCTACTTTTTAACGTATCAAACGAGCCGTTAGATTTTATAGTAAAAAAATATGCGGATTTAAAGATTTCCAATAGAGCTAAAGAATCTTGGAACAATTCATACATATATATATAGGTATACATGTTATATCATGAATTCATTCAAACATTGAATTCGTTGTAGTTTTCATTACGTTAGATATATTTAAAATGTTATTTTCTACCCAAGGGAAACCTTATGAATGAACTCGTTGTTGAAGAAAGTCAATAATTTGTCATTACATATATACGATTCAGTTTATTTGTACGAATTGTTTTGTATTACACATGTAAATAATTTTTTTTTTAAGTATTCTCTTTAGCAGAATATTATTTAGCTATTTATTTACCGTTACCAAAATGAAAAGATATCTCAAACTGTGTTTGCAAATACGTGAACCGGATGTAACGTACAGATCTTAAATTCATTGTGTCATAGAACACCAAGTTGGTGATTCAGTTTGAGAAGGATATACTGCATTAATTGTTTTTTTTAAACATTTTTTACAACAATTACATTGTTTTTTTTCAATTTTAATTTACATTAATTTTGTTATTGGAAATATTTTAATTATCACAAAGATAAATATTGAAACGAATGGAAATTATAATAATAACATTTATATATTCTATTATTTACATTATAATTTATTTAATAATTTTCCAAGTTCAAATAATTGTGAAATTTGTAAAGTGTTAAAATATTTTAATTAAATGAATTAAAAACAAAACTAACATCGTAATGATAAATAAATAATTAGGACGCCATTTTTTGTGTTTATTGAAAAGAGGTAATTATTGAAATGAACTGTTTTTTAAAATTAAAATATTTGTTCCACGTTATAAATTATTACGTAAAAAGACAATTACATAAATAAAATAATATTTTCAATTGTTTTTTCATTACCATTTTTAATTAAAATTAATAGAGTGTTAACAAAGTATTCTTCATCTTTGGTCAATTACGAAACAAATAATTTCCTATTTTTTAACGATTCTCTTTATTGCTTTTCTTCTCTTCCTCATACCTTAATGAATAAAAATTCTGTAAAGTATTTTGGTAGAATAATTAACACTTCACTTAACAGACGAACTGTAACTTTATTTTCATGTCATTAAATTGTTATTGAAATTGAACAAAAATAACATTATTGTACAGATGATAGATCTGCAATGAAGTTTTTTAAATTAAAATACAAAAAAAAATTCAAAGTAATAAAAAAAATTATTGAATAAATTTTTCTTTTGATTATGAAGAATGTTTGATGATAATTTGTAAAATTCAATGTTCAGAAAATTAAAACTGCAAATTTTATAAATATTAAATAACTAAAGAAAAAATTATTAATTATCTTCATTTATAAAATTAAATATTAATAAGAAACTTCTTTCAATTAACATTTCATAGTAATTTCCAATCCAAGATTATTTCTATGAAATAAATATACAATTCAGTCATTAAATTTCTCCTATAAAAACCAACAATACACATTCTTTTAATAAAGAAAAATTACATAGTGATTAATCACTACTTAGCTAATCATAATACTTAATTTAAAATTTATATCATCTTTGTGCTATTATTATGATAGCTATTATAATAGTAACATAAAAGTGTGCTAATTTTCAGCAATATTATATTTTCTTTTTCTTGAAAATTCTCTACTTCCGGCTCTCATGACATTGCCATGTCGATGAAGATTACATAAATGAAGATGCTATACTTTTCTGACTAGATTCCGTGAAAATAACATGTACATACAGTCTAAGTACAAGTATTACACGCATATATACCTGTATAGCAACAGTAGCACATGATTGTAACGCTCAATGATCACAGAGATGACTCATTTCACTCTTTGTGTCATCTGAAGGTTAAAAAAGAAAAATCTACAACGAAGACAGGAAAAAAAATTCATTCCACAAATTTTTGTTCAAATATTTTTATAAAACTTCCTAATTCTAATTGACTTCCGGTATATACCACATTCCAAATAGTGTAACTGATTACGTAAATGGAACGTGCCTAACGGAAGATTGAGTGCGTTGTAAGGGAATATGCAGTTCGAAATGATCGTTACATCGCGATGGAAACTACACGTGCAATTGACTCTTGTATCTGTGTACATCTATATATATATATATATATATATATATATATATACTAATAGTTTGCTAAGGTATTCAGGCAATGATCCCCACGCCTCTTAGATCACAATCCTATTTATTATTATCTTTAACGGAATGTATTTTAAAACTCTTCCTCGAGAATGACTTTACACTTATTGAGAAGATCTTTTGATTAAATTTTTTATCTTATTAATGAGTAAACGTTCAGAAATAAATCTTGATGATGGTTGACTAATTATTTACGTTTATAAATATGTTAGTTATTAAATAAATAATCCTTGGAATTTTTATTAAGAAGTTATATGCAGATTACTATAGATATATAATCGACAACGTCATTAATACCAACGTAAAAAAAATTCAGATACATATATATTTATATAATTTCATTCATTGATTTTTAAATAAATATTGATAGATTTGTTTTATTGTCTGTCTTGTTTTTTTCTTTTTCTCATTGAAGATTCATTCATCCATAAATGCTGTTGATTTTTTTACATTGAACATTTTTTTATTTTTCAAGGTGTCTGAGGAAGGTATCTTTTACAGTGAGATTAAATTTAGAAAAAGTAGAATTTAAAAATATATGAATGTAAAAATATTATAAAATTTATTTAAATGAAGGAAGTTTGAATAAGTAATCATTTTTATTATTTTGTATCAAAAGTTTCTATTACAAAAATTATTATTTTATTATGATGATGATTACGTAAGTACTACACTGCATTCCACGAACACTTTTGAAATCTGATCATGTGCAGTCTAGAGAAAAAAGCAAAACCACATTTAAAATCAGAACAATATATTTATTCAAAATCAGATGAAATTTTTGTAAAAGTCTAGTTAAATTATTTTTCTATTGCCTCGAGTCATTTTCATATTAATCTATTCTTAGTAACTAAGTTAAATATATAATTTTCAATTATTTGTAAACTTATCTTTAGAAATAATAACTCATATCACCACATCCGTTGTAATTGCATGAATGTCTTTCTTAATAGTATTCAAGGATTTGGCTTTCTATCATTATTAAGTGTAAAGCAGATGATAAAAATCAAATATGTACTAATTATCTACCTTATTACTACTAATATTTTCAAAACAAAATTACCACTTAACACTGTACTAATGTTATTTCATTAGGAATATGAATAATTTTGTATCAAAAATATATGTATATTAACACCAATTTTTTTTTTATAATATTGTATTAAAAAAATTTGCAAACTAAAAAAAAGTATAGTGAAATAGATGCATCATTAAAACTTTAATCTCATTTATCAAATCCATTTGCTCTTTTCAATTCAACAAAGAGACTTCAATGCCTGACGAAGGCGTGGTGAGAGCTGAGATGTCGTTGAGTCATCTACACAGCACTACTTTGAAGTCTTTCATACCCTTTATATATCTCAGTGTGTCTGTATATATATATTCTACACCTTTAATAGAGTCAAAGAACTCTAGTGAAAATATTGTGGGAATTTTTTTCCATTATATCCATTTATCCGCTCAAACAGACTTTTACAAGTATATAAATATTTTTCATTTATGACAAAATTTTTATGCATTTATACAGTAAAACAATACAAAGACGAATGGAATCGTCTGAATATTTTAACGTGTGTGGGCGGACAGGAACCCTGCGCCCTCAAGTCTACCGTGTAATGTAGAAACTGGTCTGGATTTAATTCAAGTAGAGAGATTGAAAACACGAATAATAATAAACTTCACATATAACATTACTATATTATCTCTTATTTTACAATTTACCAAGATATTCTTATGATTTATTTCATTTTACTTTAAAAATAACAGAACATTTAACAAATCACTTCAAGAACCAAGTTCATTCACACAGAAACATAAGTTATTCAAATACTTCACACCATAATACATTATCAATAAGTTCAAATGTTCAGTAGTTATAAAAAAAGAAATATCTAATTGAAAAAATACTTGAACAAATTGTTAATGACAATGAAAAGTTTTTTTAACATTAAAATATTCATACTTTTCTTTTCTTTTTGTTACAGTTTTCATGAGCCTAATTATTAGCATCAATTCATTATCTCAGACAACACGAAGTATCAACGAAGAATACCCTAGAGAAGCATACTTCAATGGAACAACGTTTCTCAAGCTTTCTTCTATGGTATCAGTCCATCGACATAGCGGTCTTAGTTTTAGAACTTGTGAAGGAGGAAGACTCTTTACTCAAAGCTATAATGACGACACCATTAGCTTAGATGTCACAGTAGATGGCCTAGTTTTTACTGCATTTATTGATAATCAAAAGTATGAATCAAAGTTGAGTGCTAAACTTCTAAACAATGTTTGGCAAAATGTCAATTTGTTCTTCAGGCTTGGGAATCTGACTCTTACTGCAGCTGGTCACAGTCAGGTATTTTTTTTTTTCTTTAATGATTACTTTCTACTTAATACATAATTTATTTATTCAGAATATAAAAAAACATTTATTATAATTTATTCATGTTAGATCATTGCCAATGCCACTTATAATTCAGCGATCCTTATGCTTCCTGATTATAACGTTAATAACACACTGATTGTTGGAGATGGCTTCAAAGGATGCATCCTACAAGGACCTGGAATTCTCTTTAATAATACTGTCAATTATGGAGCACTATTAGGAACTTGTCCATCTGATACTAGAGGATGTGAGTAATTTTGCGATTCCCTGGTCTTGAAAACATTCTCTAAAGACTGAAAAAACAATATAATTTTAACAGAAAAAAGTACTTTTCGGTTTAGTGATGGACAGGAAGATTATTTTTATCTAATATTGAACTCTAGAAAAAAGTCTCACAATGAAACTGAATTTTAAATTACTTTGAAGGTTCAAATAATTATTTTATTAACATTACAAGTAAATTAGTTTACCATAAATATTTAATTCTATAAACATTTTAGTTATAATAGATCCGTTTTAATTAAACAAAGGAACATGTTTTCAGTTGTTCAGCAGTATTATTAAATAGAAAGTTTTAATTGTTTCTGTAAAAAATACTCTGAAAATACTTAGAGACTAGTAGATGATTGAGATTTTGATTAAAAAAAACAAGATAGTTAAAATGAAAAGCGTGTATTTTTGAGTAATGATTTAAAATAATTCTTTTTTTTTTTTTGTTAAAATTCATGTTTTCTTCTTACTATTTTTTTAGAGTAGAATACTTGCAAGTATCATATATACTTATCATTTCGTACTAGATCCATACAAATTTCAGTAGTGTAATGAATATTCACCAGAGTGACATCAATTGAAGTAGCTTAAGCTAGATCACCAGTAGTTTGCATGCTTTGTCTAAATATTTCAGGTGAATACAGCATACTCAGCAGGCTGGCTGCAATTTCAACAGACACCACAACCACCAATTACTGCCACAACGAACCATGCATGATGCACGGTAAATGCGTATCACGACAGGACCGTTACGAGTGTCAATGTTCTGCTCGATACTCTGGAAAAAATTGTCAAATCGACAATGGTAGTTGTTTTATTTTTTTTCTATACATGTAACGCTAATGATATAGACTTTCAAGTAGTTTACAACTGTATACATCATTTGCAGTAGGCGACTGCTATTTCTCAATTGCAATTTCTAGTATTATTGTTTGCACAACAGATGCCCCACGGAAAAAATATTTACATCTCTTTTTTCTCTTTGTTTTGCATGAAAAATGGTCATTGCACCAGTAGTTTACTACTTTTTTCTATCAATCGAATCTTTTTATTCGTTTTTTCTATCATGTACAAATTCATTAATACAATTAGTAATCGAATAAATTTCATTTATACGATAATTATATCTGAAAAATGACTTTTGATTAGTTCAATTAAAAACAGTAAATAACATTATTAGATAGTTTTTATTGTTTTAATTTTTAAAATGAATATTTGTAAAGCAATTTAAATTTATTTTGACAGAATAAATAAGATTTTAAACCACAAACAATGACAACGAAATATTTTAAAAGGAATTTAAATAATTAACTTTTAAATGTGTTGTGGGATTGTTTTAATCACTGTTATCAGTGACTGAAATTATCAGTGCATATTGTCTTTTAGGCTCACCATGCAACAGTAATCCCTGCAGGAATTTGGGTACGTGTGAAGAGAATGAAATAGGAGATTATACTTGCACCTGTGCACCAGGGTATGCAGGACGTTTCTGTGAATCTCAACTAGGAGTAAGACCATGTAAAGACCATGCAAATCCTTGTCAAAATAAAGGCATTTGTGTGGCTTTAACAGAGACTGAATATAAGTGCAAATGTAATTCCGGCTGGTCTGGTAGGAATTGTGAAATAAATATAAATGAATGTGAATCAAACCCTTGCAAGAACGGTGGTCGATGTATTGATGGAGTCAACAATTATACTTGTAGATGTGAAAGCACTGGGTTAGTATATATATTCATATTACATCAAAGACTGCTTTTATTATAAAGACATAGTATGATAACCTACTAATATAATGCATAACTTTCATTTTTCCAACAGATATGAAGGAAAAAATTGTGAAGTCAATATTGATGAGTGTGTCAATAACCCATGTTTGAATAATGGCAAATGTTTTGACAATTATGGTGGTTACGTTTGTCATTGTCCCGAAGGATTCGAAGGACAAAATTGTGAATTAAATTTAAACGAGTGTTTGTCAGGACCCTGCCTTAATGGTGGCACATGTACAGATGTTGTAGGCTCTTATTACTGCATGTGCCCAAGTGGGTTTGGTGGCCAGCATTGTGAACGTCCCAGTAATTGTGAAAATGCTGCGTGTCCAGCTAATAGTATATGCTTAGATGTTAAAGGAGGACTCCAGTGTGTTTGCAAACCAGGCTACATGGGTAATCCACCCAACTGTACCATTAATTATTGTGCTAGTAACCCTTGTGTCAATGGTGGAACCTGCACAAGCAATGATGATGGATATAACTGTACCTGCACAAATGAGTGGAAAGGTAAATATAAAAAATAATATCTGAGTTATGGATTCATTGAATGTTCATATGCAATTAATTTGTTGTTGATTACTATCATTGTTTTGCATTCGTATTTAACTTATGTATATGTATGTACATGTTTTGAAACATTCATTTTATCGCTCATTCTTCGGGAACTTAGGATCGCATTGTCACATTCCAATCTCTGACTGGTGTTCAATTTGTTATAATGGCGGTACTTGCATTGAAACTACTTACGGGGTCATGTGTCAATGTCCTAGATTCTGGACAGGATCACAGTGCAAGGAGCCAGTTACTTGTCGAAATCTTCCATGTACTCAAGCCACTTCTTGTCATGATTTTGTGAGTTTTGTGTTTGTATTGCATTGCATGTGTTGTTATGCCTTTTTCATATTCGTATTGTCATTAGCCTGGTGGTTATTACTGCAACTGTGAACCCGGCTGGACAGGACCGGAATGTTCTATAGACATTGATGAATGTTCAAGTGATCCTTGCAGAAATGGAGGAATATGCATCGATCAAATTAATACATATTACTGTCAGTGTTTACCTGGTTACACTGGTAATATCATTTTCTTTGTTTACATCATGCTTTCTGTGTGCTTTTACATCTAATCTTTATTAAAACATTGTCATAGTGTTCATAAAAAGAGTTCATACATTAATCCATAGCTTCCTAAATAATCCAAGCTTAACAAATTTAATGAAAAGTTAATTTGAAATTAAATGAATTTAATTACTTTTGTACCAATATAAAACGAGTTTTTTAATTCAAGTTACTTTAGCATGTATTAAAAAGAGTTTTTGAATCAAAGTTAGTTGAATCCATTGGGATAGCTCTTTTCATTTCAAAAAATAGAAAGTTAATTTCAATAAAATGTAGAATACTGATCTATTATGATGACTTTCTCAATTACATGCAATTATTTTTGCGTCTAGTTTTTTTATTCTTCAAAATGTTCATATTTATTTTTTGAAATTTAATTTCTCTACCCAGTTTCAATATTATTTTTAAACTATTTTTCATTTAATTCCTATTCTTGCGTTGTTATTATTTGATTAATTAAATTTACGTAACAATGTATAATGATCTTTATCATGAACACTACTGCAATTATTATTAGAAAAAATATTGTGTAGTGTTTTACTATAATTTTGAATAATTTTTTGTATGCAGGTAAAAACTGTCAAATCAATGTCGACGAATGTCTCTCTCAACCGTGTCTCAATGGAGGGACTTGTGTAGATGGTATGAGTGGATATACCTGCAACTGTACTCAAGATTATATGGGTGAACATTGCGAGCGTGAATATGATGCCTGCTCTTTAAATCCATGCAAAAACAATGGCACTTGTACGTTAACACCAAGATCGAAACGTGAATATGTGTGTCATTGTCCACGTGGCTTCGAGGGGAAAAATTGTGAAATTGACGTCGATGAGTGCGTATCTGTCGTTTGTCCAGAAAACAAAGTATGTGTTGATGGAGTTGTTGGATATGAATGTAAATGTCGAGAGGGATATAGAGAACCTAATTGTACATTAATTATTGATCATTGTGCTCCGAAACCATGTAATAATGGTACCTGTATCAACTTGCCAGATGATGGATTCCACTGTAATTGTAATCCAGGATTCACTGGGTTATACTGTGATACAGATATTAATGAGTGTCAAGTACTTGGAAATAAGTCATGTAATTACGGACTTTGTATTAACACAATCGGAAGTTTTAACTGTTACTGCCGACCAGGATTTTCAGGGGATCATTGCGATGTAGATGTTAATGAATGTCTTTGTGGTCCCTGCCAAAATAATGCAACTTGCATCGATAAAATCAATGACTTCGATTGCATCTGTCCGCCTGGTTATGGTGGAGAAATATGTGAAATAGATGTAAACGAATGTGAAAGTAACCCATGTCAACATGACTCTGTTTGTATCGATCAAATTGCTGCATATAAGTGTATTTGTACTCCAGGTTTTACTGGGCACAATTGCGAATTAAATATAGACGATTGTCGTTCGCAACCCTGCTTAAATTATGGTAGATGTATTGATGGTATCAATAATTATACATGTGATTGTACAAATACCGGATTTGAAGGTTTTCATTGTGAAAATAATATCGATGAATGCCGTTCTAATCCATGTGTGAATAACGCCCTATGTATCGATGATATTAAAACATATAAGTGTCGATGTTATTCGGGATATACTGGACAAAATTGCGAAATAGATATCAATGAATGTGAGAGCTCACCATGTCAGTATAATGGAACTTGTTTAGAAAGATCCAATCAAGAATTGTATAAAAGTAATGCTCGTAATCTCCCAGCTATTTTTACTCAAGAATTTAATTACTCAACTGCAAGTGGATATGAGTGTCTCTGTATCCAAGGTCTCACTGGGAAAAACTGTGAAAAAAACATTAATGAGTGCGAGAGCAATCCTTGTTTATTTGGAACATGTAAGGACAGAATTGGAGGATATACTTGTGAGTGTGATGAAGGTTTCGAAGGAGATCATTGCCAACATGATATTGATGAGTGTATGCAGTATCAACCCTGCCAACATGGAAGTTGTACTGACGGTCGTGCTGATTATTATTGCAGTTGTGATCCTCTTTATGGCGGAAAAAATTGTTCAGTAGCTCTTATTGGTTGTCAAGGTAATGCTTGTCACAATGGTGGAACCTGTTGGCCATACTTGGTTAATGAAACTGAACACAAATTTAATTGTACTTGTCCTAGTGGATTTCATGGAGATACTTGCGATCATGTAACAACTATGTCTCTAAGTGGTAATTCTTATGTAATGATTAATACAAGTCGTGACGAAGGCTATGATATTCAATTTCGATTCCGCACAACTCTTCCGAATGGGCTTTTGGCCATGGGTAAAGGAACAACATTCTACATTCTTGAATTAGTTGATGGAAAACTCAATTTACATTCTAGTATTCTTAATAAATGGGAAGGAGTATTTATTGGAAGTGGATTAAATAATTCTAAATGGCAAAAAGTATTTGTTGCTATTAATGCAACTCACTTAGTACTTTCAGCAAATGAAGAACAAACAATTTACCCGATAAATTTAAATGAAGGATCCACCACATCACCAACCACTTTTCCCACAACTTATGTTGGTGGAACAATCAGTTATCTTAGAAAATTACCACACGGGCCACCATTTTTTGTTGGTTGCACTGAAGACGTTATTATCAATGGTGAATGGATTTATCCCGGAATTAACTCAGATTCTGTATTGATGGAACTCATTGAACCTGTATGTCCACGTGAAGAACAGTGCTCACCAAACCCTTGTAAAGCCGGCGGACATTGCACAGACAGATGGAGAGACTTTTCATGTAAATGTGAACGTCCATATCTAGGGCATACATGTCAGTACAACATGACAGCAGCAACTTTCGGTTATGAAAACATCACAGATGGTTACGTAACTGTTAAAGTATTTGATGCAGCAAGAAGAGCTGTTCGATATATTGTAGATATTTCAATGTTTGTTCGTACTCGAGAGCAACGTGGCGATATTTTCTATTTAGGATCAGAGCTAAGCAATAATTTAGATACTAAATCGTCAGAAAATACTTACATTGCAGCACAACTAGAAGGTGGAGAACTTCTTGTTAGAATGCAATTTAATGGAACTGAGTCTTATACAGTGGATGGAGTTAAATTAAATGATGGTAATAATCATTTAATCCAAGTTATTAGAAACATTACTTTAGTTCAAGTTAAAATAAATGGAACCGAATACTTCCGAAAAACAATTAGTGCGACAGGACAACTAAATGCAACCGTTTTATACCTTGGAGGTTTACCACAGTTATCTAGATATATTCGTCAAGTTGACAGTAGACAAATGGAACCTGAATTAATGCCACAAGTTAACTTTAAAGGAATTATTCAAGATGTACAGATATCTAACGGTGTTGATACAATGGTCGTTGAATTTTATCCATTGAAGGCTAAAGATATTCCGCCGCCAATCTCATTTGGAAATGTTACAATGGACCGAGAGAAAGTTTTAGCTGGAGTGATATCAGATAATGTTTGTGACAGTAATCCTTGTTATCATAATGGAAGTTGTTATGTTACTTGGAATGATTTCTGGTGTCAATGTCCGAAAGGATATACTGGAAAGACATGCCAAGAAATGGAGTTTTGTCAACTACAAGATTGCCCTTCTGGATCGAAATGTCAGAATTTGGATGGTGGTTACGAATGCATAGCGAATGCTACTTTTGATGGTATCAGCACATCCTTCACTTACGTTTTTAATCAAATTCAACAGACAAATGTCACAGAGCTATACATGAATTCCATTGAAATCACATACAGATCTAACAGTGGTGGAACTATAATGCATATTGCACGATATGCAGGTGACGAACATTTTACAATTTCAGTTTATAAAGATAATATTACTGTTGAATGGAAATTAGATGCTTTACATCAAGACGTAATAACATTCAAGAAGGATGATTTCGATGGCAGTTGGACGTCAATTATTTTACAGTGGAACAATAACTTCTTAGTTTGTGGGCATGCTGACTCTTTTGACGAAACATCATCACCCTCAAGTTCAAAGTTTAGTTTTGATTTACTGTATGACTTGCTCAATACTGGCACAGTTACTTTAGGAGGTTTAACGAGTGGCAATTTGTGGGATGGAAGTTCTAGTTACGCTATAAATGAGAAAGGTATTCACGGAAATAGTGTAGAATTTATGGATCAACATCAATTAACTACACCACTACCATCTCACATGATGATGTCGGGAGATGCATTCAAAGGTTGTCTTGGAGAAGTTCGAATTGGTGGTATGCTACTCCATTATTATACCTTTGATCAAGTATATGGGAATGCTAATTTTACCCCTACTGAATACTTTGCTCTAAAAACTAACACCACTCATGATAGCATTGGCTGTCGACTCTGTTTTGAAAATGAATGTAAAAATAATGGTCACTGCCAAGATCAATTTAATAGTTACGTTTGTGATTGTCCTCCTGGTTACTCAGAAGATGATTGTTCAGTAGACATCGATGAATGTGAAAGCAATAATTGTCAGAATAATTCTACTTGCATCGATGGTATTGCTAATTATACTTGTGAATGTAATAAAGGATGGCAGGGCTGGCTTTGCGATAAAGATATTAACGAATGTGTACCCACAAGTCCTTGTCAACATGATGGAGTATGTGTAAATCTTCCTGGTTCTTTCCGTTGTGAGTGTCCAGATTCATTTACCGGTGAACTCTGTCAACATTTCCGACTTATTACATGTAAAGAACATCCATGTGCTAACGGCTCAACTTGTACAGATGTGGTAAATCCTAAAACTGGTGATAATTTTACTTGTACATGTATGACTGGGTATGAAGGTCCCAGATGTGATATGCTTTATTGCAACGTAAGGAAATGTCAAAATGGTGGTAGATGTAACTCATTCCCCTACCAGGAACCTCAATGTACTTGTCCTGTTGGATTTACTGGACTCTATTGTGAAATAAATATTGATGATTGTGCTCCTGATGAACAAGGAAATCCTAAATGCAAAAATAAAGGACAATGTGTTGATAAAATTAATAACTATGAATGTAATTGTACTGGAACAGGATATAAAGGAGACGACTGTAGTATTGATATTAATGAATGTATTCAAAATAATTATGACTGTGGATCAGGACAATGCATCAATCTCCCGGGTTCATTCGAATGTAGATGCGACCATGGATATTGCGGCAAACATTGTGAAATGTTGAATCCTTGCACTGAGGTAAATCTATTACTCATATATTTTAAAATATATTTTTTAGTTATTTTGTGATGAATAATAATATTTATACTATTTTCTTTAGGATATCTGCATGAATGGCGGTACTTGTGAATGCAATTTAGCTAGTGGTTATACATGCATGTGTATTCCTGGTTTCACAGGACAAAATTGCACAGATGTAATTATTTTAAGATTTTTTATTACATTTTTTTTATGTATTATATTTAAATTTTAAAACTAATATAACTTATGATTTATAGTCACAGGTTTTAGCAGAAAGTCAAGCGATCAATATTTTCATGATTGTTGGACCGATAGTTGGGATATTACTTCTTTCCGCTGCGGGATCACTCACTGCATTATTTATGATGGCAAGAAAGAAAAGAGCGACTCGAGGTACATACAGTCCAAGTGCTCAAGAATTCAGTAATCCAAGAGTGGAAATGGATAACGTTATGAAACCACCACCAGAAGAAAGATTAATTTGAGGATAAATTGAATTTACCGAAGGAAAATTTATCACAATTTCTAGTCCTCACTGCATTATCTTTCGATTTTTTAAGGAATGAAACGATATGCTCAGATATTATTTTGTTTTATTGTTTTACTCCTTATGCTCCAAATTTTATACATAGATAAGAATGACTTGACATTCACATGACATTAAATAACATTGCAATTAATGATGATTATAATTAAAATGTTAAAGTGTACTTAAGACTCGTGATGCAACTTTCTAAGGCGATAAACAAGAAATTATTTTAAAAAAACGTCAAAGGCCCGTCCATTTAGTGCCTTATATTTTATTTGTTTTAATGATGATTGCTATATTTATATAAAAACTGTGAACATTATTTACTGTGTATTTTTTATTGGATGAATTTCTATGATCATAGATTTTTTAAAGTATAAAACATTGCCCATATTGGGATATAGAGTTTAAACAAATTAATAAACATAATAATTAATACGTTAATTTAAACGATTGCACGCATTTGTTACTCAGAATGTTAATTGTGTAAATATAAAATAATTATATATACTTCAATATAAGAAAATTATCAGTTACAGTTGTTCATGCTAGTAACATATTATGTAGAAATTGTTTTCTATAGTATATTGTATATCAAATTTACCGTCGCGACCAAAGTAATAAAACAAAACTAAAAAGTTAAAATGTACGGATAAATAATTAAAAACATTTTTTTCAAGACTGAAATGTAAATCTTGTCATTCGATAAGAATTATTAAACCAATAAGAGAGTTGGGAGTTTTTTTTTTTAAGTAATTACTCTTGAACTAAATTGAAATTGTAAAAAAATATTAGCAATAAAATTTTGAATAGAAAAATTAATAATGTATGTAATTGATCTTTAATGTCTGTTGATACAAATAGATTAGCAGACGAACAACCATTTTAAAATTCACTAAATACTCAGTGAGAGTAACATTTCATTTTTATAACTTAAGTATTACTAATAGTAATAATAATATTAATGTATTTAACATTTCAATCAATGTTGAGAAATAATTCACTAAATAAATACCATTTACAAATTTCGTCTATTTTATAAATAATTGGTTTATATTTTTATTGTTTGCATTAAGACGCTTTTTTACCATTTATCTTAGTTAATTGACTACGTGCTAATTTGTCGAAAAATAAAAGCCCTGCGGCTCTTTCTACACTTTCTGGAGGTACTAAGAAACTTGTAAGTGGAGTATTATCATCAATCGGAGCATTGGGCATGACGTATGCTTCCATTTCATACTTGGAATCTTTTTCTCCAACAATTATTTTGTAGAAATGAGTTGGCACCGCTACATGATTAGAACCAATTACTTCATATCTTACATATTTTTTGCCGTCACTATCTCTCCTGTTAAAAAATTTATAATAAAATTACTTGATTAACAGAAAATATTTAAATCAGAGTTGTCAATAGTTCAATTTAAAAAATTTTAATTAAATTTAAAATAAATAATTGATAGAGTTCACTCAAAACAATATGACATTCTCTTTTCAAGTGATCCTTAGCTATTGAAATATAAATATACACTAGAAAAAATGGTTCGTGACCAAAGAATTTAAACATCTACTTCACTTTAGTTTTGACATAAAAATAGATCGATAACTAAAGACCACCCCGCATATAAATGAAGATAAAAGCTTTTATCGCTTACTTTGGTAAATACAATGGTCCAGTGCATACATAGACATCACTATATATTTTCGTTAAACCTCTTACATATTTTTCCAATCTATTCCATGAATGTCTATTAAAACCATGTCCCACTTGTGGTGCCATGTTTGATAGAAAAAATGTTTGCTGTATATGTTTTTGACAGCCTTTGTGATTGCCAGCAGCGGCTAAATGTCCTCTGTCATAACCACTTCCTTTGTAATCACTGTTATTGGATCTACAATAAAGGTAGAAAATAAAAAAATAATTAAAGATTTGTTCAATGAATATTATAATTGAGAAATTGAAATCAGTATTCAATACCTAAAGTAAGGATGAATGCTTTCGTCAGCTTTGAATTCGCATGTAGATCTATCTACGTTTTCAACAGGTTGCAATTTTTCTTTTGTGAGGTGTTCAAATACCCAATGTGCTACACGATTTCTTCTATCATATGATAATACGAAGTCATCAAAGGATCTAATGGTGTCAAAACCAGGAAAGCCATATTTCATGATCTGAAAGAATTGTTGAAACATTGTTATATCAAATAAAGTATATTGATGTTAATAGATTATATCTATAATTTTAATGAATTATTTTTTCCATTAATGTACCTATTTTTTACTCTCATCCATAATATAATAAAAAATTTAAATATTTATCAAATTAAAAATTTTATCATAAATTTACTCCAAAACGTTGAGAAGCAATAAAACAGCTATAAATCAATTTTGGTTAGGATATGATTCATGCATGTAAAAAAAATATCATGGTTAGTGTTTGATGATTATTTTTGTGACAAAATATTGTAAAACATAAATTTTTATGTTAACAAAAGAAAAGATGGCATGAAAATAAAAGCTTACTTGTCCAACTCTAGATGCTGTCACAGATGCTTTAACTCCCATATCTGGTTGATTTTCATTTGGAATAATAGGGGAAGCAGCAGAAACACTTCCAAATAAAGGAAGGCCAGGCATTCTTTTAATATTACATTTTGATAAAATATCGCTATCATCGGTGTTTTCATCATTTTTATTCTTAAAATACTGATTTCGTTCTAATTGTTTTCCTGCCCAAAACCCAGCTAAACCAGCACTAGCTATCGTTGATAGTTTTATAAAAAATCTAGCAGAATTTATTTTATGTACAACCATTTCTTAATTATATAAACACAAATATTATATATACATTTAATTGTTAACTATTCTCTGTGATGAACATTATTCTCAGAAGAACACGTGGTTTTTATTTTCTTTTAATACTGCCCTCTGATGAATAGTGTTAAAACTTATGTACAGTATAAAATAGACAGAACACGTGCACTAATCTATAAAAATATTTTTATTATATAAACTGTGATAACAACAAAATAAATTCATATTGAAAAAACAACAAGTCATACTCAATATGACAATGATACGATATTAATAATCAATTTCAGTCATTATCAGAATCTTCTGCTAACATGGTATCATGTCCGGGTAAATTTTTAGGATCAAATGTTGCTTGTAAACACTTTTTAAATATAATTTTAGCCTTCTTTGCTGATCGTTGAGGTGAATTGGGCACTACATCTGCCTCTAGCACATCATTATTCGAATCGTACTTATTATTTCCATTCGCTGCTCTCTTCGTAGAAGGCGAAAATAATAAGGGACTATCACTAGATTCACTAGTAAACAAATGTGGATGTCGTGCTGGCGTAGAATTAATTGAAGAAGGAGTTTCTGAAACTATATTTTTCTCAATTGCATTCAACAAGACTTGAGATTCTCTTGATGGTCTAGTCTCTAATATAACTTCACTTGACGAACAGGATCGCTGATCACTAGTCAAACCCGTTATTTTGATATCATTAACTGATACTGTGTCGTCATTTTGAAATTTTTTGGATTTCGAAGTACTTGGACCCTTTGAAATATTGGTGTCATAGTTGTTAGTTGATGATAAGTAACTACTTTCAGGGGTAGAAATTTTACTCGACCTTGGTCGTGTTTTTGGAGTTTTTTTAGGTCTTTTTAGTGCTCCTCGTTTTTTCAGAGCTTGCCTTCTTTCATGAATTGAAAGTTCTGCAACATCTGGTGGTTCTGGATTTAATGTGGAAAGTACTAGATTCGCCTCAAAAGAAGAGTGTTTTATCACAAAAACAATTGGTCTAAAATAAAAATTCCAATTAATATGTTGATGTTAACATTTAAAAAACTTTTTGTTTCATACCTTCCAGCAATTTCGAAAAACATATGAATAGGTAGTGAAACGATTTCTGCAAATAAAAGTATCGCTCTGACTTCTTTCATACAAAATGTAATACACGCATTTTGCCCAATTATATAAGTGTCAAACTCTCCTATCGCTGGAGCTAGTTGAGTTCGTGTAGAGTTTGATACATCTAAAGAAAAAATTGATTAATCATCCTTGATTTGTTCTAACAAATGATTTACTTTCTACGTAAAAAACATTACTACTTACTGGTATTTTCATGTACATAATTTCTGATTAAAATTTTGTCAGAGACTACATCTAACGTAATTTCAAGTAAATTCTGTTGGAAGTTCTGTAATGCATCACCTAATACTTTTGGTTGGACCAATATATGATTAGCAACTCCATCTTTATTATACGATGCCTAAAAAATATCAAATCAACCTTTATTATTTTTTCTTTAATGATTTCCAGACATTATATATAAACAATGAGAAAGTGATAGCTAAGTACCTGTAACGTTTCACAGTTCAAAATGGGCAGTAAAAAAGTTTTAGTAACACTATTTTTGTATTTTAAAATAATAATTAGCTTTGGTGCATTAGGTTCTAATTTGATATGACATGTCTCTACTAATTTATCAATAACTCCTGGAGATTTAAATACTGCCATGGCACCCTTCATAGATAAAGCAAGTTGTTGATTAAATTACTTAATTCACAATTGAATAAATTTACGTTTACTTTAAATTTTCTTACCCTCATTGCAACTTTACACTTTAAAGCATCTTCTTCATCTAAATTCCCATAATTGTAGTACGAAAAATAATTATCACGAAATGTAAAATCGCAATATGCGGCATTTGACATACTGACTGCTCGAAATGACAAAGCCCTTTCTTGAGGCTGTACGTACATTTCTTCTCCAATTTTTGCAAGGGCATGAATAGCTCTTGCTAAAACTATTAATCATTATATTATTTATTAGTTTACAGTAGACGGAAATTTTATGTTTATAACCTAAATTTATCTAAATACATCATAAAATACCTTTTAAATTGGCTCCTGGTATTACACATTTCATTTCTTAGAAAAATATTTTTAAAAAAAATAGTTCAATGATTTATAGTGTACAAAACCTTGATTATAAATGATAAATCAAAAATATATAATCGAATAATGTTTGCGAAATATTTTCCCGCGGTTGGAATAAAAATTGTTTTGATATTTTTGGAATTGAATGATGCTGTCATCTGACGAATTATGTAAAACCCTTTATTCAATATTAAGATCGTCGCGCTGCATACAGTTGACTTACGTACTAAATATATTTTTGTTGAAAAATTCTGATATTAGCATGTCTATGCTAAATATTATTATTATTCTGCGATTATTCTAACTAGATTTTTGTCAAAACAGTTGTCATTTATTTAAAAAATAGAATTTAATAATCTAATTATTTACAAATTACTTAAGCTAAAACTACAATAATAATACTAACAAAATTGCATAATATATATTGTAATTTAGTGAAATATTTAAATAATTATGGTGAGTAAAAGAAAAATTATTGTTGAATATGTAACCTTTAATCGTAAAATTGGAGTAATTGACAATTTTATAACTGATATTTCCAGCTTGTATTAGTATTGGGAGATCTGCACATTCCACACCGGTGTAGCAGTTTACCGAGTAAATTTAAGAAACTTTTAGTACCTGGTCGAATACAACATATATTGTGCACCGGTAATCTTTGTACAAAAGAATCTTATGATTATTTAAAAACATTAGCCAGTGATGTTCATGTTGTCAGAGGAGATTTTGACGAGGTAACACGAGTTGAAACCTCTATTTTAATTTTTATTTATGATGAATAGATAAACTAATAGCTCTTTCATTCTATATTAGAATCTCAATTACCCAGAACAAAAAGTGGTGACAGTGGGGCAATTTAGAATTGGTCTGTCACATGGACATCAAGTGGTTCCTTGGGGAGATCCAGAATCATTAGCCTTAATTCAAAGGCAATTAGATGTAGATATTTTGATATCCGGCCATACACATAAGTTTGAAGCCTATGAACATGAGAATAAATTTTATATAAATCCTGGCTCGGCAACCGGAGCATACAATCCTTTAGACACGTAAGTTTAATTCAATTATTGGATTCGCAAATGGATTTTTTTAAATTTAGATTTAAAAATTAATTTTATTTATTATCTTCATAGCAATGTCATTCCATCATTTGTATTAATGGATATACAAAGCTCGACTGTCGTTACGTATGTTTATCAGCTTGTAGGAGATGAAGTAAAAGTTGAACGAATTGAATTTAGGAAAAGTTAAAATTTGTACAGTGATATTTTAACACCATTTGTTATACTCTATGACATTTTAAATAATCTTTAATATTTCATCGAAAATATGACTTAATCATAATAACATAATAATAATATATATAGTATTCCTTGAAGAAGAATTATGTTAAAGTACAATTTGTATAAATGATATATTTATAATTATTAAATAAGTACTATAAATAACGCTCGTGACAATTTTATTCTTGTAAATAAAATTATGTTGATATTTGCATTAATTTAGATATCAATATATTATTAAGTCATGTAAAAAAAAAGTTGTATTACATCCTACTTGTCCTCGAATTTTCTTGTTTACATCTTTTTAATGGAGTTTTTCTTTTCAATAATTACTTACTTGCCTGTTACTGGTCACGTACTCCCACTGGAAATGTATGTCAAAATAATATTGTTCAATTTTCTTGACGTCTGTGACTTTTATCGTGACGCATACTTATTTTATAATTGTAAACCATTTTTCGGAGTAATCTATAATGTTTCTGATGGCCCGACAACTCTGTTGGGTCATGATTAAGAGACATCAATGCTTATGAAGATAAAAATGAGCGTATGCATGCAAAAAAATATTTCAATAGAAAATTCGTACTTGTATTAATTGAATTTTTAGTATTTACGAATATTATAGATTCTTTTTCAGTTCTACGCCAATGTTTTACACATGTGGCTGCAAAATAAAGAATAAAAAAGTAAGATAAAACGACAAAAGGGGGTTCGCGAAGTGTATGTTGACGCATGCGCACATTGAACAAGTGGGGGCCAACAGAGACTGAGCGCGTTCCAAACAAAAAGGGCCCAGCACGCTTATTTATGTTTAGTTTCATATGAGATTTATACGAGTTTACTTGCAGATTATTTTAATTAAAAACTTTTCTGTTTATCTGAAACGTTAGTTACCATGGCAACAGCATTACTAAGACATGGTTTACGTTCAGTTGTTGCAAAAAGTGTTTCTTTCGAAAAACGAGCCTTGCCGACAATATGCAATACGTTCTTCGCCGATCAACACTCTCAATTGACTCCAAAACAAAAGTTTCAGGTACTGCTTTCTTACTTTTTATTTAAATGGCGTCGATCTTATCGCAGAAAAATGTTGTGAATTTGCATAATTTTCTAGCCTCTTACTTTTTTTTGATGAATCAGAACAAAATAACTGAAATAAATCTAAATTTAGTCTTCAGAATTAACAAAGGATGAAACTTCATAAGGCAATTCAGGTTTTACTACGCAGCATATATTTTCGAGAAAGGGACTGAGCCCCATATAATTTGCGAGTCTTCTCGGTCTGTTGATCAGTGAAAAAGAAAATAAAATGAAATACGAGAATATTCCTGATAATCAATTTTTGCTAACTCAATAACATTGAAAACTTTTTATGTAAAATCAAAATACTGAATAATTTAATTAATTTAAGTCAAATAATTCATTAAAATTCAAGGTAATATTTTCAAAAAATCTGTCGATGAAATTAATTTTATTTAAATGACACATGTGGATTTACTTGATTAAAATTCAATAACTTCCGACAGATTAGAATGACCTTTTTTATCGAATCTAGACTAAAGAATTCGAAACTGTCATGGATGTTTGTAAACATGTCTGGCTAACGAGGTATCCAGAGTGGTTATTTTGTTTGAATCACTATTAAAAATTTTATTTTTCAATAGAAATCATTAGCAATAGTTTATGTAATCCGCTGTTGTAAAGAAAGCATACGGGTGAATGAACTGAAGTAAACTCAAGCTATACTCCAGTTAAAATCATTTAAATGCAAAGACTTAAAAAAATGTCATCAACTAATAATATTATTTTTCAGTTTTCTCCAATGCTAAGAACTATGTCTAGCAAGAGGAATGTCCACCATACTCGAGCATCAGCTTCTGTGGACGAGGAGAGTGACAGTGACAGCGATTCTGATGAAGAACGAGACAGAGTAAGTTACCAGTTGTCTGCCATTGATTATACTACTTCTGGAGAAAACTTATTCTTACCAAGTTCGAGAGGAAGATATGTTATATCAGACCCACACAAAAGCGATCATGTATCCATTCAGACAGTTATCTCATTTCATGTCCATTATAATGTTTTTTTCAGATAAAAAATATTAAAAAATATTTATCCATGTCAGTAATTATACAATTCTATTTTTGTCTCTATCGATTATTTTATAACAAATTACTTGTTGTTTTATTTTATGTTAAATAACAACATAAAACTTGTAAATGCATTCTAACAATAATACAATCATATGAGAAAGTGCGAATCGGTCAATGACGTCGAGTAACGATGTAAAGTCCACGTTGTCGTCCTTGATTGTGCGGATAAATAACAGTATAAACTATCTCGATTTTACCTGGAAAATATAATAAATATATATCATTTTAAATATGCGTATTAACATGCTTTGTCATATTTAAATAATCCAGACCCTGATGCTTATCGACATAAAAGGTTATCGCGAAATAAAGTTGAATGTTTATTAGCCTTCACCCAAATTTGAATTTACTGGATTATATTAAGTATCTAATGAAAGACGATATCAATAATTTTTTATAGTTACTGATAAAAATGAGTGACAGTTCTAATACCGAACTATTATTTTATTTTTCAAAGAAACGTGATAAATTAAGAGAAAGCTATTTTTAGATTATTAAAAATATAAAAAATTGGATTTCTTATTTCTCAATAATTGTGTATAATTACAGGGTCAGTCTGAATTTTGGAGAAGAAAAATGAGTACACTACACAGACACTTAGACGTTAATAAAGATGGTGTCATTAGCTATGAAGATTTTATGCTTCTTGCTGAAAGGTTTGCTGATTTAGGTCATTTATCACCAGAAGCAAAAAAAGACTTTCAGAAGGTTCTAAGTGTTAGTATTTAATTAACATACTTTTCCATGCGGGAAATTTCAATAAAATTGGTATCATCGAAAGAATTGTTATTTTATAGGATATGTGGGTCGAGCAGTGGGGCGAGATCAGTCCTTACAACCTCGTGGGCGTCGAACAATATCTTGAAGAGATGCATCATGTTTTAAATGACCCGTCTCTAAAAAAGAAATGTCACCATTTTCTTCCTTTCTTATTCAAGGTACTTGAGTTTTTGTAACTTCCTTTATTTTTTCTATCTGTTTTAATTATTCATTCACTTTGGTTATTTGTCTGAATAATATTTTACAGGCAGTGGACAAAGATGGCGATGGAGAAATATCAGTCGAAGAATTTAAATTATTTTTCAGATGTCTTGATATCGATAATGATGTAAGAATAATTCATGTTTAATATGTCTTATAGTCATATTAAAAATGTATGATTAATTTCATTATTCTGTTGAATCAGCATGCCGTTGTCTCCTTCACCTTTATCGACGTTAATGAAGATGGAAAAATTACTAAAGATGAATTTATATCTTTGGGAAGAGACTTTTTCTTGACTGAAGATCATACTAGGCCAAGCAAACATTTCTGGGGACCACTTGCAGATTAATATTTATTTCCATTGTTCATAATGAATCATGTGTGATACTTATATCAAATATCAGTCTTACAATTACATTATTTTCATATCATGAATATTGATTCAGAACCATCAATTATTCGTTAAGATTCACCGCTATTTACGGTTCATTCGTACTGCACATAAGCTTTCAAATCATTATTATTAGAATGTTAGTTTTAAATTAATATTTTATGATAAGTAAGGTTTGTATAAAATCAATCTTATTGTATTATATAATAAATATTTTCACGATTTGTAAAAAGTTTATTTTAATTTAAAAGTCCCAAAAATAACTTAATTTATCATTACTTAATTTACTGTATATTATAAACATATACATACATGAATTTATTTATTTATCTATAAGACTTATTTAATACATTTATTATTAATCCAAGTCGGCACACTCGAAAGATCACTTTCTCGATTTTCTAAGAGAAAAGCCTTCACCTGTGAATGCTTTAAACTCATCAGTATTTTTCTCCTGTAAAATAATAACAAATTGATAATAACATATCACAAAATCAACAAACATTCACGCAAGTCAATAATGATAACTGTGTGACTTACTTCTTTATTATTTATCGGTTTCAAATTGCGCATAAATCGGAGTGTTCCTATTTTATAATCGTAATCAGGTATACCACGAACATAAACAGGTTTAACAGGCTGATTTTCTGAAGTGCCTGAATCTTTTCGTTTTTTACCATCTAAACGATTACCTTGTCCTGTGAATGCTATGAATCCCGCTGTTGCTGGCATCATGTCAACGGGATCTATTTCTTCTTCTTGTTTCTTTTCTTCTCTTTGTGGTTCTTTGTAACCAACAGGCGGAGCAAATTCAACATTCATATCACATTCAATGATGGAGACAGCGGGTCTAGGTTTCGTTTCCAGTACACACATCTCGTATATTCTTTGGTTATATTGAATAGCAATAATGTCTCCTGTCGTTAAACATGCAAAGCTTCTTAAACCATTCTCTAATACTGCTTTGGGATTAGTAATATCAAGAAAATCTTCAGATTGTGCTTGAAAACGAGCGTATGTTGCAACTGGTAAAGATACGCTTTCAATATTTATTATTTCACTCTCTTCGAGCAATAAATTATGCATCATCTGTGAATAAAAAAATATACACATATACATAAATAAAATATTTACAATTAATGCATTTTTTATGAAAATTTATTTAAATGAAACTCACCCAGTATGGTAAGTATACTTTTCCTTCATCCGCTACAAATTCTAAAACTCCACAGTGGGTGACTCTGTTGGTTTTCTTATTTGTTAGTTTAAATAACATTGGGTAAACTATATTCAATCGAGTCAGCTGTTCCAAGGCTGAAGGAGGCATGATAACTAAAAATAATAAATAAATAAGTATTTTTTGTTGAATATGACAAGAGAATAATTAATTAAAGCTGAATTGATTTAATACTTACTTTTTCCCCCTTTTTCAACATCTTGCCTTTCATTTCCTGGGAGCATAGAAACTGAGAAACATTTATACTGTGTGTTGAAAGGTCTAGGAAACATACTGAACCCAAACTGAAAACAAAGACAATTACTCGTCAATTATTCTGTTGTTGAATATTTATTTTATAAATTTATTGATTAAATCTTACCATTTTGAGAATTTTATTAAATTCGTTGATTGAGATAAACTTTTGCAAAAATTTTATAAATAAATTTACTTTTATATTTATTAATTTGGCAAATATTTAATTATAGCATGACAAATTTGTTTTTGATTATGCTGTTGTGATGTCAAGGTTAGGTTTACAATGCACAATGAAGTATGAAAACAATCAAAAGATTAAGAAATGCAACTGCATACGGAAATTCGACACTAACTACAGCAGCGCCACGTTTATACTTGACATGAACTACTAGGCAAATGGCAAGTTGGTATGGTAGAAAAGATGTCAAAAAAGTATACTAACAGAGTTTCCGAACTTTTAGTTGATATTTCGACAACGGATGTCGCTACTCGTTTATTCATCATGCGCCGATATAGTAGATATGCAATTAGCACAAATTTCAAAATGATATCTATAAACCGTGATCACAGTCAATTTTTATTTAAAGAGTTGTATAAAAATTCGCAGAAATAATAATTAAGATTAAATTGATAAAGATAAAAAAATTGAAGAATACAATATTAGTAATTACCAACTTTCAACAGTGTAAACTGTAGAAGCACAAAACAATAAATTTCAAGTCCTCAAATGTTTTTTTAATTATACTATTTAGTGATGATAATGAGGCCGAAAATCCTCTTGAATACCATTTAGGGCCAAATAAACTATGCTGTATCTACATGTTTATAATTTGTTTTAAATTCAGCTGGCCATCTTCACATATGGATCCAGATGTAATACTGTAGATCCTCTATACCCGAAAAGAATACAGTATGCTTTACATTAAGTTAAAATGCATTATTTCTCCTACGAATGGAATTTTGCTCTACTGTTTTTCTTTTCTGTCATATTTGTTTCAAGCCTTCATAGCTCAGGGGTTAGAGCACTGGTCTTGTAAACCAGGGGTCGAGAGTTCAAATCTCTCTGAGGGCATTTTTTTTAATGAATATTTGAAAAATAAACATTCGACCAATACTCAAACATGACGGCTCATATATTGATTTTGTAAAAAAAGATATAGACCTACATTTTAATATTTTATACACTCTTCTCTACTTTGAGATCTCGCCATACGAAGTATTAACTTTCTACCTTTTGAAAAATATTTTTTTAGATTAATAGAAAATTGTAGCAAAAGAATAATTTATTTTTAATTTTTGGATCAAAACATTAAAAAAAAAATAATATCTACAATTGTCTGGGCATCCGAAGAGATTTCAACAATTTTTCATCTATGAAAGTGGTAACTCTATAAAGACTGCCTTCTATGACCTTGTTAGGAATCTGGAGAAAACCCTGGAGACCAGCAGATTGGCAGTCTGCCTCATAGTCTCATTTGGTGATGAATGAAGGAGTTCTCCTTATAAACCTGAAAAAGGCGGAATTTAGTGTGTACAGCTAGGACCATGTAGTCATTATGGTCTCAGGAAATGACTTGGAGAGTTTGTTTCTTAGGATGCAAATAGCTCTCAATGGTGCCAGACTCTAGCAAACTCTAGCAAAATCGAGCTTTATTTTATTTACGAGAGAAAGAAGGATTGACTTCAAGCCTTCATTCATCTTCGACAAACAGCTGAAGAATCCGAAAATGGTGCACTATCTAGGGGTTATACCATAGATAGGAAACTTAATTGTATACAGTTTCAGGGCATAACGAGGGCATAAGAAGGACTCTGACTCCACCGATGAGCTGCCTTTTGAGCATACCTACATCAGCAATAATGGTAGAGGACAACCATCCGCCTGAAGAATGAGAGACAGTGACAGAGCTTTCAGGTAGATCGTAAGGCGATTCTGGCCTCAATGACTCTACAGGCCTTAATGGTAAGATGGTTGATCGTAGCCTCAGAAAGCTAAAATTTTTACCTGGCTGGGTTTGGGTGTGGGATCCTATTCCCGATCAGAGAAACCTAGACGGAGGAGAATAAGGATTTTCTAAAGCCTTAATAAGGTTTTATAAAACCTTAAAGTCATGCTTGGTTTGTAGACAGAGCAAAGACCAGGGAAGGAAAAATTATAGCTGGAATACGGGGTTCGCATTTCATTTAAACTTACAACTTTTCAAACATAATATTGAATGCCTGTCGTTTTTCAATTGGAAGAAAAGGTCTCGTGTATAAATGATTGTTCAACAAGCAAGGCTGACCAAGTGTCAGTATTAAAAAAAAATTTGAACTATATTATTTGAATTATATATAATGCGAAGAATTTCCGCTTTAAACCATGGTGAAATGTAATAAATGAAAAAATTACAAATCAATCACATTTTTAAATTCAATTCTATCTCATGATATTTATTTATTTTATAAATAAACATTGTAAATTATTAATACAAGTAATTAAAAATAATTGGAATTTTAATTCAGTTTTTTACTTGAGGACACAAGAACGATTTTAGTACTTTTTAACTCTACACGGAGAGAATTTTTTCACTAAATGTAAGTGCAAAAATGACAAGCCTACGTTTCGAAATTTATAAGTAAAAATATTTCCATTCAATAGTGAATTTTGGGTTGTCGTAAGTAATTCTTTTCCTAAGACACCTTTTAAGTTACAAGTTTACTTACAAGAACTCAAAATTTACCATCGAACAGAAATATTTTTACTCATAAATTTCGAAACGTGGGCTTGTCACTTTTTGCACTTAGATTTAGTGAAAAAATTCTCTCCGTGTATGGCTGTGAAAGTAAAAAATTAAGAAGCTTAATAATAAATAATGAAAAGAAAATTCATCGACGAAATAATGGTGAAAAATTAAAAATTAAGTCTATCCAGTTCATGTATTATTTTAAGAGTAAGTTCGAGTGTTGATTCGTCACTGTGCCATTTTGCGGATGACTTTTGCGGATCTATAATGTGACAAGTTGGTAAATGTAAACGGAATTTAGGACTTCGTATGTCTACAGTTTCAGATTTAATATCTAATTTTATATCTTCTCTTGCTTCTCCTGGCAGATATACATAAATTGATAACCACTGACACGAAGTAGGGGCAAGAGGGTTTAGGCCAATCTGAAAATTGATATAAATTATTTTAATAATAATAATTGTCTTATTTAGATAGTTTAACTATGTACACTGTAATATGTTTTATTCAAAAATAATATGCACATACATGTTAAATGCATAACAATATTCATACAGAACAATTATTATATCTATATGATTATTATTTTATAGAATAAAAAACTTTGAAAAATTGATAAACAAAGTTTAAGAAGTATGTTATATATTTAACACTCGTATGTGTATTTCACACTTTTCAATGATAATGTAAAACACAGAAGGCAAAGTACACGTTTAAGTGTGTAAAAGTAATACATGTTCATGCCTTAAATTGTAATACTTAGCTTTTACAATGTATTAAACACAAATATAAAAATATTTTAAGTTAAACGTTAAGCAAGCGTAAATAAAGAAAATTTCGAATTTCATTAGCCTACTGAACAGTCTTATCAGAAATTGTAATTATTTATGTTTTAATAGAATGAATAGCATAAAAACCCTTAATATTATTATATATAATTTGTTATGGCTTTTCATTTTGAAATATAAAAGCGATTTCGAGTGCTAAAAGTTCAAAGGTCGTTTTATTGAGGCCTTTATCATAATTACCCCTAAAAATACGTCTTCTGCTGTTACAGTTTGTTTGAAATTCATTTTATATTCCGGTATTTTTCGTGGATCAATCATTTGAGAGTTTTGCAATATGGACACCTCAGATAATTCCCATATATTGTATTTATTTTTTTTTGTAGATTCATTAAATTTTATATGGTTAAATTGTTTAATTTCTTCAGAGTCTATCAATGAAAATAAATTAATAAATTATGTTTTGCTATTCAATATAAAACTTTATCAAAATTATACCTGACTTTGATGACTCTTTTCGCTGTATATCATCGACTGTCTCGACATTAGAATTTTGAGTAGAAATTAACTTTTCTAAAGCTTTTATAGTTTTCGATGTACAAAATTCCTCATCCATTGGTTAAGTCAAAATAGAAGGAATTTCGTTTGCAACTTGTAATAGATAAAGAAACTTTGTAGTCATAACAACTGACTGAAGTTAAATAGTTTGGTGTCAACAACTTAAAGCTCTTGGTAATAATTTACATGATAAACCCGTTTACATCAAACGCAGAATACCGAATCATCAATTTCCATTATTATTCTACTCGTAAAGAATTACACATGTTATATATTATTAGATGTTGTGCACTAATTGTAAGTAATTGAACCCAATGGTACAGTGGCTTAGCGCTGGGGGTGGACTTAGATTAATAATAATTATAATTATCATAACAATAAGCCGATAATTTAAATTTATCACTTCAATTTTTTATTGTAATTATAAATTCAAAAGTAAAGAAAAAAAATCTTTATCTACAATTATATTGACATTTCAAAACATTGCAACAATGTTTTTTTTTATTTAAAGTAGAGAAATTCAAATTTTTATTCATCTAAAATTATTTTGATTTTGAAATCATTTGAAACTTGTACTTAGCGCAAAACTTGACTGACAACTAATGATATCGGTTTTGATGGTATGCTACTTAATATACTTGATCGAATTCTATAATTACCCGGAATTACAATAAATATATTGAGAAATCTATCTTTCCACGGAGAATTTGTGTTTTTCATATTTGAAATAATTATTTCAAATTATCTCACAATAAAGTTTTTATTAATTCCCTTCTTACTTCTTTTTAGATATTTACAAAATGTATAAAGATGTCAAACAGTTAAAGTCATTCGAGTGTTGATAATATTTGATGCATTTTTATTTGATTCCCTTATCTGGTAGCCAGCTCTGAAATTAAATTTCCTAATAAAAATCTCGTATCTATCTGCTGAAAAAAATGGCATATATACACGGAAATGACAAACGTAGTATTTACAGTACTGTATGTTTTTAAATTACAGAAAAAATCAAAATTACATTGAATGTATGACACCTACACTTGATGACTGTGATATGTCTCAACAAAAAACGTGTCCTTTTTTTAGATTAAATATTAAACAGAGACGACCACGATTTCGATGTAGAGAAACCTTCACGTAATTCTTCAATTGCAAGGCCTAAACATGGATCATATGTTGGTTTTTTCTTAACATTTTCATTATCCGTAGAGTATAAATTAAAAGCAGTCGGTAAAATTTCATAGTTTTCTTGAACATCCCAAGAATATTCCGGCTTCACTGTTTCTGATGTTTGACTCTGAAATAAGATTTAAATATCAATTCAATGATTGGATATTAATACACTTTTATTATTTACTTCACTGTTTGAAGTATATTCAACTCCTAAAATTGGTTGTTTATCATATGCTGCTTTAAGAGCAGAAATTTCTTTCAAGAGAATATCCAATTTTTCGACTGGATCAACGCGAAAACCCAAGATATATCCATTTTGTGACTCTTTACTAATAATCACCAAGGTAGGTCCAAATTTAGATGGTTTTATGGATATCTGCAATCAAAGTAGTTCAAAAATATAAGAAAATTAAATTCAAAATAATGCTAAAGAATGAAAACTATTCTTGGTCTAATTATTGGATATTATTTCAGACGTAATTTGGACTCTGAACTGTAAACTTCAAAAACAAGAACAAAAAATAATCCAACAATCATTTATAGTTAGCCAATGTTGAAAAGTTGAACAAGACGTGAATTTTATGTTGGAACGAAAACGCATTCAAAAATGTATCCAACACCTCATTTTCGTTGAATCCAGGATTTAAAGTTGAAGGATGTCTTGAGTAAAATCAAGTAAAATATGTCTAGTTTACAAGTTCGCTTGCACGACACACATAAGAATACAATTATCTAATAAACAAACGAATAATTGAATAACTCGATTTAATTACCGGAATAATAAGGTACGAAACAAAAGGCAAATTTGCTGACAAATACTATTTCTGCGAGGTTGCATAAAATCGGACCCTTTTGATTTCCGGTTTTTTATGATGAAATTCAAAGTCGCATTAAAGAAATTTTCGTCTGAAATTGTTATCGATAATAAGGCCAAGATAATTTTCTAATTTTACTTTGTTGGAGATGTCAATCATACATTGTTAATAGCTAAATACGGTATAGAAACATTGAATTGATTATTCATATCTGCAAACCAAACAGTCCTTATATTTGTCACGATAAATGTTCCTACGTTCCCCTGAAACATTAATCAAGTTCAAAAAATATTTTCTCTTTTGATTATTTGAAATGATAGAAATTTTATAGTAATACCTGTTCGGTAGAGAGATTCCACACGCCATGTGTCGTACTATTGACAACTTCTTTCGGAAGTATGTTAAGTCTTTTATTCTGAATAAATCCGCCTCGAAGTTTTACTTCACGATATAATTTTGTAGAATTGTATGCTCTGTAAAAATACATCAACAATATTTTCTAATTTAATAAAATATGCTATCTAATAAATAGACAACACTTTCGGAACACGATAATGGAAATGCAAGTGTCGGTGGAACTGAACTAGTCCAAATTAAGATCAATCTTGGTCAATTGAATGTTTCGGTTAATAAACTTTGTTGAAATATCAGCAATTGTCAGCCATTCAATCAAGATGACTGATTTATTTCTGGGCACCTTTTTATCTGAATCCGAAAGAAGTCTTTTTGAAAGCTTTTTTCTAATCGGAACAGTATTCCATATTTAGTCCCTTCCCTCTATACATGCATTATTCATAACACAAAGACATATATTTAATATATTTTTATACCCTTCCAGTTGCTACTGGTTTGATTACAAAATATACAATTATTCGTTAAATATTACCTATAAATTCCAATAACCGATGTACAGTGTCGAGCACTTTTGTTTTTATGATTGGTGAAAATAAATTCATAGCGGCTATTTTGATAAATTGTCAATAGATACAACACAGCACAGGGATGTCCTTGCGCCTGTAAAATATTTAATTAATAACGCAATTAAACCAAAACTAATTTCAGCTCAAAATAAAATATGAAAATTGTGTACCGAATTTATGGTTTTTGTAGTAATGTCTATAATTGCGTTGTAGCCTATACCTGTTAGATATATAAATTAAATTAATTTTATTTAGATACAAATAATCTTCATTTACTTACCTAAATTAATTCGAGGAAATGCTACGGAAAACCAAATGATGCGCAAATTTGTTATGATCAATTGACCATGATCTCCTGCATTTCCTTTCGTGTCTTCGATCGAATCAAGTTTATCCATTATTTTTTCACCAAGACCCATTTGAATATTTCTAATTTCATATTAGTTATAATTAAATTTCTTAGTTTTTAAATGAATTTTTTTGCAACATTATTTACTTACGACAACGGCATATCAAAGTAAATTCCACTATCCTGCCACATTGTGGATTTTACAAACAATGAAATACAACAGTTGAAGAAAGAAGCAAATTTAAATACTTTTTTTAATTATTCGTATTTTGAAATTATCAAAGAAATACTGTTCCAGTGAGTATTGCCATTCTTAACATAGAACAAATCGAATCGATATGGTTACCATATCAACCCTGCATATACAACTCTTTTCTAAATTTTATTTTACGAAATCTATTGTTTGCTTTTAATGTATAAATTCACATGTAATTCTGACTACAAAATAAGATACGAATATTATACTATAAAATCGTGTCATGACATTTAAACATCATCCGTAATTATTTTCACGCTGGTACACACATGTACACTCATCGTCATTAATGATGTTTAGTGTTTTGAAGGTTATACATGTGATTCCCTTATATTCGCCTCTATTAAACTAAAACAGTATCAATAACGCCGAATGTCTAAATGTTTCCACAGTGATAACTACACTGTAAATCCCAGTTTTCCAAAATGCATTATTTTAATGCGGATAAGTGTGTTAAATATGACGTCATCCATTTGATTAACATTGGAGTCACTTTTTACACATTTAGATCTGCGTTAAAAGTGACGTTAATGTTAATCAAATAGGTGACGTCATATTTAACACACTTATCCGCAGTAAAATAATGCATTTTGGAAAACTGGGATTTACAGTGTAGTTATCACTGTTTTCAGCTCTATTTGACTCTCTAACTTTTTTTGGTAGAAAAGTGACACTTTCAGGTATTAAACAGCAAGGAGCGACACCTGATAAATAATAATAATAATAATAATAATAATAATAATAATAATAATAATTGTTTTTGGGTAATAAAAATTTGCACAAATGCTTTTGTCATTGACTACTATGCGAATTCGCGATCAAAAAATTTTAGTCTTATTCTATAATTAATGCATCTGAAGATAGGACTTAAAATTATGGCTACTGGACTATTAAGTGTCTTCAGCTTCGAGAATATATGGATCAAGTTGTGCAAAGACATAAGCATCAATTGGAGTCACGTTGATATACATACAATTATATCTATAAATGGTTATAATTGTTGAATTTAATGAACCTTACAACATATTTTCAGGTCAAGTCTATCCAGAAATTATACAGAAAGTAGAGAATTTTCAAAATTCTTACTATTTTTTTTAGATTATGTTAAGTTTGAAATTCATATCTTTATTAAACGATTACGATTACAAATCATCAGTATAATCTTACAAATAATTTTCAAACAGCCCTTTTAGTAGAAGTAATGATATTTTTAAAAATAGTAGGCACCTATAGGATATATCCACAATGTACGCAACTAATATTTTGAATGAGTCAATAATTAATCATCAAATTTCAGTGGCCATTAAATTCATATATATATTCGCAAATTTTTGTTGAATTCTGTAATTCATTGATGAATCTTTTATTTCTATTAACCAGGACTGTGCCTGTTGTTGTCGTTGGATTACTTGCAATATTTCTTAAAAGCATCTGTAGAAATAGAAATGTTAATCAATTTAATGGAGAATTATTTTTTTCTGTAGAGAGATCGTAAATATATACACTCCATTCATTATTTTAATAATAAGAAATTAATAACGAACTTACCATTACTAATTGTATTAAGTAAACAGAAAACGTCAAAAAAGAAATTGCCAACAGGGCGCCTTCTAATGACGGAAAACCGATGTGTTGTTCATGTTCTTCATGATAGCTTCTTTTTTTTCTATTTGATTTCCCTATGCTTCCGAGGATAATTTTTGATGATAATATTGGAGCTAAAGAAAAATAAGGTTTTTGAATATATAATCAAAAAATCAATACTATCATAAAAATAATATATTTACCGATATCTTCAAGTAAATTTTCTCTGAGATTGTTTAAGTAATGATACTTTACTTCGAACGTTCTCGCATGATTATTGAGTAATATTTTGTGTACAATGTTAAATAATTTAAGTGGGAAATGATCAAAGAATGATTGTTGTGAATTTACCTCTTTAATACTATTCTTTGAGTTTGTTGAATCGGACGATTGTTTATTTTTCGAGCTATTGTTAGTCTTATATTGGTCTGAATGAACTTTCGTCAGAAATTCGGAGGATATACTGTCATTAATGTTTCCATTTTTCAATATCATTGGTGGAATAGTAAAAACAGAAATATCCGGTAAATTTGCATTTGAATTGTTGGCAAAAATTATTTTCTTTTTCAACAGAAAATCGTGATTTATCTCAAAAGGATTTTGAGTTTTCACGATTCTTTTGATTTTTTCAAAATTCTCTGGCATACTATTCATCGAAGCACTCATTGCAATTTCAGGATTTATTATAGTCGAATCATCTTTTAGATCAGCAAGTCTGTATACTTTGAATTTATTAGAAAATTGAGGAAGCTCAATCCATTCACCACAAACAAAGTTCCAATTCATCTTTGTTGTGATAAAAAGCACATAGATGAATATTTTTTGTAAATTAAACACTTTTGCCGAATTTATTGCACTGTGCTCTGGAATGATAAAAAATTTGTTGAAGAAATACAATTTAGTTATTATTGATAACGCTAAAACATTAAACAGTGTGTAATTTTTTATTCTCACGGTTATCCATAGCAGCAGTTTCTAGTTGTTATTGATCACAAAAGTCGTCGGCAAACCCAAATCTCTCAAATAACTTTACATTACGAATTATTTTGAAATCTATCAAAAATTTTGCACAACTTGCTCTCTATAATTCACAGAATACTGTGGACTTTTAATTGTCACATAGCAAAGTTGAACGACAATTGTCTAGAAAGATACCGTTATGAACACGGCCTTAAAATTCACAACGCGTTAAAAAAAAATATCACTTGAAAGAGGTAATGCCCATCATACTACATTGTTATCCATGCTAATTACACCTTACGTGATAACGATATACATCTGCTACAGACATTTTGATAAGAGGGCAGTCATGTAGAATAGCAGCTGTAATCCTGCTTCGAATTGTGGTGCATTAATATTAAGACAGAAATGAAAATTTTTGGATCGAGAATTCTTGTAAAGCTCGATAAGAAGAGCATTTGTTTCAATTTCGGCATTTTCACTAATACACAATGGCCACGTCAAGTTTGTAGTATTAAAAAAAGAGAAAGTATGGTTAACATTAGTGAATTGTTTTTATAAATAGAATATTTTTCGATTTTTGGTTTTTAATCTTCTATGCACTGTAAATCTCAGTTTTCCAAAATGCATTATTTTAATGCGGATAAGTGTGTTAGATATGACGTCACCCATTTGATTAACATTGAAGTCACTTTTAACGCAGATTTAAATGTGTAAAAAGTGACTACAATGTTAATCAAATGGATGACGTCATATCTAACACACTTATCCGCATTAAAATAATGCATTTTGGAAAACTGGGATTTACAGTGTGAGGAGTGTTTGTTTAAAAGGTCCATGATAAACAAATTTTACAGGGAACAATAGAAAGTATTTAAATTGTTTAATGAAATATAATAATAATAATTGTTATTATTGTATTCGCATTGAAAATTTGCAAAAAAGATGAATAATTAATAGACTTTGATTTTTTGTTCTAAATTCATTTTTCCTATAAGAAACTTTGTATTTCCAATAAAAACCAGTATCAATTTCATCAAGATTGAAATCGAATAAATCATTCTTCGAAACGAATACCTATTAGTTTGGTTTTCCAATTGTAACGATTAGTTTTTCTTTTGAATGAATTAAAAACATTAAATTTTATTTACCAGAAATAATTATCAAGTCTAATATTGCCCGATAATATTATCTGATTGGAGAATTCTGTGGAATTCTATAAAAATATTATCACCTAGATTCATGTTACTTCTTGAATCTTATGAATTCTATTTCAAATGTAATTGGAATTTATTAGAATCTTGCAGAAATGTGCGTTCCAATTGATTTTATTCAATCCAATAAAGTCCGATTCAAAGTCTATATTGAATTCAATTAAATTCTATCGATTTTTATCAGAATGTTGAACCAAGACTGTAAAATTTAATTTTTCTAGAACTTCCATAAAAAGTATTGGTCCAGTCTTGGTCAATAATTGGATCATTATTAAACAATATTACTCATTTACCACCCCCATTTGAGTAGAAAAAAAACATGAACAAATGAAAAATTAAAGTATTACTGTTTTAGAGGCATTTAAATACAGAGATGTAATAAATCAGTCTCAATACAATAACTTCCTTTTGCGATATAAACAAAGATAATGAATAGATGAGAATAATTTATATGTAGGATAGCGAGTCAGTGTGTCAATGTTTTCACATCTTCGTGGTTCAGTATATTCCAATTTTGTTTTTAGCTCAATATTGATACAATCTATAAATATTATAACAATGTATTTGCTCGTTACAACAATTAACAGTATTAGATTGTTTATTCAACCATCGTCATTATTTTTATCCTAGCACATAAACATCAACCCTGCTGTTACATAAAAATATTCAAGCAATTTTTAAAAAACCCAATACTTTTATATCTCTGTTTGTTATTATTCTAACTTGTATCGAATTTCTTGCATTCGGAGGTGTCATGGAATTATTTGTCTCCCTTCAAATATACATCAACGAGCATTTGCTATTTGCATATTACAAATCTTAGTGTTTTATCTTAACACATTAAAAGTGTTTCAATATGATGCTACCCATTTTAAAACGTTTTTAAGTATTCTACAAATGATACAATGTTCATCAAATGGGTGATGTAACATTAAAACACTTTTAATGTGTTAAAATAAAACACTAATATTTGCAGTGCAGTTACAATAGTAGTACTGATATAAACAGAGTTATTTTTATAAACACAAATACTGTATATTCACTATTTTGCGGTGATTTTTACAAATTTATTTTTTAAAAGTATTCTTACGAAATATTCTAAACAATTTTTCATTCTAATATTGATAGTTTAGACATTTATGAATAATAATATGCTTCCGATGTACTTTCGAAAAGAAAACTTGTATTAAATATGACATATCATAAGCTTTAAAAATGCTCAAAATTCTTTGCAGGTGATTGTAGTGACGCAATCGGTGTACCGTTATTTTGACTAAATATATTGTACACGAGGTGAAATCGCTGGTGATCCGGATACGAAGTAGGACATTAGATACGCTCAGGTTATCTGCAAATGTGAAAGTGAAGAAATGACCTGTATGTACATGAATATGATATTTCCTGCTTCATCATTCTTTGAAAGTTCGTGATGGAAAATTTTTTTATAGATTTTTTAAAACTATCGGTTGAGAAATAAAATAATTTTATCAATAAAATCATTCAATATTTAATATTAATTAAACATATTATAACTTATCAACATGTTGTTCTTATAATAATTCAATAAATTTCTACAAAGTCACTAATTATCGAAATTAAAATTACATATTATTAATTAATTTTTTTATCCCTTGTGCCTACTAAAAGCTAAGGCATTAAAAGAAGACAGAAGTAATTGCTTTTTTATTTGTTGTCTTAGCAAATTTCACAAATTAAAAATTGCAATCTTTATTCTAAAAACTATTTATTTAAAAAAAAACAATCGATTATAAGTAAATTTTCGTTGGAATTTATTCCTCAAAGCGATACAATTAACTCTCAATTTCTATTTAAATTGGGCTCACAGTTAATAAAGTATGAGTCATTTGAATGAGCTGAAATTTACCCCACTGCATTCAGAATATTATTTCAGTAGAAATAAATTAATTAAGATATTCATTTTATTATTTGTATTTTAAACTTCGTATTTGAAAGATTATATACACGAATAACTTAAGGTATTTACATACTTTAAGTTTGTAGTGGTTACGAGATGAAAACTACTCTCTAAAAATGAATCATCGAATTCACTGTATCCTGTTTTGCAGTGATTTCCACTGATTCATTTTTAGAGAGTTGTATTAAAATTAAACAAAATAACAGAAATTACAATATTATAATACCAATTATTACTTTTCAATTATTCCCACCTTTATTTTTTTAATAAAAATCTCAGGAAAAATTTTTTTTCTGCATGTTAAACAAAGACTCAAAATGAAACTGATGTAAATGATATTTTTTTTGTAATTAAAATAATTTTTTATAATTAATTAAGTTGAATTTATTTGCGAAATTTTTTCAATGTGTGTAGAATTAAATTTAGAAAAAATATGATCAGTTCTTCAAGAGTATTCACCTTATAATTTCAACGAAAGAAGGGGGCTGATAAACTATGTGTGACCAAGAAAACGATTGTGGGTTAGTAGGACGAGGCTGGCAGTCGCAATGAGTCTTCCTGCACATTTAGTCGATCTTTGCCGGCCAAGATAATCAGTGTTAGGAACTTTAAGTTAACTTCGGTTATTTCGGCTAGTTGATCGGTTTTTTTTTAAATTAATTTCAGTGAAAATTCAAGTTCCATTATATGAAATAATGTAATTCTATTTTATTAATTTAATTCTTTTTAAGAATTCTTAAGCTATTCTTTTATTATTAACGATTGTAAAATTCCTTTTAACCCGGAACATTTATGAATGCAGAAAAGATAGATGAAATTCAATAAATGATATAGTTCGAATATATTTTGATATCTGTGAAAATAATCCGGTATTTTTGTGTTCTGGTGTATATTTGTTTATGTTATTGAAGAAGTTTTTCGATACTACTTATACATTTTTATTTTTTTGGTAATGCATGATTCATCTGTCTTTTTGATTTCCGTGTACCAAAAATTTTCACAATGGATTGTCAAATATTTTCATTTCAGAAAATTTCCACAGTCAAGATGATGGATGCAAGAGGAATAATTAAGAGATTAATATTAAGCGAATATTTAATATTCTCTTTAATTTTTGTAAGTATAAATTTTCATTTAGAAGTACTTAATTATTGTAAATTCTCAAATTTCATCTTACATTTATAAGTTTTAATAATGAATGTGTGCGGGGGATTAATGGTAAAAATTACGGTTATATATGAAATTTGTTAGATTCATGATCTCGACAAATTTGTTAGTGCATAGGTGTATGGTTATCATGAACGTACTTTGTGAAAGGAAAAATGAGTTTACTGCTGACGAAGTGGTGATAGTAGGTCAGTGCGCCGGATGTACGGTATCATTCTCGTTAAGTTCCTGTTATATTTTTCAGTACGCACATACATTTCTAAATGCCATAGATGTGATACTTTCAATTATTTCGGTGCCAATGCATTTACATTATTTACAAAATTTGATGACAAAAATTTTAAACCTTTTTTTCAGACTTCAAATAAGAGTCAATTGTGGTTTTAAAGATGTCTAACGTTGTGTCAAGCTCATTGAAAAATTTCACTCATTTTCTCTAAACAATAACAATTTAAATCATTTAAATTGTTAAAATAGTCTTAAAATAATGGACGTCAAAGCCTTTTCACTTATACATAATGATTCTTTTTTAACAGAAAATTTCTTTCGTTTTCTTATTTATAAAACGTACGTTTCCAGTAGCGTGGTGAAGTGTAATATTTATCTGCAATTAAAGTCATGCGAATTTTATATGATTTAATATAAAGCATATTTAAAAAAATCTGATATGAACTAAATGATAAAAACGATTTGCTCTCTTTATTTTTCTCTGTCATGCTAAGTTATTTTTTATAAATAAAAAAATAAAAAAAATCAAAGGAGAATGGAATAATATCACGGTACATTCGAGACAATTCAAATGTTTAGTAATAAAGCGCTTAAAGTGTATAGTAATTAAACACCTAAATATTACAATGCTGAACGCCATGAAAAAACTATAGCATTTTTGTAAACAGCAAGAAGTGATTAAAACTCGGGTACGAAATAACTATAGTTTGATTATAGCATTTAACATTGTAAACACTTTAAATGTTTACTTTCTAAACACTTAGTTTTACAGTGATTGAATTAAATATAAGACGTAATAAATCAATATTAATTAAGTTTTCAACCCTTGATATGCTCATCAACTCCCAAAAATAAAAATTAATATCTTTTTTGAACTTCAAAAAAACTAGTCATACTATTCTGAAACTACTAAATCTCAACGTACTGCTTTAGACCTAAATATTCTATGCGAGAAAATTTTTTCAAGACATAATTGAATACTTTTCATACTCTATATACTTGGTAGCATCTAGAGCTTCGATTAAAGTAAACATTTCAGATCTCCTTTAAATCTCGAACAACTAAACGTATTCATCACGTCCTATACATTTTGAAATTTCTACTTTCATCCTAATTATTCCACCGATCAAGAATTGCTAATGTTTTTATTTGTACTATTTAATTAACAATGAAATATTAAGTCTCCGGCTCTTTAGTATTAGTATTAATACATTGCATATTAAGCTTCGAGTTTTAACAATATTTATCTATTGTTAATAATATTTTATTATTCATGGCGGTATTTATTTAATAATATATTTATCATATCACAGATTATTATATTATACTTAAATAATTATTAATAACAAATAATTGTTGTTAACAACATTCCACTGTAAGCATCTCATAATATTGTTATTAAAAATTTCCATAATTACTATAAATTAATGTAATTAATGAATTAATGTTGTAATGATCGACCTGCTGTTGATAAATATTAACTATTAAAAATTAATATTAACTATTCACTTGTTAGATAAATATAATTCGACTGTTTATAAACATAAAATGTTGAAAAAAAATCAAACATTGTTGTCGTGCGGTGGGAATGAAAGTGAGAGCGCAATTTTCAATATCATGCAACACTTAGACAGTTAATAGATGGATGAGTCACTAGCCGGGAACCCTGGGATGCAAAAAATAGCAAAAAGAGAGCCCAATTAGAATAATGAGTCTTATAAGGATAGTATTGAAAGCGGTCAATTTTTAAATTAAATTTAAAGTAAAGACAACAATGCTTTAAGATGTATACTCGTATGCATTAATTTTAGAGTGAGAGACAAAAAATTGGACCTCGAAATAAATATTTGATAGACGAAACCTCTCTCCAATTAATTTTTTTAACATAATAAATACCGAAGAAAGTTTGGAGTGAAATTGATACATTATAAACTTAAGTGTTTAATAATAGAAAGTTTGAAGAATGTAAAATGTTAAATATTGGGAGCAAACAATTACATGTTATGTTAACGGGTTTTTAACGTTTTTATATGTTTGTTAAAATGTGATAGTTTAATTATAGTATTATTCATGACAAACAGCTAAATCTTTTATTATTTAACGCTCGTAATTTTCAATGTAGAAGCTGTATAATTGCACCAAAAATTTTTTTTCAACTCTCACCCTTACCTTTTATAGACTAGGTGTTGAACGATGTTAAATGTAAAAATGAGAAAACAAATCCTTTTTTTAAAAAAGTATAAATATTTTTTAATCTCATTTTTTGGATCGTAAGAATAGAGGGGGGAGTGATGAAAGGATAAAAAAAGAGAGGGAAGATGACTATGTGATATTTACGTGTATCTCTGTATACACGAGCTCATTTGTGAATGAATGCGTGCTAAGAAACCCTGCCGGTGACTATGAGAACCGGTACCCTTATTTAAATGAAGCGATTGGACTGACAATCATTCATGTATTGTATAAGGTGATTCAAAATGATGTGTTTCAAATGTTTTAAAACGTAAAGATCGATTAAGATTACGAATTTAAAAAGTTGACCTCATTACAAGAACTTCCCAATGTGTAGTCAATATTGATATTTTATTTTATTTATTACTTTACTACTGAGGTACACAGGTTTTATTTGAGATTGAATTATCATATTTTTAATTTTGTTATCAATCATAATGATATCGATTCCAATTTTAAAAATCGAATTCTCGACAAAAGAGTCTGCGGGAACACTTTTGCGTCGATCTTAACGCGTACTTGACGATAGTAATTATTTCCAAAAAAAATTTTAAAAATTACAGAACGTCCTATATCACTTTCTGAATATTTTTCAAACCATTCTAAATAGCTTTCTCTTTTTTTTTTAGTAACTTTCCGTCCCTATATTTTTTATATTTACGGGAATTTTTTTCACAAAATGGCAATGTTACATTTGCAATGTTATATTTTGATTCTTTTACACCATCACAAAATCAGCAAGGTTTAGCAAAGTTTCACATTTTAATTTAAAGAATATGAAACAATCTTCTATATTCTTTTCAACGGTCACATTTCTATAATTTTAATGAGGCGAAAAGTGTAATAAATTGTTAATTAAAAGATTTTTATATTTTTTTATATCATATTATTTTATTTATTTCATTATATTATATTATTTATATCATATATTTTATATAAGTTATAAATAGAAAAATAGGCCATGCGTTAAGATAAAAAATTTTCTTGTAAGACAGAGAGTTTTGACTACTTTCTGATCCGTTTAAAATAAAATTAAGTGGTCAGAAATTCTTAGAATAATCGAGACGAAAGTCCACGAACATACGCACAGACAGATTTCTCTCTGAAAATAATTAATATACGAAATTGTAACTCTACTCTCTAATATTCATTGTTTCTTTTTTAAAGAAAAAGAGAGATGTAAAGACAAATTTTTATCTCAAATTGACGGAACTCTTTTTACTTCAGTTCAACTGTTATTACTTGTGTAAGTGTGAAAGTGATTGAGCAATGAAGCTGCGTTTACTTTTTTAAAAAGTAAAAAATGCTTTTTATTCTATAATTTATTGATAAATTTGTCAGCACGAGTTCACAATCAAACTACTCATAGATTTTTTTCAAAAAAAATGTGGGAATATAAAAATTACAAGTTTACAATATCGAATAATTTTGATAAAAAATGAAATTGATTTTGTATTGTAGATATAATTATTATTGATAATCGTTTCTTTCGATTTTTTAAATTTAGATAATAAATATTTTGCTTTGTTTAAAATTTAATTTACTATTTCTGGATTACTTGATTAATCTCCTTAGATAACTTTATGTTTAATATACTTTTTTTGATCCAATAATTTTAATTTTTATGGTTTATTATTTTTAACCATCTGAGGAATAATTTTGAGCTAGCCAAGTTGATCTATGGTTTCTTATTTTGCCTAAACTCGAGTAGCTCTTAAAGATAATGTTTCGAGGTAAATTTTCTACATGTTGGGAACAACACTTAGCAATTCTCAATTCATTGATTTATTCAGTGATTCTACGAGTCATTGAAAAATCCTTGATTTAAATTAATTTCCACTGATTCAACAGTGGTTTCCTTGTCTCAGGATAATGCACAATTCAAAACTGATCAGTATAAGAAAAATATTTTTTATGCTGTATTACTCTTTATAAATCAATAAAAAATCAGGTAAGTATGGTATTATTCATTCTATCAATATTTCATTTTCATTCATAAAGTTAAAAAATTATTATTTTGAAACGATTTATTTAGTCTGATTCGTCGGAAGGTGGAGAGCAAGAAATTATGAAGAATCTTCGCTTCATAGTTTCCAACAGCCAACTTAATTGCATCAGAAGCTTCTGATACTAGTATACTGGTATCATAATGTTTTTTTTTACGTTTAGAGACTTGTCAAGAGTGTCTGGTCATGGTAACCTATTTGAGGTCTGATCAGACAGAATTATTCTATAAACACCTGATCCCTCAAGCTTGAGGGTGAGTCTCAGAATTCGAAGAGACCCAAGGGTGACCGCTTTCTGCATACGAGCCGCTAGAATTTCAGCCTGACTATGGCAGATTGGTATTGTTCGCAACTCTGTCTAAAAGCGGTCTCTCATTTCTCCAAGTACGTTAATGACTAAAGCTATGGCATGCACATGATTTGTGCTAAGATTGAAGAAAATTATATCCGGTTTATTGTGTTCGATATGTTGAAGGATTGAGAGCAGGAAATTCCAAAGAATCTTCAGTCTCTTGTTCTCAACAGCCGATTCAATTTTACTGGATAAATAAGGCAGCACTGGTGTCTTGTCTATTCCATAAGAATACCGAAGATGATTATTATGATTACTATTAACAATATCTTCTTATTTAATTCCAAAAGATGTATCAGGGAACTTAAAATCTACTAATAATTAAATAGATTTGACGTACGCCGTTGTTTCAGTGAATTTAAAATCTACTATAATATTCAGTGATTATTTACTGATCATCAGTGACTATTTAATAATTTAGTTGAAGACTAATGCTCATTGTAATAAATGGTGCAACAGGCTTTTACAGAATTAAGTGAAATAAATAACGATGTCATATGTATCTTTCGTCAGATTATGTATTTAAACAAACACTACTTATGTGATCTTTGAAGAAGCAGATCTTTACTTTCTTTGTGTAAAAGTTATCGAAATAGCTGTGAATGTACTGATTCAATACTGTAATTTATTATTGTCAACTACTCATTGGACAGTTATGACAATGGTGTTGATTTTTTAGATTTAGAATTGAAATATAATTTCACGTTTTAAAATATTGAAAAGCATACTGATAGGCTTTCAAAAAACATGTATGTGTTTATGTAGGAATGCATGTACGTAAATTTAGACATCAGGTTTTTTTCAGGTAACAAAGTTGAAATAACGTTTTGATTTCTGTTTTTAGGTTGCTCAATGTGAATCTCCTCTTCATGATAGCAGTACGCTACCACTGGAACATAGATCATCATACGGACTATCTACACTTTATGGATCTTTACCGTCACAGGGTACAGAGGATAATTGGCCCTTAGCTTCACCTGATACTCCACAAATAAAGCATTTGCAAGTGCAATGTGAAAAAACACACATGCGAGTAAATATCGAATTCGATCGTCCTTTCTATGGCATGATCTTTAGTAAAGGTTTTTACTCTGATCCACATTGTGTCCACTTAAAACCTGGTACAGGACATTTAAGTGCTACGTTTGAAATATTTCTCAACTCATGTGGTATGAGCAGTTCTGGCAATCATAATGTCGCAACTTATGGTGCACCATCCCCTTCTGGTAGCTATGTAGAAAATACTATTATTGTTCAATACGATCCATACGTTCAAGAAGTCTGGGATCAAGCTAGAAAGCTTCGATGTACATGGTATGACTTCTATGAAAAAGCTGTCACGTTTCGTCCATTCCAAGTCGATATGTTGCATGCGGTTACCGCTAACTTTCTTGGTGATAATCTTCAATGCTGGATGCAAATTCAAGTTGGAAAAGGACCGTGGGCTTCAGAAGTATCGGGTATAGTAAAAATCGGCCAAACCATGACCATGGTACTTGCCATAAAAGATGATGAAAATAAGTTTGATATGTTGGTAAGAAATTGTGTGGCTCATGATGGTAAAAGAGCTCCTATTCAACTCGTTGATCAGTATGGATGTGTTGTTAGACACAAAATAATGTCTAGGTAATATATGATTCTTCTTTTTAAGCGTATGAATAAAAACAGATTTTAATTATACTTCCTTACATCTAGATTTCAAAAAATAAAAAATTTTGGGCCGAGCGCGTCAGTTGTAAGCTTTGCATACTTTCAGGCATTTAAATTTCCTGATAGTATGAATGTTCACTTTCAATGTGTCATTCAAGTGTGTCGCTATAATTGTCCGGAACCTAAATGTGGACATCCTAATTTAGAATATGGAGTACCTACATCGGGAATTACACATGATTATAGTACACCGATTCATCAAGGGCTTGTTTCTGACTATGGCGTACCACCAGTTCCGGAATATAACATTTCACCAGCATACCCGGATCCACGGCATCCCAGTGGTCCAGCTGGTGCTTACAGGTAAAGATGCAGTATGAAATTGAAAAGATAGTAAATGTACTTATTATTAAATTTCTATTGCTATGATATGATTATTATAATTAAATTCAAAAATAGAATATGAGGAAAAATGACTAACATTAAATAATTAGATAATAAAAAATAATATTAACATTCACTTCATTACTAAATAAACTTCAACAACTTTGCTGGCTATGCTTTAAACCAATAATCTTCGAGATTAATTTCAATTTTATCATAGCCATATTTATTTTTCTAATATTATTATTTATTCTTTAATCATAATTTATAATTTCTATGAATTAACAGTGGAACGAGTCAAAACATAGTTGCTCCACCACAAGCACAAACCTCATCGTCGATGCCAAGCTCTACACCAATAGATTTTACAGCTAGTAGTTCACCACAAAGTACGCAAGATATTCATCTTCCACCTCCTCCTCTTCCCGGACATCCAGTTCGAGCTTATCAAACATTGAAACGAAAAGGAACAGTTGAATCGGACGAATCAGAGAGCAATTTATCAACTCTTGGAGGAAGACCACGATCAGTTGAAGATTTTTCAGCAGAATTAAGAGGTGCTCGGAAAAAACGACATTCAACGATGGAAAATGATCATGTGAGATTTGATAAAATATCTTTCTTTTGTCACTTATTCACCGTCTAAATGTTGCTTAGCATTAATGATCGCGTTCATGTTTTTCTTTCTCATTGTAGTACAACAAATTTCGTTTTTTATTTTCATCAAAAGTTGAATCGTATCAATAACAAATCTCGAGTTCATATATATATAATTTAATTCGAGTGGATTGCAGGAATATAAAATTGCATATGCTGGTATTTGTCGGAATCATCCCAACAACGGACTTGGGTGAAACGGTACATTTCGGGACTCATTGAACATTACGTTCTGTTTTCGTTGTTATAGTCATGACTGAAAATGACCACATCGGTGCATTTGCATACAATATTATTGTTCTTATTCAGACAATGTTGGCTGGAGATCACACACAAAATTCAGTTAATGGCAGACGATCTGATAAATACCTAAATACATTATTACACTTGTAAGAAAAATAATTTTTGGGGACAGATTGGAGATACAACGTGATTCAATCATGCTAAAAACTAAAACTGTAAAATAGTTCATCAAATTTCAAGACTTAAACGTTCAGATATAAATCAATTTTCTTATTAAACAATTTTTTTTTTCACTGATATGATTCGAAACTTGATAAAGAATTCTTTAATATAAAAAATATTGGAAGCTAAAGAGTTCTTTCAATTCAGCTAAAGTGACAATTAGGGTTTTTTAAATATTTTTTAGCATCCAAAGCTTCATATGTTTAGTTATTTGAAGATGTTGAGCATTGATGCCACTGTCTTCGTTAAAACTGTTTTGCAAATTTATGTATATTTGTCTTTACATTGATCTTTAGTGATGTTTATGTTTTTTATTCCAGATGATCGTTCCAGTAATAAGGATTATACCTCATGTCCACAGACGTTCTACCTTGGAAATGACTAATGTGAATACATCAAGAATAATCCAAGTTGTTGCACCAGGAGATGTCAATTTTGCTTTAGGAACAACTAATTCTAGTAACGACAGAACAGTTGTGATTCAAAATACGAACGCATTATCAGATTCAGAAACAATTTGCATGTCCCTACCAGGTTTTGTTGGTGGTTTAGTGATGCTTTTACTTGTTATAACTGTTTCATCTATAGTAGCAGCTTTCTTATTTATTCGAGTGCGAGCAATTCATAAGAAAAATACGAATGTAACTTCTAATTTCGTACATGCAATTTATACGACAGACAATTGTTCTCATGCTAATTCAGAATTCGTCAAAGTTTCGAATTAGCATGATTCTTGAGACCGATGATAATGAAGTTCGTCTTTGATGAATCTTATTTTGCGTACACTGAGACTTTAAAAATAATTTAATTTCGAAAAGGTAATCTTAACGTATATTTATGCAATCATTATTTATGCTGTCTGTGTGACTATTTATTGAACTAAGAACGAAATACACATTAATAATCTACCAAAAAATACAAAATACAATGAAGAATATGGAAAAATTGCAGTAATCTTGCAACTTATATCATACGTTCAACAAATAATTTATTTAGATATCTTTTCAAATAATTAAATTCATGTTTAATTGTTATATGTAAAAGGTATACAATATTAACAGTAATAACATAAATATCAAATAGAAATCCATACCACAATCCAAATGTGTTACAACAGATCCGAATATGTTCATGTTGTCTGGACATATAAATCAATATCAGTTCAATGGAATTTTTATAAGAAACGAATATAAATTATCTATAGTACTAATATTTATATAATATATTATTTATTACTTACGTGACTGAGGACTTCGTATGTTCTGGAGTGTTATGATTTTTATAAAAGAGGGCATGTAACACTCAGAATTATTTGTGCAAAGTAACATTCATACTAATGTGTATATACAAAAAAAATTTTTTATACCGATTATTGTCTACTTATTTTTTTTCTGAGTCCTGAAAAAATGAATACACTTTTCGCGAATAATAATGTTTTTTTTTTTTTTTAACGCATGTATATAAATATATATTTATGAAAATTATTTAAAATGTAAACAAAACTAATCGATGTGAATAAGTTGGTTGAAAGATAAAAAATGAAATTTTTGAAATAATGAATAAACAATTTTTACTTCGTAATAGTTTAATTTGGACTTCCTTCGTTTTAATTTCATCTTTTTGATGACGGTAAGCTTCGCATTTTTTGTTTCTTGTTATGCACTTATGTGGGATATTAAAATAACGTTACCTTTCATAAAATTCTATAAGAAGAAAGAATTGATTAAAAATTACTCTAAAAATAGAGGAAATCTGGGCATGGAGTAGAATTAACTTGGCAAGATGGTAAAATTTCCCCAGGAGGAGAAGAAGATTTTACCATCTTGTGGGATGAATTTGATTTTATTGCAGAGTAAACATTTCTGTCTCCGTAAAGTATCCAAGTTACTCTGAATCCCATGGTAATCTTTACTCAATTCTTACCGTGTACAATCAACTTATTGATTACAGCAAGACACGTCCGCAAATCTTGAGAGTTTTAGTAACTTGATGGACAAAACGAATTCTTAAAAGCTGTTGAAAAAAATTTTTACATAATAATGTGTGTCAGAAATTGTTTAATCTAAGAATTCGTCTTGTTCAAGGTTTTTTTACACTGAAAAAAATTTATAGTTATTGGAGCAATCCAAAGTATAGCCGAAGAAGATTGCTGTCTTAGCAATCTTTATGCCTACTCTAATTATTTAGATAGCTGTTATGACTATTTTAACTGTGTGAGCAAGTGAAAAATTTCGATAGTAGAAATACGACGAATTTTAAAAGTTTGATAGTTAATCTGAGAGGTACAGTATTGTTCCTACAACTATAAATTTTTTTCAGTGTGTTATATTTATTTTTATGCATGAAAGTTTTTTATGTTATGACTTTTCAATACTTATTACATACAATTAAAAAAAAAGTTAAAACAAAATATTTAATTAAAAAACTTGTCTTGTAAAAATTTCTTTCAAGAATTGCCTGAAATCCTAGATATTTCCTGACAGTCTTTTCATCGAAATAGAAATCATCGCTGAACAATGGTGATATCATAAAGATAAAACTCCATAACCATTTACCTTGTGAAACTGTGTAATAGGTAGAGACAGCAGGTACATTTGAAAATATCGATATTTGATTCAATTGTGGGAATGATTGAGAAGAACACGTTTTTTCACAATATGAGAACATAATGGATGTAAAGAAAAATTTGGTCCACAGCATGAAATAAGACGATTGTGACAAACAGAGGTTTGATAGCAGTGGTTGATGAAAGCCACATCAATGTCGTCAACTGATAGAGGACGGTGTAAGAATTTATGAAATGATTATTTATAAATTTGTACGTCTGAGGAAACTAAACTTTCTTAATTACAGACCTTTTTTTAATTGTCTTTTTTGTGTAAATGATGATCCAATAATCTTTGATAATAATGGAGATAACAGCAAGGTGATCGACAACTCAAATATTTTGTAAGAATTTATAGGATAATGATTTATCAATTTGCAAATTAAAAAAAGAAATTTTTTCAAACAATTTGATAAATCTCTTCTTCGCACTGATCCAAGTATAAACATAATTATTTTCTAATTTCTAATTTCAAGAAAAAAAATCCTCCGATCTTGGTAATTAAGGGCTCATTTTATACGTTTTGAAGCTCGGAAATGCGGAATCCTGTCATCCCCTACGAAATTTTATCCCAACCCCATTAATTACGGGCAAAACTTTGGGCCTCAATAACTCTTAAACGATTGGTCCAAAAGCGCTTTTTAGGGACGTTTTACAAACTTCGAAATCTTAGCTAACCGTACATATCCATACATGACCTCGAAAAAATTTATTTCATCCCTAAAATCGCTGAAGTACTTAGTAAGTTTCCATAGAAAAGGTGACTTTCCTACTACTTACGTGATTTTAGGGGTGAAGGGATTTTTTAAATATTTTTTATGGATATGTACGGTCTGGACCTAAGGAAAGTATCGGCATCCCCCATAAGTATCTCGCATAGTTTCCGAGTTATGAGCGTTTAAAAATTTTTCTATGCTTTACTGCAACATAACTTTGTTTTCCTCGAATAACTTATGATCTATAAGACGTACATGGACTATGAGCATATCAATGGATTCGTGAGAGCAAGAGCATTTTATTGCACTACTTACAGTTATGATTTGAGCATAATTTATGCTCTAAACATAGCAATTGAGTTTATTAGGTAAATTGTCTGAAATATGAAGTTCTATTCTATCACAGTTATATATTAATCACAAAAAAATTTATTGTTATTTCATTCAATAATACATTTTAAGAAACTGTTTTTTATGTCATTTCTTCGAAATATAAAACCATATACATGTTTACTTTTGACTAAAAAGTAGTTGTTAATATATTAAAGACGTTCATTTTCTTCGTCATCACTCGACGTAACATTTTTTTCAGTCAACTTTACTGTAGTTTTTTCTTCATTTTCTATATTTTTTACTTGATCAATTTTATCGCTGTTATTCCATGGTTGAATATCAGCGGATCCAAATATCCAATATAATATCGTTGTACTAAAAAAAATAAATGCTGAGAGCAAAAACATCCAGCGCCATTCTTCGACACCATTGTGTGCATTGGTTAAAGCCCCAATAATCGGGGATATTATAAAACCTGGAACACTACCGAATACATTCATTACTCCGTAAATTGATCCAGCAAAATTGGGTGCCAGATCCTGATGATTTTGTAAACTGGTTTGGCATGCTGCTCCGTTAAATGCTAATGCCAGAATCATCATTGTTATCGCAACAGAAGCATTACATCCAACGTAGGTCATGATAATTAATGCAACACCGGGAGCAATATGTGAACATATCATGAAAAGTTTACGGATCTTAATAATAGTAAGAATGTTTTTTCTTCTGAAAAAATCACCGGCAGCTGCAAACAAAACTCCCGCTCCTAAACGAGCGATATAAGGTAATCCGGTAAGGAACCCTCCAGATTTCATGTTTAATCCCAATATTTGTAATGTATATTTTGGTCCATTTATAGAGATAAAATATATTCCCCACATGTTGGCGAAATGTGCCCATAATAATACCCATAATGGCAGTGACTTCGCCATCTCACGAACCGGAAGAACACTTTTCTGCTTACTAACATTTGAACCAATAGATTCCATAATGTAACGTTTTTCTTCTTGAGTAATGTTGGGGTGAGCAGCAGGCGTATCGTATACAAGCCAAACCCAAGCCGCCCAGAATATAAGCATTAGTCCACTCGTCGTCCAATAAGCGGCTTTCCATCCATAAAAGTTAATTATTAGAGAGCACAAGGTAAAAGTGATGAAAGTTCCAAATGGTCCACCTTGAACAAAAATATCACTAAATGAACTTTACTCTCATCAAGAAATTTTTAAAATAAATTTTATATGAGATGAGCTTTCTGAATGTAGTTTCAATAAATTTTGAAAATTGTATATTGACAATTTGTAACTATCATGTTATTATTACATAATGTTAATATGCCTTTATTCACAAGTATGTCCGCGTAGAAGTCTATGTTTACTTTTTCCGATATTCTATCATTTAAAGAGAGATCTTATTCTCTATTTTTACAACATTAATCGTACATTTTAATCATCTTTATTCACCTTGCATTGTCCATACGAATAGACCTTTTTCATTTGGTGGGACCCATCGTGCTATCATCGCATGTAAAGCAGGATATACAGCTGACTGAAAACAATCAAATCAGTCATTAAATAATTATTTTGAAGGGAAATTAAAAAATCTTAAAATTTTTAAAGCATATCGACTGGACTATCTGAAAGAAATATATTTCTGGCTGTTCTTAAATTTATCATCTTGAAATGATCTGTTAAGATGAATTCATTTAGTCGTTTTTTATTTGAACTAAATTTACTCAGTGAGAAAAAAAATGTTAACATTTTGATACCATTGAGTAACCTATAAAATAACCATTCACTACATTATGGTTCTCCAACCTTATTATGAGGACCCTGCTCTATATTTTTCTAAATAACTTTTTTCTTAATCGAATTTTTTCTAAAATTTCTGTAACAGCATTAGAGAATGTGGAATTATTTATCTAATAAATAAGAACGAAATATAAAGCAGTGCCCAATCATACTATCTCTACATTAATCAGTAATATTATGAACCTAAACAATTAATCATATTCGAGATATGTATAATATAACACACTTACTCCTGTCAACCCCATCAAAAATCGGAGAGGTAAGAGAAGACCCCAATGCAAACTTGCGGCATAGGGCATTAATAAATTGAGGATAGCTGGAATTAGTGTAGCGTATCTATAAGAACAATTTTCACTTAGTAAATATCCTTTGGATTATAGAATAAATATATGATAACACTTACGCAACCACTCGGGCGCCACCGATTTTTTCAGCTAAAATTCCTGATGGAACGCTAGATATCAAGGGACCAATAAAATAGGCTGATAGTATAAATCCTTGAGTATTTGGATCCCATGCATATCTTTCATCAATCTAATGGAACAAGAAACAAAATTGGATGTACAACAATTTCTAAATTTATGTTTTTTCAAAAATCGGACTCATTACAATCAATTTTAACTGGAAAATTAATTAAATTTCAAGTTATATCTATTGCTATACATATCGAATTGGTTCAATCATACTTACATAAACCGTAGCTGTTTTTGTTGAAGAATTTGTTATTACATCAGTACAATATGGACCTTTTCGACTTTTTTTTGTGGCTTCCACCATTGCGACAATTATGATTGAAAGATTGGTTCGAATTACGTAAGAAAACATACAAGCAAAGAACATTAATATTCCGAGTATTGCTCTTCTTGGTATTTTTTCTAGAATAAACAAAAGTGATTAGATATGTATATTTAAAAAAATTTGAAACAGATTCACTTACATGCATTCACACTTTAATCATTAAACATTTGAGCATATCAATAATGGATAGTTGGAATACAAGTATCAGTCAGGTAAAAGACTAATTTCTATTATTCTGTCAACCAAATCACACTTGCTTAAAAATAGCACTTGGTACTCAAGATCAGTCATTCTTCCACACTCTTTCTCTACTCTATAGAGTATTTATCGTAGTGGATCTCGCTATATCTAGGCCTAATATGCTACTTCTACTATTATTTCGTGTTGTATCTACTAATGTACTCACAGTATTAGAGACGAGGCATTTCGGCGATATCGTGCTTGCCTTAAACTCACTCGAAAGAGACCGGAGAGAATCTGATATCGTCAGTTGGTGACAACAATTAGAACAACCCCCGAAAAATCAGACCTAATTAGGTACCTTCCAGGGACTCCACTTACTGAGTGATCGGATTTGGAGGAATTATCTTACTATTTGAGCATTTCAGAAACGATTCATAATCGATTATTTGATTACGGTTAGTCGCCCAGTTTAGATAATTGAGTCTGCACTCTTGCTCATACTTTCATCAGTACGGAAATGATAACTTAATCGATAACAATTGCAGGTATATATCACTGCGTAATTCTCATCTCACGGATTTTTGAATATTATAAGATGGATAAGATTAGGATGACAAATGCAGAAAAAGAACATCAAGTCTTTTGGAAGTAATATCCAGTCAAGGAGTAACACAGAAGATCAGACGTTGACGACAGTGAAGAATGCAACAATTATCTTCAGTACTCCAATCGGGAATACGGATTATAATGAAAAAAGATGAAAAAACTGAAAGGTTAAGTGTCCTGATGGTCATACGGAAGTAAAGAAAATTGGAACGCTTAACAGCTTTGTAATAAACATGGTTAGTAAATCAATGGAAGATCAAAAAAATTCTAAACCCATAAGAAACGCAAGGCATGAAGTTGTGATTGAGTTTGCTGATAATGTGCTGTATCTGCAAACCTTATTGAGACTAGACCTCATTGTTTTTATAAACTCATGATAGTTATTTTCTTAATATTCAATTATTTGATTGATCTGATATCGTACGAAAAATTTATTGTTAAAGTCTCATAGTTTTTTAATTGCTTGTTTTAATATAATTTAAGCTATTCTAGCGAAAAAAACAACAACAGTTTCTATTATTATCCGGCGATCTATTGGAGCCGAAATTAATAGTTTGTGAATTAATAAATCCTGTCATATCTCAGGATTGCATCCTAAGGGAATAGTAAGCTAGCGAATGACGTTCCGGAGTAGAGTGTGAGTGCTTTAGATTTTTTTTAAGTCTTTAGGCGCGTTTCATCGAAAATAAACAATTTTTTAAGAAGATTGAGCATTGAAAGTAGAAAATTAATTATTCAGACGGAGTTCGAGTGAACATCAGTGGTGACACAGTTCACGAAGGTCTCACGCTTCATTTTATTATTTTATTGTCATGCTAATCGGTTTAATATTTAAATAAATTATCCAAGGTCATATTATTTGATTTATCTTTATTATTTTGGTCTGCAGAACCAGATTATTTCTCACTTATCTGATTCCCGAACCATAATTATTATTATGATTTAGAAATTGACCCTGCCTCCAATCATCGATCATTTATGTAATTTGAATTTTCCCATTTTATATTTATTTTTCAATGAACACTGCGTGCCAAATCATGAAAACCGAACGCAGATTGAAAACACTCGACAGTCTTTCGTTACAACACACGGATTTTGATTAGAGGGCATATAAATCTCACGTATGATTATAAAGACAAATTCAAAAGAAACGTTTTTTATCCTATCTCATACATCTTTTCTAAGCCCATAAACCGAAAAAAAAAATTGAAAAATTTTTCTCATGCGCTATTTTTCATGATTACGCAACACCGTTATTCAGAAAAATTATTGGCCAAGGACCATCTTAAGACTAGAGACCTTGAGCTTTAAAATTTTTTTCATTACGATACGATCATTTTTCATTAAAAAATAGTTCTTTAAAAAATTTTTTGGTCTATTAAGTATTTGGAACAGCATATATAAATATAGAACTTCATATATGATTATTTTTTCAGGTATTCTAACGAACATCTAGTTGAAAAAAATTTCTCTAAATTCTAATGGTGAATGTGAATTCAGTACATCAAAAAAAAATACAATTAAAACATATTTACAATTTATCTTATAATTCATAATTGTATACATTTGGCAATTTATTTTTCGTCTTATGGAAACAGTTAAACGAAAATTAGTTGCTGCGGTTAATCAAAGTAAATTAGAAGACATCACAATAGAACGATAATTACTGAACTTATCTAACATTTGTTTGGAGATCGTTATTTTTTAAGAGCAATTTTTTGTTATATACTCTCCTCATAAACGTATGTTTTTATGAAGTTCATCAATAGAATGTGGATTATATAAATTAAGAATTAGGCTATAAGAAGAACTTTTCTTACTTCTTAGAGTTATTAAAACTAAAATTCTGAAGATAAGTATTTAGGTAAGTATTTATAACTAGTTTTTAACAAAAGTGATATGATATTATATTGTATACATGCTTTAAACATTGAAGCTTCTCATATTTTTTTACGTCCCTTCTATCAACTCGTAGGTGTATTAAATATAAAATCATACTCATTTATAGATTTCTGAATTTTATATAGAAGTAACTTGTATTTATTTATAAATAATTTCAAACAAGCAATAACAACCAGCATAGTAATGTTATTTTTTATCTAATAATGAGCTTATTTAATTATACGCTTAATTTTACACAGATAAAAAATAGTTGCATCATTTTTATTAAATATTAATGAAAATATCAGAAAAACTTATACTTTAACAGAACACACAACAATTTTTCTATTTAAGTATGTATAAAATTAAACAATTTTACATGTTTGTGTTTTTCTCTAAAAATATTAAGTTATATTTGCGAATATGAAATTGTTGAAAACACATTTACTAACACTTCCACACAACCACATCTATACATAAATATACGTTAATGCATGCTTCTCTTGGACAAATACAATTTCAAAATAATATAAAAAAATTAATGCTTACGATTTAATTTCTTCAAACACTCCATCTTTTATGGAATAAAACTTTATAAAAATAACAATTGTAACTATTCCGCTGTGCCAGATTATTTATTTCACATCACTGTAATGAACACAACTTGAACTCGGGTTAAATATCTTGAATTGATAGCGATGATATGCATTCTCTAAAAAATAAAAATTTTTGAATGGTTATAATGATAACTAATTACTATTCTAGACACATTAATATACATTTGATTTAAATACTAAATTAAATACTAAGTATTTTAGAAACTTTTTTATTCATTAAAAACTTATAAATTGAATTATTTCTGATCTATTGATATTTGCACGTTTAAACTTTACAATTATATTCTATAATGATGAGATTTAATGAACATCGTTCAAAGATTTTAATGAAATCATCACTTTTTTTTATAAAAATCTATAATAAGTTTTATCCATTGAGTAACTGTATTTTATTTACTTACACAATAACAAATAACACTAATGGTGAAGGACTTAAAAAATAGGTTACTTAACTATCAATATAAATTATTATAAATTATTTAATAATTAAAATACTTCTTAATATTTTCAATCTATCTTTTCTTTTTTTTTTGTAAAAGAAATTTGATGTAATATCTTATTAAATTATTTGATAGAATAATTTTAGTAAATTATCACGTGACATTCTTGAAAGTCTAGATCATAATCACATTGAAACTTCGAGAAATCCTCATTTTTTCGCAATAACATTTTTAAAAAATATAACACCAGTACATAAAAATAATAACTCATTAATTGAAACAAAATATTTTCAACAAAAAATTTTTGGAGTAATTTGTGTAATTTTACTTATAAAATATTACTCTGAATGTATTCACGGAATTAATATATTATTTTTTTGATTGTCATTAATCTTTATTAACAAATATCACTAATACCTAGTATATTAATATATTCTCAATAATTTTATGAATGCATTCTTACCTGTTGTTATTTGGTAGAAAAATTATTTTTTTTGGTTTGTACAGCCTTCTTTAGTTTATTTAGTCTCATTAACTATTGCTATACAGCATTTCAGAAAATAAAAAACATTTAAAAGTTAAGGTTCATGAGTATTTCTAAGAAAAATTCAAAAAATACATTTGAGTTATGCAAAAAAATTAAGTAAGGTTAATAAGATCAATTTCATTGGGTTTATGTCAGCGCAGCCTCTCGGTGTTTTCAGTACTACATCGCTCAAAGGACATACAGTATTTAAATGGTAACAATGTTATATGTTACTTTCATTTATTTGAACTTTTTCAATGATAAAAAATCTGCAAGAAATTTGCAAGTTTCTTAGTATTGAAAATTTCATCACATGTTTGTAACAAAATAATGATTAATGATAAAACGATTTATGACAGTTATACAATATTGATTTTCCGCAGTAGTTATCTTATTAGTGACAAATAAAAACAAACTACGATGTTGAATCTATTTCGAGTTTTCAATCACTGCCCTCATTTACTACGTTGGATTTCGAGAGAAGATGGCTAACAAGGTCAAAGCCTTCGATTGATTATATTTTGTATTCAAGTTGGCGTTCTTAAATTAATACATACCCTCAGAAAAGAGAAAACAGTATAGAAGTTCAGTCCATATGAGACCTAGAAAATGTAGTGAGCATTCATAAAAAAGACCGCAAGATGGCACGCCAACCGGTCATCTAACAATAGCAATAATCACTTCTCTTGCCACCAGTTATTTCCAAAAAACTAAGATTTGAACGCTTGCCACCAGTTAGTTCCAATAAAGCATAAAAAAACGTTTAAACCTTTAATTTTTTGAGGTTAGAAAAGGAAATTCTCTAACGTTGATGATTCGGGGTTATTCTGTTTGTTTTAATGCTCTGTAATTCGACCTTGAAGAAGAATTCATTTCAACAACCTTGAAAACTGAAAATGAAGGTGAAACCGGAAATGGCTATTTCAGCATAAATATGGTCGGATCAAAATTTTGACTGTTGCATCGCAAAGCTCTTGCTCTCAAGAAACTATTGATATGTTTGTGGTCCATGTACCTCTTATAGATCGTGAGTTATGATCCAAAAACAAAGCTATGCTGCAGCGAAGCATAGGAAAACCTTTACAAGTTGTACATAAAAAATATTCAAATGAATTTGATCATTGAATTTCAGAAACGATTACGATTTTTATTTAATAATACATCAATAATAGAAAATTTCAAGTTTGCTTGATATGATAATGAATTATATTCCTCTTTATAAATACTGCGTCGGCATAATACTTCAGTAGACTTCATTTGAATAAGTTTCAACACTTCAACCATGATTAATGAATTTTTTCTACAACGAAAAAAGTGGATAAATGACAACGGTTGATTAATAATTTAATCACAAATCATGAAAAGAAAATGGTGTTAATAGTAAACAGATATGAATTAATGATTTGTGTAAATAATCGTTCAAAATTGTTTGAAAAACAGCATTTTTTTTGGACATATAAAATTTTACTTATAAGCATCTGTTTGTCGGTGAATTAAAAGAAGATATCCTATTATAAGAAATATACCATTATTTAAATTACAAAGGGTTAATCTAACAAAAAATGTACAAACTGCTTTCAATTTATTTTCTAATGATAATATTTTCTAAAGTGTTAGCAATAAATATTGGAAACCACTTACAATCTTTCCATTTTCGACCAGTCAAAGAAGTTTTGGTAACTGTACTCTTCTTTTTATTGATGACTTTTTTTAGCTATAGTATTATTATTTTACCAAATTAATATTTCCTTTTTATTTTAAAATTGTAAAAGGCACACATTCTAGAATTCTGTAATACAGAATATAAGACAATAATGGTTCATGATGATGATACTGGAAGTATTGTTAAATCTTTATCAAATTTAAAATTTTTGCCAACTATAATGTTATATGAAGATGTGAGAATAACTCAAAATAGTCAAAATATGACGATAAAAATTGATGCATTTATCATTGCAAAAAAATCTCTTGATCAGCTAGAAACTATGATTGATAAATTCAGTAATACATCTTGGTGGAATGTTATGACTTCGTATTTTATTTTGGAGACATCAAATAACCAAACTGATGATACATTTGCGATGTTTGAGTTTTTCATTAAAAAAGATATTTTAACGACGTATCTTATTACTATGAGTGGTGATGTTTCAGTAAATATTGTTACAATGAATCCATTTGCAAAGTGGGCACCTTCTTCTTGGAGCTTTTTCGGTACTCTTAGAACTCAGAGTTCTTTGTTTCTACGATCATTTGATAAAGGTTGGTTTTAATTATTTATTTCTCTACTACTTTTTTATAAACTTTTCTCAGATTACATATGTGAAGAATTTTTTTTTGAACGTACACGATACCTTAAAGATTACAAAATGAAATTTTTAATCGTATATCAGGCCTTGGAAAGATTTCTGCCGATAGTCTACACTGAAAAGGATATTTATACTAATGTACCAGTGATGATACAAGTATTAATTGAAGCACTAATCAGTACATTGAATTTAAAAATGCAAATTTATCTTGAATCATCTCCACCATATTACAATTCATTAAGATCTGATCAATTTGTTCATGATAAAACGGATATTCATTTAGTATTCAATAATACTTATAATCCTGAAAATAAATTTTTTCAAAGAACATTTCCATTTTCATTCTACCAGCTAAATTTAGTCATAGATTCTCCAGGTTACAAAAGCTTATTTGCAAAAGTCTATGATTATTATGGAGTTTGGGTGCTTCCTTTCATTATTATAATTTTGCTTCATACATTTATTATTCTTCAAGTTAACAAACCTTTACATTCTGCAATGAATACATCTACGTGTTGGATGTTTTATTTTATTTTACATAAAGGAATATATTGTATATTATTCATATATTTATTGATAGTTCAATCTTTTGTTGCTCATTTGGTAAAATTTTCAATGACATCTGAACTAGTAAAAAGTGTCCAATCACTAAAAGATTTAAAGAACTCGGATCATAAAATTATCGATTACACATCAGAAGTAGCAGGATACATTGAATCACTCGATTTAAATGACAAACAATTAACTAAAGACGATTCCATGATGTGTTTATCATCATACATCCCTCGTTCAGATCTCACTGTTTGTGGAAGTTCGGAAGAATATATTTATAATTATCTTACACCGGAAAACTCTGATGTTTCAAACGTTTACATACTTCCAGAAGGTTTTAGTTTTGGTTATAAACAATTTTATATTCGTCCACAATGGTCACTTAAACCTAGAATAAATAATGTGTTTTCACATATTTTTGAAGCTGGTCTTAACCATAATGAAGATGAAAATGTTAATGGACGAGAAAAAGGAAGAAAAAAAATATTATTCGCTCCAGAGAAAATTGAATTTAAAATAATAGACTTAAATGCGTTAGTTTTTGCTTTTATTGTATTAGGAATTGGTGTAATGTGTGCTATTGTTACTTTTATTCTTGAAACTATCATCTTTGTAGTCTATTCAAAATTCTGAATGTAAAGTCATCTTTATCACATTAGACCTAATATCATATTTATAATGTATGTTATGTTATACTAAGGATTTTGTTTTTTTTTTCATATTATTCACAGTGAATATATGTGAAGGATTTTATTTCGATCGTACACAACATCTCAATGGCCATAAAATAGAATTGGCAATAAATACTCGTATATACCATGCAAGATACGTCTACAATGAAAGCCATATTGACGGTTTAATAGAATTTGATCAACGATTGCATTTAAAAGCTATCCAAACAATGTTGAATGTCACTATGAAAATTTATGTATCTTCATCACCACCATATTATGGTTTAATAAAATCAGAGAAATATCTTCATGAACAGACAAATATTAGTTTAGTAATTTATGGCACATTTTCTAAAAAAAATAAATTTTTTGATGAAACTTTTCCATTTGCATTCTTGCAAATGCTTATAGTATCACATAATAGAGGCTACAAAACTCCATTGGAGAAAATCAAGGATTATTACGGACTTTGGACGTTATTATCATTATTCTTAGTTATGCCTATAACATTTGTTGTGATAAAATTTATTAATAGTGACAAAAGCTTCAGTTTTGTTGCATTTGAAATGCTGCGTTTTCTTATAAATACATCTATTCATACTAAAATAGCAGCCACTTCACATAAAATATTTTTTAGTGTAATATTTTTATACTTTTTAATAATGCATTCCACTTTCTCTGGTCACTTAGCAGATTTTCTAACAAAACGTGAATTACGTGATAACATTAAATCATTGAAAGATTTGGAGAATTCTGAATATCAAACTATTTATTATACATCAACATCGCAGCCTTTCATTGAAGGGCTAAAAAATGATAACCAAAGATGGATCAGAGATGATGATGCCAATTTCATGTCAATTGTTCCTGTTACTGAACATACTGCTTTTATACATTTTGATATTAATTCTCTTTTATATAAAATAATACCAAAAGAACAGAAAAATAATCTAAGTATAACTTCAGATAATCTCTATTTTTATTATAATTCTTTTCATATCCGGCGACACTGGTCTTTAAATACTAAAGTTAATCTTATTCTATACCATGTATTTGAAACTAATCTTCATAATAATTTTTCCAAAAAATGGATAAGTGATGCTTCTGAACAAGAGAAACGTGAAATAGCACAAGAACAAATTGAATTTAATTCAATAACTCTCAATATGTTAACTTTTGCGTTTGTAATATTATTTATTGGTTTAATAAGTGCAATTATTAGTTTTGCTATTGAAAAAATGTATAATCAGTATTAAAATCTAGTAGCTGAAGTGTATTAAAAATAATCAATACTAATTCATTAATAATGTAGCAAAAACCCTTCAATTTATACCGATAATATTTCCGATAATTTGTTAGTTTAATTATTCAAGTTTATTTGTTGTATCTATTGTGTAAAGAAATGGCACGTTAAGTTGAAGAGAATCTTCAATCAATTGTGATTAATTATGTATGAATCCGATTAATTGTTTATAGTATTTTTTTAAAAAGGAAGATTCATGTATTTTATTTATTAAACTTTGTTATATTTGTGCACAATTTTTTTTTAAGACAGTAAGTGTGGTTTATTATTAGTTTCTATATATATTTTTAGATTGGATTTTAGCAGATATAATAGATATCTTTTTGAAAATAATTAAAGAGATCCATGGAAATTTACAATTTTTTTTGTATTACATAAGCACAAGGGTTAATTAGTCGAAAAAATGATGAAATTCAAGATGAATCAGAAGGTAAGAAAAAGTCGCACGCTAAGCTCAATCTTGTTCAATATGTTTATTAATGACTTTGAGGGGAATGTTGTGAGCAAGAACATCAAAAAGAAATGTTAAAAGAAGTTGATAAATGCATCTCAAAAGAACAAAGTAGAAGTCAACATTAACAAAACAAAGATTATAGTTGTAAATGTCAATAGAATGTAAGCAATGAAGGTATGTACCTTGAGAAAATTGGTAGGCAACAAAGTCAAATTGTCTGTGGTATGAGTAAATTGAGGAAAAAGTACAAACACTGTAAACTATAATACTACGAAACTGTAAAATATAAGTGAATCGAAATAAATCATCTTAGTGTATTTTCATTCCTACTCAAATTTAACGTGTCTATGTTAAAAATAAACTGTTTACATGTATAATGTAGTGTATAAGCTGCTGTAATATTTGTGTGAGTGTATGAGGTATTATAAAAAGCCTGTATTTGATATGACATACAATTAAAATAGATTATTATTATTGTTATTGTCATGCTCACTTGAATGTGCAGACGATATCAACGTCCTCTGAAAGTGTAAATTTTTAATATAAAATTTATATTAAAAATAGGCATGACGATCTATAATATATATATATGTTAATTGCTGAATATATATTTGTTGTAAATGATGCACTTCGAGCACAATGTTGAATTTTTAATATTACCTCTTCTGTTCGATTGAAATAAAATTTTATAAAGTAAAAATGAAATTGTTAATCCTACTTAAAACAGTTTTTATTATAAAATGCTTTCTACTGTTTGCGAAGATTCATGGCTTACATTTGAAAAGTAAACTTTAATTTATATTTAATTTATTAATAGAGAAAAAAGAGCATGGGCAAGTATAAGAAAATTATTGCTTCTTATCTCTGGTGGAAATGATTCTACAACATTCAATGCAAAAACGATAACTTTCTATAAAGAATTGTTAAAACATTTTACAAAATTTCCTGATTTTTTACAACTTGGCCCCATCTCTACTGTGTTTAAATATGACAATTTATCATAACAAACAAAAGGTTGTAAAAATGGATAGATATTGGAACTTCACGTAGTTTGTTGTAGATCTATTTCCACCAGGAATGTAACATAGTAAAATATTAAGGAAGAATATTAATGTAAGAACTCACTATAATAAAAAAATTTGAGTATTCTGTAGTATAATATTTTTAGGATTAAAATAATTTTTTATCACATCACCACGGAAAGTTAAAGTTTCCTTTCCTGTTTTGCGGTGCATGATATACTATTTTATACAGATTTTCTGCTATGTGAGAAATAAACTTTTATAATTGTGTATACACTCATTTCTTAAGAAATTTTTCTTACAATTTCCTTCAATTTCACATTTTAACCGTGTTATATTTCATTTTTCGTTACAATAAATGTTTAGGCATAAAATTAGCACAAAAATATGTCAAAATCGTTTATATTTTTATTTTTTTCGAATATTATTTTCGCAATTTTCCAATTTTTTATTATAATCAAAATACCATCAACTTTATACTTAGAAAATGTGATTTTCATATTTTCACTATAAATATAATTTAATTCGCAGCAATGCCTTTCAGCGAAGAAAAGATTTACAAGAAATAGAATTATGCATTGTGCACAAAATTTTTCTGTGTTTTCTATCCTGATTCTGTGAACAGAAACAAATCCTTGCTGTCAAATATTACACAAAAAGATTGATAAACTTACATAAGTTTGAAAGTCATGTTATTTTAAATTATTAACCAAGCAACTGAGATATTTGTAAAATATGATTTTCGTATGTAAAACTTTTCATTAGCATTCAAAAGTTTATTTATATTTTTTTTACATAATAATTTATCAATGAATTTGTACTACGTCTGCATATTATATAAAAAAAACCATCAATCCAATCAATATGACTGATGATGCACGAAATAATTTATGTTATAAAGTAGTTTCAATATACTCATTATCATTAATATGAAATTGTCAATTGAATAAATAAATTTTACGATTAGAAAAATTTTAGCTATATTATTTTTTTCGGGATAATGATACGGCAGTATCATAAATCCAAGTTATAATATTTTTGTTAAGAAGAAAACATCAAAGGCAATCTTTGGCTGATTCATCTTCAACATATAAATCAGAAAGTAATTTAGATTGATCACGAATTTTATCAACATCAACTTTAGATTTAGAAGAATGTCCCAATGTATTTGCGCACTGACTAAAACCTTTTGCTAAACTTTTCATTTCTGTGTCATTTATACTAAATTCGTCTGGCAATTCACCTCGAAATTCAAAGTTTTCAGTAGTATCATTAGCAAGCGATGACATCGAGGCAGATGTTGACGTAGTTTTCGGTTTTTTTGTTACTTCTAAATTAAGCATGTAATCCTGCAACAATTTCAATTATTCTGACATTTAATCAGCTTTATTCATTATTACGATTTGTATGCTTCTTGTTATGTCTGTTCTTCCGCCAAATAATATATATTTATATATAACATGTTTATGGAAAATACTATCAGTAAAGAGAAGAAAAAATATATTTTGAAATGATTATTATTGACGATTAGTAAATTAATTTACTATTGTTAAATTTTTATTGATCTTAAAAGCTCAATGAGTGCCTGTGGTTAAAGAAATGATCCCTTTCATATTGAGATGAGACATTTTAGCGATCTCACTCTCAGCCGCACACATTAAAGAGAACGAAGTAAATTGGATACGTCAAGCGATAACGATAATTAAAACGCACAAGTTAAGTTTCATAAAATATTCAAAAAGCAATTCAAAACTTTTTCACTATCTTCTATCTAATTTCGATTCTGTTCCGATAATTTTATTTCTCCTTAATTTATTCTTTGTGCAGCTTAAAAAATATTTAAACTGTTAAATGTTTGTAATATAATCTGATTTTCCGCGAATTATAATCACATGCTGTGATTGTTCTTCAGTTATGTAAAGATATTCCGATAAACAATTGAAAAGAGTGGAGAACGTTTTTGTATTATACGCGACGCCTATTCTGTTGTTACTGGTGACAAACACGTGATTAATTAATTTTAAATTCTCATATTTCCGGAAGTACTCATCTGATTAGATTGATGACATATGAGGCAAATCACGTAAACATGTGAAAAATCATTACTTTCTCTATTATTGTCTAATGCTTTATCTTCGATCATGAACTAAGAAAAAGTGAATTGTGGTAAATTAACTCTTTGTGTAATCAACTTTTGATGCAAATCTTTAGAAGACGAATGGATTATTACTCGTTATTGTAGTTTGTTTTTAAATTTAAGACATAACATTTATAGCATACATTTTATAGAATAATAATAAAATTGTTATCAAACCTTATCTATATCTATCAGTTGAGAAGGATGTTGTGATGATCCACAGCTGTTTGAGTTGCATTGAGCTAGAGCTAAAAGAGTTTTCTGATTCTCCCGGGCATCTATTAAAAAAATACTTTCTTTGACTTCTTTTGCATTGTATTCATCAATCCTGGAATTAAAAAAAAATTAATGTCATAAAGAATCTTGGTTCATTATAAATATAATGATATTTTAAATTTTGTTATGCTTACTTATCATATATTACAGCATGAAGTCCTAATTTTTTAAGATGTTGAATTGTATCTTTATCATTATTATCATCACCCCAGCAGAAAATTATTAGACCACGATCCTTAACAATTTGAACTTGCGATGGATCTCTTAGAATATCTTCTGTATGAACATTAATTCCTAATATATCTGCTGCCAATGCGTGTCTAACAGCCATCGGTATTGTTTGACATCGTGGATCATGATAAGTAGGATATTTCATTGTTATTCCTTGCGTCAAAAACACAACAGGATACTTATTTTGTTTAAGACGAATCATCGCGCAAATATCAGGATTGAATGATGAAAAAACTATTTTCCTATCACCTCCATATTCTAAAACTACTTTTAGTATAATATCTAAATATGTGTTTAGATCAAAAGGATGATTGAGCTCGAAAGTTCCATCCTGAAAAATTAATTATTATGTTTTTTATATTTATAATGGATTCAAGTTCGCAGTGCGAGTTTCCATTTTAAATATCATTATTCGATTCACAAGAAATCAATATAACTTTTGTGTAATTTCACTATGACCTTGAAAACTAATTATTAGTGCATTCAAAATTACATTCGTTTATCGATATTTCCTCAATTAAACTCTACTTATTTTTAATTGAAATTTTTAATGATATGATTTTTGTTTCCATGAATATAAATTACTGTATTCTTACCTTTAATTGCATTGTCCATTTTATTTCAATGTTACATCCAACATGTAGTTCCAATTCTTGAAGGGCAGCTTGTAGTGTCGGAAATGGTTGATGATCTTCTAAATCTTCATCAAAAAATCGTGGATTTTTTTCACGTGCTTCTGCTACATGATAAACCTAAAAGAAAATTAGGTGTTTTACACGAACAATACTTATGTAATTCATCGATCATTTATTCAAAACTAAAACAATGAAATGACTATCATTAATGTTTAAATGATATTTTATAATTGGATTAAAATTTATTCCTTTTTTTTGGGATTCATTCTTTAAAATAGTATTTTGCTGATTAGTAAATATCACTCCTATTTAATTACATATTGATCAATCTTATCTAAAATTTCAGAAAATATATAAATTTACCAAGTAAAATGGCTTTTTATGATTGAATATCTGTCTATAATACAGTTAATCATTTTTAACACAGTAAATCAATGAGAACGTGTTAATCAGTGCAAGCATAGGGCTCACCAATTGATCAATCGTCTGCTCATCATTATCATAGAAATACAGCACCTTACCCATCGAATCCTCTGGATAATTGAAATCCTGTTAAATTTAAAAAGAACCAAAAATTGATACAAAACGGTTCAATTCAATTATATCCATCGACATAGACCATCCCAAACCTATTGTGAATGTGAAGTTGATATTACTATATACTCCGAATGATTATTCATTATTGCCTCATAATCAGTGGTTGTTATTTTCATTTTTTTGGTATTCATATGATTATTAATAATGACGTATATAATAATATGGAGATTTTTCTTCTATTGAAAACTTACTTTTAATAAATGCAATTGCTCCAACGTCAAGTCCTTCACTGGTATCTCTAGCATATCCATGGCATCTATTTGTTTTTTACGTTTCATCGAAATAGACACATAAAAATCATGATAAATAACAGGTATCATATCTTTGGACAGCTGGACATCAAATTCAACCATATCAGCACCGTGATGAGATGCTGTTTTTAAGGATGCTAACGTATTTTCTCGGACATTAGCACAGCTGCAAATAAAATGTTAATTATTGAATAATGAATCATACAGAGTTTGATTATTATACGAATGAATGGATGTTAAATAAGGTAAATTTTTGCTATTTTTTATAAATTTATATCGTATTATTATATTCTTATAAATATGTCATCATTATTAACATTTACTTCTAACCCAGTTTAATTGAATGAATTAGTGTTGATATTTCATATGAATTTAAATATAAATAGGGTATTTCATTTTCAATCGTAATCTTTGGATAAATCACAATTATTTTTTTTCACTAAATAAAAATTTTGTTAAGTAGTAATTAAATATTTACTTACTTTTTCATTTCACATTTGAATGACGTTCCCAAACCTCTGTGACCAACATCTAGACCAGACCATCGTTGTTCCCAATGTTTAGCGTAAGATATGCTCATATCCCATGGATAATCCGGAATTGGTTTGATGCAAACATATTCAACTGTTAATTGTCCTAATAAAAAAATTAATGATAGTTATAGCAATGAAAATAATATCGAGATAAGTAAAAGAAAAATATTTACCAATTGGTCGATGTTTAGTACTGGTAATAGGTATAGTTAAAATTCCGACACTAGATTGCAATGTGCTGGGTAAAATATAACTGAATCCTATGTGATTAGGTGGAGAATCACCAGGAAAACTTCGGGAACTGTAGACGTAGTAATCAACTAAGTAGGCCTGAAAAAAGAATCTTATAAGAAGAGTGAAAAACTTTACGATAATTTTGAATGACGACACTGATATCTGCATTGTGTTTTCTTAGCTCATCCACTATTCATCTTGCACCGACCGTGAATTTTGTTTGCTGTTAAAAGCCAAAGCACATTAAATCAATTATTTGCATCATTGACAACTTGTGGTCATCAAAGTATTGCTTAGTTTACAATGATAATAATTAAGTTTTTATTTGAAATTTGATGCAAATAATACTATTTGTGCCCGTTAAATATTTACAAGTTTTACTATGTTCTTTCATGACATATTTATATTTTCACGAAATTGATTAAATTTTATTATAGCAATTCAAAATGAAGTTATAATAATAAACATGAAAAATCAATTTTTGGTGAATTATAAAAGATATACAAGTGAATATCTAGCAATGAACCAGACCAATAATTGTCAAATGCTGTTTGGTTAACGAATATGAGTGACGCGACAACCTGTATAGTACCTGCCAATCATGAATCAATACAAAAGAAGTCAATTCGATAGAGAATTTTCATAATTTATCTTAATCAATTTTTATCAGAAGACTGACAGCTTATTCTGGTATTGGCTGAATTGTTCAGTAGAGTTGGTCAGAGCTAGAAAATAATAGCGATACACTAAAAGGATATAGGTGTTATGGGACTCTCACCATTTCAGACGCACACAGATGGATATGAGACGTGATATAGTTGCTCTTATAAAAAAACAATTTAGTACGGGAGAAATGTGGGATAGCGAGGACTCGGAAAAATCTCAAGTTTACTTTTGAACTTGAGATAAAAAATTTTTATCATTCATAGTGATATTATTCGTTCATTAACGCTATTTAAAATGTAATCATTACTATGAATAAATTAATAAGGTTTACTTTTGAATAATCATTTATGAGAGCCTGCTCAGGAATAGGATGGCTGGGTAGGTTAACAATAAAATCACAATCATCATATCTCTGTGCGTTGTCATGTGACACAGACGTAAAGTGGTAGCTGATGCTTAGCATCGATACATCAGATTGCAAATTAGCATCATTGCATCAGTCTTGTTTTCTTTAAGTCAACATGGATGTTCCATCTTCCGGGTCCCTGTATTTGTGTTTGATCTCGCCGGTATGGTATCCATGGTGGCAATTGCTGCTAAACAAGTTTAATTATCTTTTATCATATTATGTAAAAAAATATATCACTATTTAGAAGGCTTTGTTCGGCTTACTCGTTGAATACTGAAAACTCATATGATAAAATCAGTTTATATCTTTTATTTGTTTTTCCATCTTCTATCTATGGATTCAATTTATTATTTACTGCTCTGATAAAGAACGGCGTTTGATGATTACTAAATTGCTGAGCATATCAATGAATAGTGGATGAGAGTTATTTTCAACAATTCAATTTTTTTAATTAATATAAATATTACATTATATGTGGATATCATGTATTAAAAGCTTACGAAAACGGCCGCAATATCAAAAGCAATAAATATCAAATTAGCATTATTGAAAAGTATTCAAATACCATATTATAAAAAATCTTTATCTCAAAGTTAAACTTACAATTGTTTCTGGATATCGTACGGCAACACTAAATATGAGAAAGTCATCTTCTTCGTAAGCTCGACCAAATTGTTCTTGGTACTTAAAAGTTGACTCTTCATCATTCATCACCTTGATAATCAAAAAAAAAATAAAGGTATTATCTTATTTCCTACGTTTTTATTAGCAAAAATATCAATGATCTTATATAATAACTTACACTTATTTCCGTGATACTGAAAGCTGGTTGATCAACAACATCTTGAGTATCCATTGAAAGACTATCATCTACACAGTCACCAGTAAACTGTAACTCTAACGAATCATGTCTATTTAAATTTACTGGTGTCATCTGAAAATTAAAAAATTTTTATACAAATGATTTATTTAAATATGTATAGATACATATATATTCACCGAAACAATTATATGATCACCTTTAGGTACAGTTTTTTATTCTGTAATCTACTTTTCCATATTTTGATAGGATTATTGAAAAGTTTAAATTGAATAACTGTTTCATCTGTAAGCCAGCCCCGTTCTATTTTGTAATAGCCATTATTATAGCCAAATTGGTCTGGCTCTGGTAGTGAATGATCAGTAAAATTACTAGGCGCTAAATTGTAACAAGGGACAATGAGAATATTATTGAAAATATTGCATTCACAGCAAATAATTTTTTTTATAGAATTCAAATAAATTTAAGCTGATAATTTTATTCGTTTATTTTTGTTTTTGATAAAAATCAAATCTGATCGAAAATAATTCTAAAAATTGTTAATAATTTTAGGTATACTTACCATCTTTTTTGATAATTCGAGGTTTCATATGTGTTTCCCATTTCCGAATAATAAGTGTTTTTGCTGGGTTCTTAGAACCATTAGATTGACAAACTACGGCTGTAAAATATCGAAAATGAACATCTTTATCCGTAGGTAGAGAAACTTTTAATGCAAAAATTGGGTTATTCCTGAAAATTAAATATTTATACACGAAATAAGTACACATTTAACTTGGAAAACACTTATCTTTATAGCTATTGCTTATGAAAAATAAGAAAACAAATATTTGATGTAACTCAGAGAAGGATAATAAATTTAAAAATAATGCATAACAAACCTCATCATTTCTTGCTCATCATTTTTAAATAAATTGTCTGACGCATTATCATCCTCATCATTTAGCGTTTCATAATTATGACTATCATCAAGAGATTTCACATTACGCATTAAATTACAATTATATTCTTGATACAATTGAAGTGACTGATGATGATTCCAAGCTCCTAATTCTGGCAAATTTCCGACCACGTACACTCGTTCATTCTTTTCTAAACCAGAAACCTAAAAAATATTTTTATTCGTGTTATGACGTGAATTTTAATTAAATTTTAAACAGATAATTTTTTACTATATGTAAAGTTCAATGTGATTACATTATGCTTTATTAAGCTTAGGCTTCACCATTTTAACAAATTACAATATAACTTGAATGAAAAATTTATTTGACCTTCACAAAACAGGTGCAAAAAAATCATTACAGCTTGATTAAAAGCTTTTAAAATTTTACGAATAACTTCAATAAATTATAAATGTTCAAAATACTCTGTTTATTACAAAAGTATTATTTCTGGAGAATATGTAAGTGTTGAGCATAAGTTTTAGTATAATTTATTAGTTGAAATGATTTTGCGTAAATGTATAAAAATTTGATCAAAGGTCATTTTTGAATGGAATGTTATAATCAAATCTAAGCTAATCTAATGTTGAAACAAAACTGCCAACTACTAAAACATTAATCCGAACAATAATAAAGTACCTGTACTCGGAATAACCAGTCTTTTTGAGAACCTTTCATGTCGAGATGTTTGTGGAAAGTTGATTTTTGAGAATTTTCTCCAATTAACTTTTGTCTTGAATAATCTGACTTATCAGAAACTTGCTCTGTAATAAATAAATAGATAAATAAATTCATAAATATATATGCAGCTAAATTGGATATATATGAATCAAATTTAGCTACATTTAGGAATTTTCTGTATGTTTTTTCCAATGTTTTTTAAGTACAACTTTTATGTGGGTGTAGTTATTAGTCATTGTAGTATATTTTTAATAGAAATAAAATAAAAAACCAAAACCTGCTGTTATTATACATTCAAATTTTTACACGTCATCTATTTATGATGAAAAGTAAACTACATCACTGTTATAATTTTATTGTTACTGCAGAAAATACTTTATACTCGTTGTCAATTTACAAATGACTAATAATACAAACACACAAAAAATCAATTAATATAAAAATATACTAATGTAAAATATGTTTCACCCATAATGTATGTATGCTTTCACAAGATGATAGAAAAGGCAAGCAAACAAATTATTGTATGTGGATTGTTAAAAAAAATTCTAGACGATTATTATTGTTATTATATTTATAATTTTTGTCGATTGAAGATAATTGTGGATTTATATATATTTTGTTTTTAAGTATATTTTCATTACTTGTTTTTATATTTCAAATAAATAAATGATCGTTCAGTTTCATTGTAATGATAATTACAGTTCTATATAGGAATAGTTCATTTCATATTTTTCACTGTATGGCAATAAAGATAAAATTGTTGGCAATAATTATAACAAGGATATTCGTTGATAATTCACCTCACGGTATAAATAACTATTGTAGTCAATGTCATTCACTAAAACAAAGTTAACATTTGAATGCACAATAATCACTTTTTCACTGTTAAAATTTTACAGTAATGTTCGGACGAATTTCCTATTATTGTTAAACTGATAGTCATTCATTAAACCTTAAAATTCGAACAATATTGTCTTACTCAACCGAAAACATGACAATGAAAGTTCAAAGTAGTATGTAAAAAAGAAGGCAAATTTTCAATGAATATACGATATGTCTTGGTCGCTTTTTAGTGAGCTCATTGCGGGGCATAATGCCAGAGAAGAGGGGAGCAATTAGAGTTCCTTAGGGTGAGTTTCGTCAGGATCTACTGTATACCAACCTAAAGTCAAAAAAAGTCAAGTTAGAGCTATAAGGACTTCAACTTACCTCAAATTCTTTTCTATGAGCTGTACATGTTTTATTTATTTTTTCTTTATGTAAAAAATATTCATAAATATTCAAAAAACTGTATAAACTTCGAAAAATGAAGATTGATAATGCAAATACCGTGATAATCGAATAAAAAATAATTTTTTAGTCAATTTTAAGGTGTCATGACAGGTGTATACTTTTTATGAGTTTTTTACTAATCGATAATACCGTATTATTACGGTTTTTTGTGGCTGTAATGTATAGATTTGTATAAAAACAGTGTAGCCAATTTCACTAGGGCACTAATGCCTCTGGAAATTTTAAATTGAAGTATTTTTTTCTCACTAAATTAAAAGTAAAATAAGATTACAGAAAAGTAAATTACGTTAAACGCACGGTTAAATAACCGCAGTAATTTATTATACATACAAAAAAAATCTGCATATTAAAAAATTTCGAAACAAAATTCTAACTTTATAATTATAATTATGATGGTAGATATATTTCATTCATTGTAAAGGCGAGTTTCACATGTTTAATTGCAATTAAATAGGCTTGCCAATTGCTACAATTTGTTTACATTGAATCTGTGGTAGTTGGCAAACCTATGTTATTGCAATTAAGTAAGTGAAACTTACCCTGACCTGTAGTCTGTTTAAGAAATTCACAATTTTAATGGAATTGAAAGAATTAATTAAATATAAATAATTTCTTTTAATTTTACCTCCAGATACTGGCATGTTGCTATGTATTTTTAGCCAGAATAGTTAAGGAAATTCCAAAAAAATATGTAGATATTATAAACCCTGCCTTATAAATCATTATTGCCTACACAATTGGTGTAACAATATTTGAAAAAGATTCAAAATTATTTATTAATTTCATTCAATGATTTTTTTTCATACATCTTTTCATTTATTTTAATACATAATTCTTTTTATCGTTACTCTTAACTTCCTAGTGGGAAGTTACTGTAATGGTCAAATTTTGACATTTCTCCATGTTTTAAGGTCTTTATAGTCGAATGCTATTGTTTAAGAAGGATATTCGTGTGTGAATATGTACATATGTATGTTCGTTCGTTATCAATTTTCGTCTCGTGTTTCATTCAATGCATGATTATGTAACTTGAACCTGATTAAATTTTGCTTTAGTTATTATAATCATTATTAATTATTATAAATAATTAATAATAATTGAAATCGGTTAAACTGTTTGTAATAGATGAAAAAATTTAAAACATGAAAGAAAAACTACCGATTTCCTTTCATGTTTTAAATTTGCCTGTTTTGTACTTAATACTGGAAAATTAGTCGTGCAAGTCTGCCGGGTCGTACTTAGATTGTTTTCTATTGTTGAAATAAGTAACTCTTCTAATTGATTTCAATTAAATGATTACTATTTAATAAGTACCAACAAAATAAGCTGGCTCAATCCATGTGTAAGATTAGCAAGTACGTGCTTTAAAGAAATTTAATTACCCTACCAAAGGCCAAAAATAAAATTTAAAAAATGCTCTTATAGTCGTATATTGATCCGAAATGATTTTTGCATATATTTCTATATTCAACATTTTATTCGGAATCTTTACGATTCAATTTAAAAATGTATATAAATACAAGTTATAATAATCTTAAATTATATCTTATTAAATCAAAAAAATTTCCAAGTCCACAAATTTATTTTGGTCTTATTTTTTATTTAAATAAATAATAACTGCTACATGTATTTGAATTGAATGTCATATTATATACTACGTATGAAAAATAATCTTTTTAATTCAAATAATTGAATTGAAATAATCTTTGTCTCTTGACATTATTCTAGATGAAGCTTTTGTTGAAAGCTGATTCCATTACAAAATCAATCAAGTTTAGAAATATTTACTCTAATTTGGCACACATTAAAGACAAGAAACTCACTGATAATAACTGGATTTTATACATGCTATATCAAGTTTTATATCATTTGCCAATAAATTCAATACCACTAAACATTATTTTTCAAAAATATGTATAAAAATTTAGGCTCTGATAAAAATTTTCAATCTATTTTACAAGTATTGTGACAAATGATTATTTTCTTTTTTAATTAATTACATGATCTGTATCAATTATACTAGCACATTTCTCTTACTTAGTTACACTAAATAATTGACAAATTACCTAAAATTGTTGAATTTGTTTGAGCACTTGATTTTTAGAATAACGTATTCTCAGTTTAACTTTTAGAATATGGAGGGAATGAGTTTATCATATACAAAAAAGTAAAAATTACTTTATATTAGTGTAAAACATCGTTTACAGGTTTTACTGCTGTTTCTAAATCATGAATTTTTTGTCTTTTGTTAATTATTTGGTCTTTGCTCGGATTATCCCATAACTGTCTTTGTCCAGAACCGAATATGATATAAAATGTGGCACATACTATATAAATCACTGCAGAAATGATAAAAACTATTTGCCATTTACGATGTGTTACCTGAAAAATAATTAATAAAAGATATAAATAAACATTTATTTATTAAATACACACTATACACTATTGAACTCTTCTTTAATTTACCTGTCCGTCAATAATATAACCTGCCACAATAGGAGCAAGAAGTCCAGCAAGATTAGCAAGACAATTAGTAAATGACATCAGAACGCCTGCGAAACGTGGTGAAATATCAAGATGATTGACTTTAAATCCTGAGTAAATCCCGCCATTTAATCCAACTCCAATAGTTAATAAGGCAACGGTTAATAGTGGATCACAGCCAGTGTATGAAGCTATTATTAAAGTGATAGCTGGTCCATATTGACCTACGGTATTGATAATCTTTCTCGTTGATGTATGGGTGAACTTCCCTGATGATATCATCCAATCAGCTACATGAGATATCAACATTGAAAAGATCCACATTGCCAGATACGGAAGTGCAGAAACTATCCCATTCTAAAAAAAAATTTATACATTATATAATTAATTAGCATGGATATTTCATAACTATAGACATGTTTTTTAAAAATAACTTATTGTATAGAAAAAAAACCTATCTCGGGGTGATGAAACTAGAAGTTTATTTTGATTCTATCATGTTTTTTAAGAAACTTCAAATAAAAATTAAAAATATTTAACAAACTTTGCTAGTGGAAAATTATTGCATAACTAACTTAAAACAAAACTAAATAAATATATCAGTAAGTGCAGTTAATTGTTGAAGTAAGAACATGCAAAAAATATTCAAAATTAATATATTCTGAAATAATAAAATCGTTAAACTGTCAACCTATTTAGCAGAATTTTTGAACAAAATAATTATTTAACTAAATAAATTATTTAATTGGATTATTTTAGAACATTTTTGAGTTTTGAATTTAAGAGTAATTAATTGTAAACAAAAAATATTTTGTTCTATTATTGAAAGAAACAATTTTCATAATATTTTTCCAAAAAGTCTACTCACAGTTTTAATATTGAAATGCAATATTTGCTTCATGTATGTTGGTAGCTCCGTCATTAAGGTTTCATACCCATAATTTTGACCCATATGGGCTATCAAAATAGCCCAAAATGGTAATGAAGTCATAATAGATTTCCATGGTACTGGAGGAGACTGTAAATGTTTAAGAACGACATTTATGTAAAACAGATATTCTAACTTAATTTCAAAAGATTTTTGTAAATAAAAAGTCTTATTATTACAGATGATCCCGCACTACCCCACAGTGCACTGAGGATATATTTTTTTTCATTTTCACTGATACTCGGATGTTGTTCAGGATCCTCGTAGACCCAAAGTAGAAACGCAATGCACCAAATCGTCCCAACTGCTCCGAAAACATAAAATATTGACGGCCATCCACCAGCAAAACCATACGTAGACAACAGTCCACTTAACGGCATTGAAATTACTGTTCCAAATTGAGCTCCTGTAAAAAAAAAAAGGTTTGAATAAAAAATAACCGGCTATAAACAAGAAAAAAGTGTTAGGAGAAAATTTTCAACTATAAAAGTGTTATTTATTTTTCAATATAATACTTTATTTATTGATTATGAATTGCATAATTATATATTGGCTAGTAAAATTTCGAATAAAAATTTACGATCGAATTAGATGTTAGTTAAATTATGAAAAGACGTAAAAAAATATTAATAGTGTATTATTTTTCTAGTGATAATGAACTGTCATAAAAAGCCTTCCTTGCGTCAATTGACTTATCACTGACAGTTCTATTTATATTATTTCAATTACACATTTATCTAACTCAGACTATTTTTTATGAATTTAAGATACAACTATTTTATTGTTAAATAAATAAAAAACTCATTATTTAATATTTTACCTGCATAGACAAAAGCGCCCATCCTACTCCTTTCGTTGGGTGGAATCCACTTTGCCAGCATTGCATGTGTACATGGCACAATTGGACCCTGTAATAGGGATAATCCATTCCTAGGGAGAGGAAATACACCCGAACAATCAAAAGACGTTCACACTCAGTTTATTTTATCGAATATTTCATCTAAGTTACATTAATATTACGTGAATAGAAAGATGCCGACTAATTATTATTTTCAAGTTCAATGATAATGAGACAAAATTAGGTTCATGAATTTGAGAGAGACGATGTATTCCCATCGTTATTAATATTCTTTACAATTTTTTTTCTTTCATACATCTCTCAACCCGTTTATTATGTAAGATTACTTTTTATGTGAATTATCGCTTACCTCACCTAGGCCTTGAATAAATCGTACAGCTATAAGCCAATAAAAACCCCAATCAGCTGAAACTGGTACTAATAAACCAAACAGTGAGTTTATTAACATTCCAATACCAAGAAAATATTTAGAACCATAGCGTTTTGCGAGAATTCCAAATGGTATTTGAGTTATGACGTATCCATAAAAAAAAGAACTCAATAAATAGCCTTGATGCGTTGAACGCCATACATAAGGCCCGTCTGTAGACTAAAATGATTATCAATTATTAAAATGTAAAAGAAATTAATTTATATTAAAGATACATACTTATGTATTAGTATAACAACATATTGATAAATATGTTACAGCAAATATCATAGTAATAACATATATTATATTTGAAAATTTTTGTTAAACGTGCTTTTAATTGATAAGTTACTCATTTTGGAATTTCATGGATAAATTGTTTGTTAAATTAATATAATCAATCATTATTCTTGCCTGTGGCTAAATAAAAAAATCAAATGAAATTTATCATTAATTACATAAATGTAATTGCACGATTTTGTTTTTCGTGGATAAAAAATTTCCACTTTTTTATAACATCTATATACTGAAAACCTTAATCGTAATTTCATTAGATAAGATATAATTATTGAACAACAATGATATGTAGTATTTAAAATTATGATTCATTCAATTTATAATGTAGATAACTACGATTGCTGTAAGTTTTATTCTCAATAATCACTTTTACCTAAAATTACTGAGATTATGAGCAGTAATGATAAGAACTATTACTGAATTTTGTGATTTCATACAAAATTTAGTAAATATGTTTACTATTCAACGTAAATATAACGTAAATACGTTAACAAAAAGATTTAACAGTTATTTTGTCATTCATTTAAATGTAAATTTAATCATTAATAAACAGATATGTATTTTTATTCAATGAATGTAATACATATTTGTAAATCTTTATTAAAATTTATTTTTCAAATCATGTAATCATGTATGATTGTCGGAAAAGGCTATCGAGAATAAATATTAAAACGTACTAAAGAAAAAAGATAAAAATATTTACATTATCTTGTTCATTGATGTTTTCAGCGATAATTCCTGGACATTCATTTGTCGATGGTTCATGTGTATCATCTTTTATCGCTGTATGATTTACCATTGCAACAATAGCAACCGACATATTAGTCCTCATCACATAAGCATTCGCCATTCCCAAAAACAACATAAATGTCACAAAGTATCGTGATCCAAATCGTGCTGTAATCAAATAAATATAATTATTCATTTTTACAAATAATAATCAAATATTTTTGTATTTAATTCCACCATGCTAAAGAATAGAAGCTTAAAATGAAGGAAAATTCAACTTTTAGAAATTTGTTTCATGGTAATACAATAAATTGATTAATGAAATAAAAAGTTACTTAATACATTAACTAATCAGTAAGTAATAATATTTAGTACCAAGAATTCATGTATGTGTTCAATAAAATTACTCCATCAATTGAATAAAATAGATGAATGATTGAAGCAGCATTATGATCAATAAGAATTTTCAAGACTTTAATCAAATTTTGATACATCAATAATGATTTTGAAATAAACTTTCATTTGGAATTTCAATATTTATTTATTTTTACAATTGATTTATTTTTAAAATCATTTTCTTCCAACAACGTAATAAAGAGATCACATGACTAATCTAAAAGTGTATTATTACTTAAATTGGTATTGAAGTTTTAATGAATAATCATGCCACTTGCATGTGTATTAATATAAACCTGTAGGAAGTATATTATTTAAAACAAAAATTTTTTTTAAATATTAGATAAAAAAAATTTCAAATTCAAAATGAAATTTCACTAATGATCGTTGTTATTATATTAGGATTTAAGAAAAATTCTTAAATATCCTCATTTGCTATAAGACAACCTTTAACTAATGGGTAGTAGATAACAAGTTTCATTTTTAAGCAATCCCAGATGTTATCTTAATATTTATACATTTTCAAGAAATAGAAAACCTCGTTTGTAATATGTATATATATATAGATATATACATTATATATAATAAACTCAAAACCAATCTTTTGCAATATTCTCATAACATGTATTACTAATTATTATTTGAAATTTCATAGTAAGCAAATGTTGCACTTTAACATTCCATAGAAAAATTTATTTCCATGATCATAATCAACCTTATGCCTCATGGTCAACAAGAAAGTCATTTGAAAGATAAATATTAAATAGGAATAGACTTGTTAAATGAATAAAATATACATAACTCTTCAGATAAACTAAATAGAAAATAAGTTTTGGAAAATAGTAAAAATGTATATATTGTTGAATATTCTTCAATATAATATTACATTATCATTATTGATTTACATTGTAATCATTTATACTTTTTGTATCAATTTATTTATGACCTTGAAATAAACAACAGTCATTCTCACAACAGATTTTATTTTAAATTTTCGATTGAAAGTGAGAAACACTGTTATGTATGTAAATGAGTGTATGTGGACGTACATGTGAGTACTTCGCGACCCGAAATAACTTTTTCTAATAAAAACTTATCTTATGTCGTCATAGATTTTTATTAACTTTTAAAAGGAAATAGTTTTCTGAACTTCATGTATCAAGTATAAAGGGCATCAACATTGGTTATTTTAATTTTATGTATAAATTATTTATTGCACGTGTAGGCAATTATCTACGATGATGATTTTATTTTGCGAAAGATTTAAAACTATTCACATATATATTTTTCATTGTTTTTGTTTATCTAAATATAATAACCTAAAATTTATTTGTAAGGTTATATAAAAATATTAGAATGTATTTTGCGATTTACCTTTTTTCCTGCATTTTGTATCTGTTTCACTAAATTCCGATTGTTCCCATACCAACACGTGGCCATTTTTTCCTCGGTTTTCACCCATTAGTTCAGGAAATATTTTCACTGTTATTTTATTTATTATTATTTGTTAGATTAAATAGTTAAATAGATTTATCTAATTCATTAAATAACACATAATCATTGAATGAACAGAAATTTACTATATAAATTTTCCAAAAGTAAGTAACGATTGAGAAACAAAAATAAGGAATAGTTAAACGCAACCGTTCACTGTTGACTACAGAATGATGACGGAGGCTCTTGCGTGCACCAAGCCCACTCACAATTTCACGTTGTATTGGTATAAACCGATAACGATAATTTATCTGACATTCGTCATTATGTTGTCATGGGCAATACTTAATTTCAAGTATTCAAGACTAATACTATAATATTTACTAATCATTTTTTATGTATGTGAATAAACATATATGTGCATGCATATTCATATATGAATTTCACACAAAAATTTATGGGGAATTTTATTCACACATATACTATAGAAGAGTTATTTTTAAAAAAAAATTTTTTTCTTTTCATTTAATAAATCAATTTATACGTGAACATGGACCATGTATTTAAAAGAATAATGAAAACAATATCGCCTGATAAAATAAAATATAAATCATTAAATGAAAACAATTAAATTAATTTAATTGTCTACAATGAAATTGTTAAAAGAGGGGGTAAATACTATAAACACTTCATATAATTTGTGATACAAACATAGGGTATTTTGTATGCTTGATTGTTCAATGAATTTAGTGAGAGAAATAACTCAATGTAAAATGACTAGAGGGCACTAGTTTGAGTCGCTAGATTTAGCGCTGTTACCATTTCGTGGCAAAATAAACAAGTTGTATTCGAACTGAAATGACGTCGGTAAAGAGGAAATCATACATAAATGATAATTTTTGAGAATTTCGAAATTTTTGCAATCAACAGAGTTCTTGGGGCACCAGAAATTTTTAATTTTTTTAAAAGAAATATGTTACAATCGTAAAAGTCAGTCGATTTTCTTCTCCTTCCGCTTTGCTTGAAATTTTTGTACAACCTTCTCATGGTAGATGTCATTATTTAAACTATTTTAAAATATCATTTCAATATTATTAATTAAATTTAATTTAACATGAATCAATTTCATTAAAATCATTAACTCAGCTGAGAAGCCACTAGGGAACTAAAGAATTTAAGTGCCAGGAATATATTTGAAGAAATTCGAGCCTAGTTCATTAACGTCTTTGAAGGAACTTTACCGATCCAGAGGGAAGAGATCAAAAGGAGTACAGCAAGAGTACGGACAATTGTCATCGAGAAAAGTGAAGCACCGAGCAGTAAGTACAGAAAGTTAGGATATATTGTATAAAAGAAATTATATGGTAATTGAATGCATAAGTGTAGAGCGCGTGTGTGATAGTAACAAAGAATCTTGGTGGGGCAACCGGACAAATCTCGTTAGATTGTGCTAGAAATGTTAATTGGTAAATTTATAAGTTTTATGGGAAGTTAACTGAATTTTATGGATAAATCGAGTTGCCTTAAAAGAACTAAATAGACAAACCAACACCTATTCCTAAAATGGTCATTGAAGTATTTGTTATTCATTAAATTTTTAGATTCCTCCGTATTTTACAAAAGGGCAGATTGAGGACTGCCTGACGCCCATTAAGAAAAATTACAGGGTTTTCAAGACATTGACGAGGGTTGTTAAGCTGGCCTAGGGTATATTTTGGCCTTTCAGCTGTGCTGATTAAGGCCAGAGATTTGGCCCGGCCAAAACTTTGAATAAGTAGACTATGAAAGGATTGAGTTAAAGGTACTTTACACCACAATAATTTTTTCTAAGCTAAATCGAATGTCTCGGATTAAATTTCCCGACTGGACAAAATCCGACTATGGTTTGTCTAAAGATCACTAATGATTGGAGGGTCTCTTTATGTAATAATGCGTATCGATACAGGGTTTTTGCGGTTTTCATGTATCTTCGTGCAAATGCAATACCGTAGTTAGGGCGTAAATCGGCTTAAGCCAAATTTAGACGCAATCTGATGGACTATGTGTGGAATGGTCGATCAATTAGGTAGGGTCCAGTGGAATTAGGAGCCATTAGTACTATAACAGAGCACTAGCTTATCCATTGCCACATGAACATACTAAGGTGCATAGAAAAGACTGTGTTAGTGGTGATGGAAGGCGAAGAAGATCGTTTTTTATATGACTGGGGACTGTTTGGGACTTAGAAGATCGATGCAACGGTGATTAGGACCTTGAAAAACCAATGGGCCTATCCTTGTAGATGTCGGGACAGCTAAGCTTCTGAAGTTATACAGTTAAGCTAGGTTGAACCTGCTTAAAACTGCATAAGGCGGTCCACCTTTACTGAGTGATTAATTTCAGCACAATGGTTCTTTCGGCTCAGCACTCGAGAGCGACTTGAATGAATTCTTGATACTAACAATAATTCCAAAAAAAAGTCGGATAATATCATAGTAGTCGATATGTTGGATAAATTTTCTTATGTATTCAATTTAGTTTACTATGAAAAATTATTAAATCTGTATGTATTAATAAATATATTACCAACATAAACATTCAACCAAAAAGTTCTATGTCATGTCTACACGTGAATATCATGAGATTGGCCGAATAGTTTTCAGATTATAGTCCAGTAACGGTGCAATTTTATTAGCGAATTTGACCTCCCTTTTTGAAGCGAAATTATTTTCATGTAAAATTGCACGAGGATTCTGCAAAAACTATTTGCAGGCAAAATGGAAGGTTAAATTCTCTAATACCCCTATTTTTAATTGCACCGTTACTGGACTATTATAGATAATACCTACTGCATGATAAGTTCTTTAAAAGATAAGTTTTATTGCTATTTTTTTAATAATGTTAATACTTTTCCATAAAATAAATAAGAACGAATGAATAAAATTTCTAATTACTAAATTATATGCAACCTTGTACTCACTAGTCTAACTAATAAAATTGACTAGTTCAACCAGTAAACTATAATTTTATAAGTTCAATCAGTGGAGTTTCACTGTTTCTTAAGATAATTATAGCGTTACTCAGCAATGATTCAAATCGTGAATATTTACTTGGAATTAGTAAAGAGTTACTAATCCTTTTTTAGAGCGAAGTACAACAAATGAAAGCTTATTTTTGGACGGCGAATATCAAAGACTGCTATTACTCATCCGGCTATAATAGTATCATATTCTTTTTAGCAATATTAATTTTTTTTGCTTTTTTTATATGTAAAATTATCGAATTTAAATTGCACGCAAACAATCGAATATAAATCATAACAGACTAAAACATACTTTTAATTTTTTAATACCGTTGCAACACTGAAATGATACAATATGGATAACACGATGTAGTCAATTCCATCACATTATGTATAGACAGGTTCAACGACTCTTGATTGAAGTCTTTACTTCTAATCTCTAATATGACATAAAAATTCATGAAAGATTTAAAATATGACATAACATGATTGGTTCAATTTTTTGAAAGAGTAATAATGCATCATTTTTTGTATAATATTGTTAGTGTTTTTATTTGAACAAAGCTTTTTATTAACAAAAAATAGCAGAAATATTTTTGATCATTGATGATATAAAATTGTGGAAAACAGTCATCATAGAAGGAAGATAGACTTTATAATTATGTTGACATAGAGGTGACATCATATGAAACTTGAGCAGGAAATATGTATTTAATGTTACAATCAAAATAGATATAATTCTTTTTCGCCTATTTTTTAATGATACTACAGTAGACACGAATACAAACATAAATATTAACTCTACAAAATTGTAATTTGTAACATTTATTCGTGTTAAATTTTATGCAGATTGGTTTTTAAAACTTTTAAGAGGATTTAACAATAGTATTTTCGAATTGATTAAGCTGATTAGATGTCGTAACGGTCATTTAACAGAACTGATTTATATCATGAATGACATTATATGGACATTTTTATCCATAAACCAAAAGTTTCATTAAGTTTGTTCAGTAAATGACGTACTTTTTTTAAATTTCCAACCTTACAAATAATTATTATTATTAAACACGTGTTGAGGAATGTTTAGATCACCATATTTAAAAATATTCGTATTATGATTACCAAGTATATAATTACATAAATTATATATTATTAAAAATCTGAATTAACTACGAATGAGAAAAAATAAATAAATTGACACTTTTAACACAATAAAGATAAACAAGCTATGGAATATTATAGGCTAAATGTAGACATTGATATTTTGTCAACATTTTTCATATTTGTTGATAAAGAGTAAATATTAATATTCATAGTTTACTTTAAAATCAATTTGCTTTTTAATTTTCCGATAACTATTTTGCATTCACAACAATAACTGTTTATTTAAAGTGACTGAGTTACTTACATGTCGAATCAACAACTTCAATGTCAAACACTTCTGATTTTCTCATGTCGACTTTATTAACGGACTCACTTTCAGGGATCATGTTAAATTCACTTCTTGATTTAAATAATTTTATAATTGTCTTTTATGTTATTCAAAAATATTAATTTAAAACTGTCAGTATTGATTGAAATTGACAGAAAATGTCATCCAACACAGCGTATAATCATCGCTGTGACACGAATAAAAAGCCACTAGTAAAATAAACGGTTTCCTTCATCGACACCTTATACACTTAACCAATCTTAAGTAATCCCCCTCTACTCGCGATACGCACATTATGACGTACGTACACACACATATACTTTTGTAAGTAGTCTATATTGGAAAATTTACATCATTATTATTATGATTCATTGAAAAAATATACATTTGCAACATTTGTGCTATATATTTCATGAAATGTATAACAATTAGAATATTGTAAATTAAATTCTATTGTTTTAACGTAACAACAAATAATAATCATCGCTGGTTTATAAATTTATACATTTTTTATTTAATATATTTTTTTTGTTAATTTGTAGTATATGAAACATTAAAAATTCATTGTAAACTATAAAAAAAAATCATTTAAACTTAAAATTTACGCTTATCAGAATAATCTCCTTTTTATCAGTGTCGAGACAATGTCAAACCGATTATATCTTTCACGTGATTTACAATTAATAAGCATTTGAATTAATAACTTGAAATTTTGTAGAAATACTCCAACACATAATTCTCTTTATTATACCGCAGATGGTGAAGTATTTATTATCAATATTATCTGTTTAAATTTAAAAATTTTCTAAAAAAAAAATTTAAACAATTACACTTTCTTGAGAAATTCTTGATAAATCTAAATTATAATTAGTCTCATGTGTTTTTGAATAAATTTATGGTAATTTATAATGGAAAAAATTACCAGGTATAGCAAAGTAA